TGTCTTAGACGAGCTGAGGCCAGCTTCAGGCCAACAGAAAAATAACCGCCTGCCGGAATTTTTTGCCTAAAGACCGCTTCACATACGGCGCGTAAGCGCGATGGGCACTTCAGCGGATAGGGCTTTACCGTTTACGCTCCGTCTTTAAGCAAAAAATTCCGGCAGGCGGCTATTTTTCTGCTGGTAAAACTGGCCTCAGCACTGTACGACGGAGAACAGGCCAAGCCTAGGTTCCGACCACCGCCGCGAGGGGCGCTGTAGTCGCGCAATGCTCAGCCAATGCCTCGGCGTTACTCATTCTGCGACACGGGGCAATGCTGCCTTTCCGAACCCATATGCCTAAACAAAGCCACACAATCACACGGATGTAAATCAAATTGCTCATTATCTGCATGTGTCGTGCATGACACCTATGCCTTTCTCGCAGTGTTTCCCCATGTCGCTCGCAGCTCCGGGTGGAACGGCGCGTGGACGGCGCACTGAACGTCGGACCGGAACATGGTGCCTATCTGTGCGGCAGCCCCATCGGCAAGGGCTGCCGGTTCTTTGTACAGCCGTCTGAGCTCTGACGCAGGCTTACAAGTTGCATCAGTTGGTGGGATAATCAGTTAAGGCATTTATTGCCATATTCTGCATAAATTCGGTATCTCTGCACAGTCCAACTAATCCCCTATGTTTAGGTCCAATCCTAGTCTCAGTCATTCGGCTTTCATCAGTTTTCGGTAAAACCCCGATCGGTAGGGTCTTAGTCGTTGATATATTTCGGCAATGCCAGTCTTATCCACCTACAGGCATTGCCCAGTCTAAGACTTTTTGATCGCTGTACTAAGTAGTACCTACCTGCATCCGTTTCAAATAATTGCTAACCACGTTTCACTCGAAGACGCTCACCCAACGTTCGACACTCCCGACACCCCCCAGCCCTCCCTAAGGTCGCCCGGGACATTGGTCCGTGTTGGGTCGTGGTGCAGGGGATCAGGTATGTTGATTCAGCTCCTATCTCCCCTGCGACTAGCCGCCCGTCCCGCGGCCGCACCGGCCGCCCATTGATGTGTCGCACGGATCCGCGCCGGCCGAAGATACCGTAATGCCGTTCACGGAAGCGGCGATCACCGTTTGTGCGCAGGTCTCGGCGTTGGAGATAGGTCAAACAGGTGGACATAAACGGAGGGATAACCAGGCTTTGGGACATTGTGAAAGCCGGTCGTAAAAGATGCATAGTGATGATTCAGACCGTCTACCCCAACTGCAACCATGGGTATTTTTAGCTAACCGGGCGGCATAAGGAACAAAGAAGTTAATCCTCACCCAAATAGGGGGGGGGGGGGGTCGAACGAAACCCCCTCGGATTTCGCGAATAACTCGCGTAAAAAGCGGCAGATCGCGACGACACTTTTAGTACCCTCGCATTGATCAATTCTACACCTACCCTGAAAATTTCATGACCCTGACCCAAATGACCTTTGTCCTGTGACCTACTTTCTGAGACCATATTTGGCCGGAATCGCGATTCGGCTTAAGTCGGCTCGCATTAGCCGCGCGTTTGCAAGCTTTTCGTGGTTTCAAACGTTCAAACATGTGACTTGATGTTGCTCCCATGCATTAGGTTGGATTTCAAGGTCACCTGAAGGTCAGGTCATTGACCTTTGGTGACCTCGGTTCACTTTTTCGAATTTTACATGTTTCTAAGCTAGTTTTTGGAGCTGATTTCGAATTTAGCAACAGAGCTTAATTCGAATTTAGCAACCATTTGAACATTTACGAAGTAGTTTTGGTGCCTTCGTAACATGTTACGAAGCTGTCAGAGGCGGTTGACACGTATTACGAATACCCGTCGTGACCCCTACCAGTTGACCTGACCTGACCTGGCCCGACCTGGTCTAAATGCTTAAAGAATCATCTCTGATCAAAACTAACACGATATTCGTGATCAGCACCCCGGAAAACCCCACAGCAGCCACACTTAACGACTCTCTAACAGGTCTCGATTTTCCCGATTTTCGGGTCATTGACCTGACCTGGAAGGTCACCCGATGACCTAGGGCCTTAAAATTGGATATCATCGGCTTCCTCTCGTGACGGGCAACACGGTCGTTTTTTTCGCGAAGCTCTAGCTCGACCAGGGGCCAAACGTAAGGGGGGGTCGTATCAACCCCCATTGTGCCGTCGAAGGACGCAAAATGGCCTGTGCCGGCCGGCGAGGTTTAACCCTCGCCGGCCGAGGGGGTGGGGCGGGTGCCGCCCCCCCCCCATAGGGTTTTTTTCGCGATAGCTCCGAACTCGCTGGCGATAGAGAGCTGAAACTTGGCATACCTGACCTTTGATTCAAGCCGGATCTTTTGACACCAACCGCATTTTTGGGTCAGGTCAGGTGACACTGACCTATGACGTCATAAGTGAACCTCTGCACGGTCTTCAGATGTCGCAAATTCGCAACGCCCTCACTGCCAGAGGAGATGTCACAGGGAAATGAAACTTGCAGGATCTAGTATCCATTGTGAGTCTCACAACTTATATATCTCGGATTTTTCCTAAAGGTCATATGAGGTCAGGTCATTTTCGTGACCTCACCATTATAAGTCAATGGGGAAAAATGAAAACTGCTATTCTGGCGCCGGAAACGATCTCCAACTATCTCAAGCACACAGAATCGTGATTTGATGCACTCCTTGCAAGGTAAGATGCGTTACTTTTGCAATGTTGACCTTGCGTGACGTCATTTATGACGTCATCAAGGTCATATTAGTTTTACGTCAATAACTCTTGATCAAATTGAGCTAGCGCGTCGGGAAAGCCACCAATGGACTCAGGAAGACCTGCCGAATCGAATGATATGCGACATGACCTCTTTCGACCAGCTTCGTGACCTGGGGGTGCTGACCTGACCTTGACCTGAGGTCAACACCTTAAGTTGACCTGACCCGAACAAAAAGTATATCATTCGACGCGCCTGAGCGAGGCGAACACGATGCTGCCAAAATCGCGGCTCTGCAGCCGTTTTTTTGCGAAGTTATTCACCAAAAACTGAACCGTACCTTGGGGCACTTGACCTGACCTCAGAGGTCACCGGTTGACCTAGGACCTTAAAACCGGGTACCAATCTCTGCGTCTCGTAACGGCGCACACGCTCGTTTTTTCCGCGACGCGCTAGCTCCACCAGGGGCGAAACGGCGACGGGGGTCGTACCTGCCCCCCCCCCCCCCCCTCTGCCGGCGCGTATGTAGAAAACCAATAGGTCCGGCGAGGGGGGGGGGGGTGGCATCAACTCTGGGCAGGCGAGGGATAATAGCTAAAAAAAATATCAAAAGTTTTTTTTTAATTTGGAAAAAAACTGGACCATATGTGATAGTCCCTACCGCCTTCTATCCACATGCCAAATTTGAGATCGTTACCACCTTTCTTTAGCCAAGTTATAACGAAAAACTGCTCAAAATTGATGACGTCAAATTTTCAAACTCAATTTTAAGCAAATCTAGACCACGTAGCGCAAAACAACGACCACAATTAGACTCGCCGTGACGACCTGCATCGAACCAAAACGCAATACATGCAAAACTATCAACTTTGAAATTGGACCCTATTTGACCTGACATTGACCTGACCTCCACCAGAAAGTGACCTAAACCGTACCTGACGGTCTTATAACCAACACCATCGACTTGGAAATGAAAAATGGGCCACAAAACATGCATCGCACAACCTTAGTAAAGTTGGGTTCATGTGTTGAATGCTGATCCCCTTGGTGACCTGACCTGTGATCTGACCTGGTTTTATCAGTGACCTCCCGTAGCAACATATGTATTAGGCAGCTTACACCCTACCGCTGATTTTCGACAAAATGTGCTTTACTCGATGTTATAGCGCATTCCCTAGAAGACCCGTGAACAGTGAAACATTTTATCTTTGACCTGACCTGTGACGTCATCGGTGACCCCGAGGTCAATGAAACTGTACTTCCTTCGACCAATTTGACAGGGCTATCGAACGCCGTTTGAAATTTACGAATTCGTCCAGTAGTTTGGGAAATAGAGGGGAGAAATTCACCGCCCTCTTCCCACACCGCGCGGAAGGTGGCCGGGAGGCCCAACGCCTGCCAGGCCAGGCTGAAGTAACGGACACATCAAAATCTCACTACCAATCACCCTGACTAATTGAGTACCTATAACGCTGGTTAAACTTGCTCCTCGCGCCTTCCGATTTGGATGTCTCAGGCGCGTCGCATGTAGTGACCACACTGGCAACCACACATATTTAGTATAGCGACCCTTTATTCAGCAGCTGGAATTGATGTCATACTAGTGAGCAACGTCCGTATATGTACAGTCTGTCTTAAAAGTACCGCGCAAAGTGAGGGTGGATCCATGAAGCCTGACCAAGGAAGGGCCTGCTATAATTTGAAAGTCACCGAACCAATTGACCTGAGGAATGAACGAGGATGTCAATTACTTCGGTGACTCAAATTTAGCAGCCCTCCCTCGGTCAGGCTTGATGGATCCACCCTCACTTTGCGCGGTACTTTTAAGACAGACTGTACATACACGATATACATTGCTAGTGTACACACACCACACATGAATCGATCCGCCATCTGTCGAGGTAATCTTAAAACTCATCCAACATCTACCAAACATGACGCCACTCTGATGTAGCTTCCGTCCAACCTGGTAAGCTAATATATATATATTTTTTTTTCATTTGAACGCGTCGTAAAACTGATGAAGCAAAGGGGACTGAAGTTTTTTTTTCTTTTTTGTCGAAATATCTTTCGAAAAACGAGAAACGAAACGAGAAAACGAAGCAGAAAAACGAGAAATGCTTTTGCAGACTGTAGAGTCTCCTCGGTCAAACGAGGGCTAAACGATAGTTACCTCGGATCGTCCCTCCGAACCGCTCCCCCCACCACGGGGGGAGGGGGGCGGGTGATCCCTGTGCACGCCGTATCGCCTCTGACGTCAGTCAGTAGCCGCGGTGCGCTGGCTGCCCCTGCCCCTGTCAGTGCGGCTCGTGCAGTGTGGTCGAGGACAGGGACCGCGCACCATGGCCGGCGCCGCGCGGCACCTGTCTCTGCGAGTGGACCTGTCGACGCCCCCCGGCCGCGGCGGCGCCCGGCTGTACCCGGCGCCCAGCGAGGGCAGTCTGACGGAGCCCGAGACACCCAGCCCGGCTGTGGAGAGGCGCGATGCCTTCTCCGCGCCGTCTGCGGCCGAGCGCGGCGCCCGGGGCGGTGACCCGGCCGGTGACCCGGCCGGTGACCCGGCCGGTGACCTCGGGGACCGGCTGGGGGAGCCTTCCCAGCTGCGCCGGCTGCGCTGGCTGCCCGGCGATACCCCTCCCATGCAGAGAGCGCTCTCCCGGATGGAGATCGAGTCTCTGCGGGACCGGAAGAGACTGGCCCATCTCAGGGAACTGGAGAGGCTGCTTCGCCTGGGGGCGCACCAGGAGCCGAGCAGGAGGCTGTCGATCCGCCACCGGCCCGAACTGACGGCCGACCAGTTTACAGAGCTCATGCAGCTGTCGGTGAGCGACGGACGCCGCATCAGACCGGTGGAAACAGAACAAAAATAGAAAAATGTGCTGCTGACGAGCTGTGACGTTTTTTTCTTTCTGAGGTTACATGATAATATTTATCATGTACTCTCAGGTCATGTTGTCATCCTATCTCTGTATTCCATTTCGGGCTAAATTGAAGTAAAAAAGGTATTTGAGCTTAGGTATATAAAATTGAATTGCCTTGTTCAATGCTTCGATCATATTACGTGATCAGATACCTCATATCATTCATAGATTGGAGGACTTCATATAAAAACGTATAAAAAAACAAGAGCTCAATTTATTATAAAAACAAAACTTCACAAACTTTTTTTTACAAAACGTGATTCGGTCTTCTAGAAAATCTGAACAATAAACATGAACCAATTATAAGTTAAATATCGCATGCCTTTATTTCAAGCAAAAATGAAAAATAGGGACACAAAAATACAAAGCACTCGCAAAACAAATATAACAGAACACTTTTCACAGAACTTAGCAATTGGTCTCCCTCAATTATCCTTTAAATAATGATGCAGAACAAAAAGTAACTTATTATCAGCAAATTGTACAGAAACTTTAGGGCATATCCGAGTGCTGAGACAGCCAAATTAAATTAGAGAAGGTCATCTGGGTGCATAGGAACTGATAAAACTAACTAACAACAACCCTTTGTCCCTATGCCTTATCAAAACCACCTCTCTTGCTGTCAACGGAACCAAAAACTCCAATATTTCAAAGCCCTGACAGCCACCTATCTCTGGCGACATCAAACGACGAGAGAGCCTATCCAAGGCAAGATACTGCACACTACAAATCTCCCTGTCACTGTCATCAGAGAAGACAGGCATTAGCGTTGTCAAAACACTCCAAAGCTGCAAATCTTCCGGATTAACTTGGATCCGGCGGTCCTTCCGCTAAGAGCTTCCAAGTATTGTTATCGCTATTTGGCACATGCTCGACATGCCTAAATGCGTCTTGCATCATTCGGGGGCATTTACCGACCGTGCATTTTTTTGTGACCCTTCATGTCACAACCACTGGACGATGCCCTTCGCAACAGAACCACTGGACAAACTACATATACGGCAACTTACGACCCCTCGCAGGTGTCATCACAGGCTGTCTGTGCGTGTTTCAGGAGACGGCTGACCATTTATTTGGTCTGTTCGACTGGGACGGGGCCGGCTTCCTGGACCAACAGGAGTGGATCGAGTTCCTCAAGGAGAAAATCGAGTGAGTTAACAATCAAGGGAATCAGCAGCCGTAGATAACTACGTTTATTTTCAATAGTTAACACTTAATCTGAATCATTAACAGTTCTTGTGGAACAGAATTAGGACAGTCTCTCATCCGTGTATCTTACATTTGTTTCTGCACTTAAACTTCTCGATTAAAAACAATATTCGCACTGCAGACGTATAACAGCGTAACAACAATCGCATAACAGCTCGTATAGCTCAACACATGCACGCTGTTCTTGAGCTGCGTATATGGCAGCATCACTCACCCCTCGCAGACAGAAATGTTATGGCCGTCTGACGTTGTCGGCAGCACCGGCCATGACCGGGAGCTGGTCGAGGTGATCGAGACAGCCGCCTACCTCGTCTGTGGACTGAGAAGGGTGGACAGAGACCGCTTCGGACTCATCGTCGCAGCCAAGGGCGTGAGTAACAGCCTGCGGGGACAACCAGGGGGTTGGACCCGAGGAGCATGAGATATGTGATGGTAACTTCAGAAGGGGGTGATAAGGAGTAGGTCGATTGATGTTTGCCGGAAACAATTGCACCAAATCAAGCCCTGCCTTTTCAAGCGATATTGCATTGTCAGCTCATGTCAGCTCGTGTTTCCCAATATTTGAGTGTTTACTTCGACCAATGTCGATTTGTTGACATGCATCCTGCTGACATATACCGCTTGTTTTGCAGGTCGGCCCGAAACTCTACCGCGCCGTCCAGGAGCGAGGGCATGTCACAGTGAAACGGATCATGGAGTTCATCGCCAACCTCAGCAACGCCAGGTCAGTTCAGCGCCAACCTCAGCAACGCCAGGTCAGTTCATCGCCAACCTCAGCAACGCCAGGTCAGTTCAGCAGGCCGACCGTACCCTGATCTGTTGTCGGATTTGTTTTGGGTATTATATTGATTGACAATTATCGGTTGCCTCATCAATCGTGCGATAAAGGCTAGTGATGACGCACGCCGGTAAACATCTAGCTGATAGGAAACAGTTGCTACCTTATGCAAGATAAAATTCTTCGTTCACATCAACTGCACAAAGCGTTCGACAAAAAAGATAATGGCGACTGGCGAGGGCTGAAAGAGTCTGCACTCAGCTGTACCTAAATTCCTTTGCACGTTTTTGCGTGACAATCACCTAATTATCACCCAGATCAATAAGTACCATAATATTTACGACATCAAGACGTTTTCCCGTTCCATTCAGCCGGCACCCCTAGCTGTGGGGTCGCCGGACCTGGCCTGGACGCCGGGAGCCGATAACTGCCCGAGGCGCTCGCTCAGTAGCCCGCTGGCGGAAACCGACATCGTTACCGCTCCAGTCAAATCACCTCCCTGCCACCACACTGTCTGTCGGAGCCACCGGTAGAGAGCGATCCTGCAGAGACAATGCACCGTCACGGACCGTCTCTGTTGGCACAGTCGTGTCCCATCGGACACGAGCATACCCCGGCCGTGACATCTGTCCGCCATTGTTCGTGATACGTCCGACAGTCATGAAGACGTGATCAGAGCGGGCAGACGTGAGCGGCTCCGACTGGAACTGACATCCGATCCCCCGCTCTGCTCTGCACGTGCTCAATCACCGCCGCTCCCGACAGTCACCCGGCGGAGCGCCGCTGTCGGCCCGGGCACGATTTATGGCGGCGCCATAACTCACTCACGACTGTTCCATCAGCGCCCGGTGTCCCTAACAACAAGCTCACTTATTTCACCTCAAACCGTATCGGAGCATTAGCCCAGTTGCGACAAATTGTGGCTGGCGCGCGCGCTCCGGAGCGGCCGTTCACTCGTCACGATAACGCGTCCGTAACGAGATGCCCCGATAGGCACCCCCCTGTCACAATGGAGCCCACCACATGTTGACGAATTGTGTAACGGCCGGCGCGGGCCCGGCGCGCCGCATCTGACCCCAATGCGCCGTTTTTCTCTCCCGGGCCGCTCTGAAATATGACGCACGACGGGGGAGGCCCGCTGCGCGCGCTGAGTGTGTGTCTGTGTGTCGGCGTGTGTGTGAGCAGGTAAATCACCGCCGTGGGGTGAAAGGCGGGCCGGGCAGAGGGCCGCGCCGACCCGCCCTCGCTTCCTGCCCGGGCACACCCTCCGTCGTCTGCCCGACAAACGGTTGGGAAATATCTCACGCACGGCGCCGACAAACTCCTCAGTCGCGTGCGGCGGGATGTGACGCGTTATTATTTAATGGCGGGTGGACCGGAATTCTAAACGGTGCCACACTGAAACACTGAAACACTGAAGGTGTTCTGCAGACCTGCTACTGTGTCGTGTAAATCTTCAGCGGACAAATATTTCCAACAACACATTCATTATTGGCATGCATGCGTTCACAATTTAACGATAGGTATGCAAGCAAAATACATTGCTTAGGGATAAACAATCTCGAAATGTATTTAAAATCAAACACTTACAACTCTTAGAACACAAAGAAATTATATGCTCTGTAACTGGTTCATGCGCCAACAGCGGCAATACCATGTCATTACGCCTATCCAAACGTCCATCTAATCTCCACGGAGTCATGCTTCAGAGAGCGCACACCTGAGCGCACGCCTATGTGTCTCCGCCATGCCCCCTGGGGGTCATTATCGCCTCCGTGTTTGACATGTACCGCCCTTTAATGGCACGGTGCTGTATTGGTTCTGGCTGCAGTTCTATCGCGTTTAGCTCTGTGCCGCCGGCCGAAATGATTTGGTGCGCCCACCCAACTCACGGCCCGTTCAGCCAGCTGATAGCTCACAGAGACACGATAGACTCGTATGTTGTCGTAATGGACCTGTAAAATTCGCTGATGATACGCTGCCTTCGAGAGATACCCGATCTGGGACACGATTTCCAGGCGGTTATTACCGCTAATAGCGCGATCCTGCATGAGCGACAGCAATACCCGCTCCGGTCGACATAATGACAGGTTGTGACAATTTAGGTGAACAGTTTCGGGAAGGCATACGTTTATCTAGTTATCGATCGTTTTCGCTATCTTTTCCAGATCGTGGTTCATGAAAAATGGGATAGCTTTATGCATAGACCGGCCAATTTATCTGGATTAGATTAAACAAATTTCATGCATTTACGTTCGGTAAATCGCCAATTCCTTTTATCTGTCTTAGATCTCAAGCCGAAGCACTGATTGATGCATTACAAACACGTTTAGCAACATATCGCAATGGAGTTACAATTGGAACTACCACCATCCCTAACAGATGACCGGTCGGCGGTCACGCTCCGCGAACCGTCAAGCCGTTTCATTATGATGTGAACATTCGGTGAAACATTCGTAACCCAGGACTGATGCGACAGCTTACTGCCTCCCAACTCTAATGAGGCCGTCTTACCGGGATTGACAATGTGCGAAAAACTGACTCGTTTCGTCACATAGTTACTTCATCCACTGTACTGGCATGGGAGGGTGGATGAAGGTGTGAAGTTATGTGACTGTGTTTTTGTAAATACCGTGAAGAGTTCATGTTGTAATGAAGGTATCCGGACCAGGTAATCCTGTTTTACTCTCCCATCGAATAGTTTCCACTGTTCGATGGAACAGCAACTCGAATAGGTAATTTCAATAAAGCAAAACCCGGTTACGTGATATAAATCGAAGTTGACTGTTTTTTCACTTCATCAGGCTACAGATCAATATTAATAAAGTCATTGTGAATAATGTCAATGAGAAAGAAAAGCGATGGGGTTCGCATTTTGAGCTTGCTCCCACCATTTCCCACAGTCACCTTGACACGATCAGCCGAGTCTCTCCGAGTCTCTGACCAGTCGTCTCACACTCGCTCACATGATTCCGATCACACTCGTCCGATCTCTCACACACACGATGATTCCCGGCCTCCCACATACACACACGCGAGGATTCCCGGCCGAAAAACCGACCCGTCATCGGGCACGCATTGGTGACAGTCGCCACGGCGCGACACCGAGCTGGAGGTATCCGCTGTCGGCATCATCGGTATGGCGCGTGCACCATCGTCGGCATGGAGCGGGCACCGGAGCGCAGCGCCGTCGGACGCGGCGCCGGTGAAAGTGCCGGCCGGCTGAAGCTGTGGGAGCCCGCCGCCGCAGTCGGCACCCGACGCGCGCCGACATCGGCGCTGACACCGCTGCTGACATTGATACCAGCGCTGACACTGACGGCAGTGCTGACATCGACACATCGGAACGGGCTGCTTCCGGAGATAGATCGGAGCTGGCGGTGCTACACTGGATGGGGTGCTAGTGGTGAGGAGCTCGGAACTTCTGGACGTCATCATCGGAACGAGTCACGCGCAGGAGGAATCTCCAGCCCCCGGTCTTTCTCGATGCTGGTATCAGAGCGCCGAAGTGTGCGCTGTCGTGGAGTTTTGTGGAACCGGAGGTGAGGGTCTGTGATCATTCGGTGCGTTGTTCGAAACAGGATGTGATGATCAGCGAACAGAGCTAGATATTGTTGTGGAAGGGAATAGTTGGTGAATCGTTTCGAGTAAACGCCCCAACCTGTGCTGAGCTCATCAATAAGAACGTGTGAACAAGAACGTACAACCGCCGGCTTCTGCCACATTCGGACCGCCGTGAATCTGTGCTCATCCTCGCGACAAAAACTATCGACTGGAAGGAGCTGCAGCCCGCCGGCGGTGCCTGGTGACCTGGGTCGGCGCCCGGGGTCAGCTGAGGGGTCAGCTCGCTGCCGGGCCGGCTCGGAGGGCTGGCCGGCAGCTCGGCGCCGGCCGCCGGCCGCCGGGGCGATGTAGATGTCCTCCGGCTGTCCGAGCGTGCGGGTGACCCGGCTGAGAGCCGTGCGGGCCGGCGGCGACGGCCGCTGGTCGCCCACCCTGCCTGAGGCAGTCACCAGGTGAGCCGACACACCACAGAGCAGGGGTCAAACAAATGAAGGGATACAGATAGAAATCAATATTAACAAATTTTACCACAAAAATGCCGGACGCCCCATAGCCATACTAACCCGCTTCCTTTCCCAGTAAAAGGTTCTGTGGCATCGTTTTTCTTTTTTCTTTTTGTATAGTACCGGTGGGTAATGCCAAGTCTTGTCGTCGTCGAAGTGTTGCGATCATTGTTCAGGTGAAAGTTGAACGACGTAAAAAGATGCGTTTAACATCCCTCAAAGATGAGCTACGGTCATGTCTGGATTCAGATTCTCACCGAATACCATATTATTCGAAGACGGTTAACTATTACGATCCAGGTAAGGTGGGAAAATAGCAGTGCAGCCATTTTCTGCAGGTGATCCGTGAAAATAGCTTTGTTTGTGCGCCTGGCTGAATCTGAATCTGATTCCGAGCGAGTAGGTCGTACGAAAAAAGAAACAGAGTTAAACGCATATGTGAGCGTCTACTCTTCGTTTGTCGCACACCATTGGAAGTCATAACAAACAATATTAGTCACTAATCAACATAGGCGGCGGAACGGGGGGGGGGGGGCACCGGGGCACCGTGCCCCCTTTGATTTTGGCATTTTAACATTAGCCCTATGGGCGTTGCATGGAAAGAATGGGACCAAAAGTCGGCAGTGCCCCGCCTTAATTGAAGGTGTTCCGCCGCTACTGCTAACCAAAGCCTGTCGAGTGTTCCACGGCCTTTTTCATGATGATTTATGAAGATCTCGCAGTTCCAGATTCAGGCAGTAAGCAAGTTAACTGCTGCCAAAGCCAAAACTTACGCTATTTTCATTTCTAAAATCGCATTGAAATGTGAGCGCCTGAGCGTCTTGCATCAAAATTAAAATTCTATCATGGAATAGCAGCTGAAACAGGCATCAAATACGAGTTTGTTTCGTCTACTTGATAGCTATCGACAGCACTTTGAACCATCGGGAAACAGAGCTAAACCTGAAGCCGTTATAAGTGAAGCAGCTCCTGCTCCGAAAGAGATGTTAAATTAAGCAGCATTGACATGAATTGAAGCATTGTGCATGCTCTTGACTTGGTATATGGTATGAAATGTCGCAAATTTCTTAAAAATCCGAATAATTAGAGACACAAGTAAAATGCCATCACCGAATAGCGCTAGCAAGACAACGACACTGCGGTACCGGCCGCAACAGCAACCTTTAGCAGCTGGTGGGTGTCGTCCTTCTCTCATTCTCCTCGCAGTATTGCTATTGCTCTCCTTGCAGTAAGCTCGGGCCAGAATAAATGAGGATCCGTTTCCCGATTGGCGATGGCCGCATTGTTTCACGGCGCTGTGGTCTCGCCAAGTTGGACGCCGGGTTATTCATGTTTTCAAATATGGGCTGATTATGTTTGGGAAGCGAGAAGCAGGGGCCTGAGCCAGCCGAGCAGGCTTATCTTGCCCGGAGCGGCGGGGCCAGAGTCTGAACCGGGGCCGGCCCGGAGGTATTCGACACTACGGCTCCGAATTCCTGCTCCGCACCTTACTGAATTCAGCGTTATTATATGTTAAAAGAAGGTCTGATTCCCGAAAAATATGAGAAATTCCGATCTAATTGATGGGCCCCCATACATCAACAGCAACAATGGCGAATAAATATGGCTTTCTCGCGGCCGTCGCGCTACGAGGTCAGCGCCGAGACAGAAAGCTCGCGGCATGCTCGGATCGGTGTGACCAAAAGCCATTCCAAGCGAAATCTGTAACCACTGCTATTTCAATCATAATTTATTGGCCTCCCTGACGCCTGTCACCAGCGTTCAGCTCAAATTAGGCCGGGCACGGTTGCGCAAAGCTATCGTTCGTGCCCCTTTGCTGTTGTACGGGAGGGATGCAGACCAATTATACCAGACATACTGCAAGTGAGACCTATCTCACCGAGAGCTCATTTGTAGCTCGTAGCCGGCCCGGTAATCTTATGAATATGCATGAGTCGCCTTAACTGCACCCTTCCGTGCCCTATTTCATCATGATTAAACCATGGAAAAGCGCTAAATGCGCCACTCGGCCGCGGCAGTAAAACTAGACGTCAACCCCGGCCGGCCGGCAGACCGCCGCGCCGCTGCAGCGGTACGCCGTTTGGGCCGTCAAAGTGAGAGCGGCTCACGGGGACGCCGGGCCGCCCCTCGCCCGTCGGCGGCAGCCCGTGTCGTGACAGCCGTCCCGGCTCATCACGAGCGCGCCGGATCCGTCGCCGGCGCGCCGTGATGGCGCTGTGCGTCACGGCGGTTCCCGAGGCCGGGTCGTGAGACGGCGCGCCCGGCCCGCCTCGGGCGTGTCGGCGGCCCGGGTTAAGTGCGCGGCGCTCCGGATAATGTCTTCCTGAGAACTGCGCCGGCCGCACGGCGTGTGTCATCACTCGCCGAGCTCTCGTTGGAACTGGTACACCCACCTCCGCGCCGGCCCCCGTGGGTGAACTATGGTCGGCAAGGGCGCCCGCCCACATCGAGACGAGCGAAATTAAAACGGCAGTTTGGCAGGCACTCTCATCGGTAATGCAGCTGGTTTGCCATAGAGCACTGAACTAGTTACAAAATAAATATAGCTATCGAATAGAAGTATGATGTGGTCGTGCAGCGGAAAATCCCAAGCAAGAGTGCTTGCATCGAAATGTGACCGTGTGTGTAGAACAGAGGCAATTGAGTAGCTGTGAATAGTCATTAAACCGTTCCACATCATTCAAAACATTCTGATAGCAATGGCAATGCTGCTATCATATATCTGGACTCGGAGCCGATTTTGCTTGGTTGGTAAGGGTCTGGCAGTCAACAAATCCGTCAAGTTTCAAAGCTTGAAAGTTTATTAGAGAGCAAATAAGCGTTGGAGAGCAAGTGTAGAAGAGCTATGCCAGTAGCTATGCTCAATGCAAAGCTCCAGCTCATTACTTCACTGCGGACATCATCAGGCATCATCGCAGTGTCGTATTCTCCTCCCCCAACCACAATAGTTGAAAGGAACAGAATTGAAGCTAGAAAGTTGATAGAGGTTCACACATAGGAGTCTGAATGACTCCATGACAGTCGGCAAATATTCGCTGGTCTAATCAGGCATGATGTCGATACTCGGACAATCGCCGAGTACCGTGTGTAGTCGGCGTCAAGCGTCTGTAGTCAGCGTGAAGGGTCTGGTCGACTTGACATCTAGGCGCTGCAGTACTGTGCGTCGGCCGTGTTGGACTGGATCCAGGTGAGCGCCTCCGACACGCGAGCGAACACGTCGGGCCAGTCGGCCACGGCGCACGGCTGGCCGAACGAGACGACGCCGATCAGACGGTAGCTGCCCGAGACCTCGGTGACCAGCGGGCCGCCGCTGTCGCCCATACAGACGCCCTCGCCGCCGGTCGACTTGCCGCCGGCGCAGATCATGTTGCTCTTGATGGTGGAGCCCCAGCGCTGCATGCAGTCGGACTCGGACCAGACGGGCAGGTCGATCTGCTGCAGGCTGGTGGCCTGCGGGCTGGTGGCGCCCAGACGGCCGAAGCCGCTCGCGGTGGCCGTGGCGCCGGCGTACGTCTCGCCGGCCTCGGCCAGGCAGACGGGCGAGATGGTGCTGCTGTAGGTGATCTCGCGGTCCAGCTTCAGCAGCGAGAAGTCCCAGCCGCTGCCCGAGGCGTTCGTGTACTGCAGGTGGTCGATGATCTGGACGACCGAGTAGCGCTGCTCGCCGGCGTCAGTGGTGCCGATGTTGTGGTCGCCGAGCAGGACCTGGATGTCGCTGGCGGTCTGGAGGTCGGCCGTGCAGTGGGCCGCCGTCAGCACGTAGCGGTTGTTGATGACGCTGCCGCCGCAGAAGGTGCGGGTGCCGCCGGGGCTGACGAGGCCGGCCTGCCACGGGAAGGCGCCGATGGCAGCCTCGGTGCCGCCGACCACGCGGCCGCTCTGGCGTTGTCCGCAGCGGCAGCCGCCGGTCGAGGGCGCCTGCGTGGTGACCGGGGCCTGCGTGGTGGCCGGGGCCTGGGTGGTGACCGGCGCCTGAGTGGTGCCGTCCACCCTGGGCACGGTGATGGTGCAATGGAAGCCGGTAGACGTGCCGGAAGAGTCGGTTCTGAGCTCGATGGCGAGCTGCGCCGCGGTGATGGTGGGCACGTCTCCGGAGCCGCAGTAGCGGACGTTGTTGATGGAGAGGACGTCACGCCAGCAGAGGAAGGACCACTCCAGACTGAAGGGAGAACAGCTGATGCTGACGGCCTGGTCCTCGGCACCCTGCACGGTGACAGTCAGCCGCAGGTTGTTCGGGTACTGGTTAGGGAAGTTGGGCGAGGTGAAGCGGTAGTTCCCGGCGTTGAGGACCTGCACAGCGCGGCTCGGCTGCAGCGTCAGCGGCACCACCTCCTGGTACGGCACCGCCTGGACCTTATCGCCGTACGGCACCGCCTCGTCCTCAGCGTCGTAAGGCGCCGCCGCCCGCAGCTGGCCCGGCTTGGCCACGGCCACGCCCAGGGCGAGGCAAGAGATGATCAGCAGCCGGTTCATGGTGAGTTGATGCCGACCCTCCGAGACCCGGCGCCTTATATATCCCGCCGCCGGCGGGCACAGGTGTACCCCGACCCCTCCGGGACAGCAGGGCTCGGCCGGGCCGTCCGCCGTCCCGCTGTCGGTCCGAGAGCAGCCGACGACACCCGTCCGTTCGCTGGACGTGGACCGCTTGACGATGCAGCGGCGGGTCGTCAGCAACACAAGTGCGCCTGTCGAATGCTCGCGGCCACATAGGCGGCGGAACGGGGGGGGCACCGGGGCACCGTGCCCCCCCTTGAATTCTGCAAGGGGGGCACCAATAGCAAGGTGCCCCCCCTTAAATTTGATGTATTAGTACCAGGAGCAGATTCGGGAAAACTCCAAGGGAAGGGTCATGAATCGAAGTGGTGCCCCTACCTATACCCAAAATGAAAACCTCAACGGATTTCGGCCACTTAATTTTGGTGGTGCCCTATTTTCAGTTTTCTATTTTCTTTATTTTTGGTTAGTCGTGTGATGACTGGTGCCTCTGCTAGGCCGCTGGTGCCCCTGGAAAGATTGTGGTACCTACCTACCCTGCCCCCTGACAAGCCCACGGTGGGCCCTGGGTGCCATGGGTCCTAACAGGCCCGTGGTGCCCCTGACAGGCCTGTGGTGTCCTTGCTAGGCCTGTGGTGTCCCTGGGCCTTGGCAGGTCTGTGGTGCCCCTGGCGAGCCTGTGGTGCCCCTGTTAGAACGCAGGTGCCCTTAACCCTCGCCCGCACATGCTATTTTCCCATCCTAGAACGCACATGGGGGGGGGGGGGGGTGGTTGCCACCCCCCCCGCGCCATTTCGTTCCTGTTGGAGATAGAGCTTAGCAGTAAAGACCAAAAAGATTCTTTGGGAAGAGACGAATCCAATGATACCCAGTTTTACCTTCTCAGGTCAGTCATTGACCTTCCAGGTCAGGTCAAACTAAAAAATATTGCTGTTTTGGGTCACCGTTGGATATCAAGTGCGCTGCTTATCAAATACCGATGACGATGCTGTTTTCTGGTGCCAAGCCAGCTAGAACCTCTTTGTCACACTACCCGACCAGAATTTTGCTGCTGAGGTCATTTCAGGTCAAGTTAGGTCAAGGTCAATTATATGTGTTTGTATGTCTGTGTGTGTCTGTGTGTATACTTATGTGTGCACCGATTGTTTTTGGGTCCATATTACATGAAATCATGATCTGAGAAGCTTTTACCAAAAATGCAGTCAAAAAACTTCACAAAAAGTAAATTCAGCTTGCCTAAAACGCAATTATCTTAGATGACCTAGGTTGACCTTGACCCTGACCTTGACCCCTGTACATCGTCGAACAACATGTTCCATGATAGGTGGGAGGTAAGACTGGCAAAAAAGGCCGAAATCAGGGTGTCAAAAGCTCACAAGGCCCATGGCAAGCGAAAGATGTTGAGAATTGGCCATTTGGGTCATGACATGACCTGAAAAACAAGGTCATATCTCCTAAACCAAAAATCACAGAAACTTGAAATTTTCAGTGGACATCAAGAGAGGATAGAGGAGCAGCTATACGAAAAATCAGCCTTCTAGCTCTAAAAATGTTGAGTGCAGAGCAGAAAAACTACCTGGGGGGGTGGCAACCACCCCCCCCCCATGTGCGGGCGAGGGTTAACAGGTTTGTGGTGCCCCTGACAATCCTAAAGTGCCAACGACAGGCTTGTGGTGCCCTTGACAGGCCCATGGTGCCCTTGCGAGGCTGGTGGTTCCCCTGCAAAGCCGATAGTACCCCTGGCAGGCCTCTGGTGCCCCTGGCAGGTCTGTGGTGCCCCTGGAAGACCTGTAGTGCTTTTGCTAGGCCGATGGTGCTCCTGACAGGCCTGTGGTGCCACTGACAGGCCCGTGGTGCCACTGACAGACCCGTGGTGCCCCTGCTAGGCCTGTGGTACCCCTGGCGGGCCTGTGGTGCCCCTGTCGGCTGTCAGGCCTGTGATGCTCCTGGCAGGCATGTGGTGACCCCAGGCCCAAAGTCATGACCCATGTGACCTTCCCCCTGGGATTCGCCACTGATAAGTACTGCAATGGCTTCTTGGTAATTTGATACATGTAGGATTAACCCTCGCCAGGCGAGGGCCTTTTCCATAACACGGACGGCGAGGGGGGGGGGGGGTTGGTACGACCCCCCTCGCGATTGGCTCCTATGGCACTTAGAAACGACAAATTTACAGGGTAGGTGGGTCCATGGGAGATCTCGCCCCTAGGAAAGTTTGGTGACTCTAAGTCAATATTTAGGGGGTTTTGGGGGTATGAATGCAAAAATTTTGCTAAAACATGTTAAAAATTTTCGCTTATAACTTTTTACCTAGCAAAGATAGAGCAAAAATAAAAGCACCAGTGAACTCAGGACGTCAGTGCGCATCGAATGGTATACTTTGTTACCAATTTTAGTGAAGTTTGGAATTCAGTTGCCGCTAAGCTAGTCCAATTTTCCCCTGACCTTGTACCGGTTTTTGTGACCTGGTGACCTGACCTGAAATGACTGGGACTTCAAATTTTCAGGAAAGGTGCGAAAATGTTGCCCCAGAAGGTATGCCCGCGCCGCCGTTTTTACGTTATTTGCGAAAAACTTTGGGGGGGTTGCATCAACCCCCCTCGTCGGGCGAGGGTTAATGGAATTTATCAAACGAGAATAAGAAAGAGACAAACACATAGGTACTTGAGGATCAGCTTCAAGTTAACCACACATACAGGGGTGTTCTGCCATTTTCGTTTAGTAAAAAAAAAAGAAAAAAATCATCGTGTCAGGGCTGTGACGAAAAATAAGTGGCCTAAATCCGATGAGAAAACAGGATTTGGGGGTACCCTAGGTTTGGCTCCTTGAGCTGGTGCCCCCCTTGTCTCAAATCGTTCCGCCGCCTATGCGCGGCCATGTCGCTTGAGCGAGACAGCCGCAGGGCCATGACGTCAGGAATAGCGCCTAGATTGGCATGTGCCAGGACGCAAGTGGCGGTGGTGCCTGCATGGCAGTTGGCCCGTCCGCTTGCAGAAATTGTGCTACGGTGAACTTCTAGTACCATTGAACATAAGTATTACACGGTCGGTACAATAATCTAGCAAGAGACCATGATTTTCATGGAAATAAAAAAAAGTTAATGAGTGACAAGAATTTAATGACAAATAACACTTTTTTGTTACTCAAGATAAAAGTAGCCGGCAAAATCGAGCATCTTATCATACCACTTGGTTCACTTAAAATGTTCTGTCTTCATTGAAAGTCGCTGTTTCATTTGTTTCGCTTGTCGCGTCTCGCATTTAGCGCATTCAGCAACAGCAGAATCAGATGCATGCAATGCAAGGCTTTGGCAGAGCTGCCAGTCATCAGCTCTGATGACTCCTCTGGTTTGCGCTACTGTAACTCATACCTACTCAACCCCAAACCAAGCGCCGCGCTACTATCGCTCCGGAACCCGCTTTTTACCCTTTTACCGAAACATCAGCCGTCAAGCGACCAAGGCACACTTATTGCTCCATGAGAACATTGCAAAAGGGCAGCAATGAGCAAACTGAGTAGTGGCAACCGGCCACGGTTCTCAGAGAGGGTCTTACACCAATAGATAGATCCACACTGAAGAGGAGCACGTGACGCAGCTGATTTACGCTGCATGTACTACTGGGAAAATTACGTGGCCCTGCCGACCTTTCGGCTATGAAGCGTGGAAGGCGGGGCACGACGTAGTCTGAACTCGCCGACACACGGCAGCTGGGTTCTGCACGTCAGCTCCCGGAGATGATGCATGGGCGATAATGTCTATATAGAGCTGCATAAAAGCTGCAATATTTTCGTGGAGGAGGCTATACGGGGTTTTAAGTAATTTCCCGTGACACATATTGCTTCACAGCACATTGTTGCACATCCGGTAAACGTCGTCACACCTATGTAAGGCAGTGGTGAGGTCATGCCGGTCTCATTTTCATCGATACACGCCGCCAAAGTGTCCACACCGGTGACCCCCACGTTTCTCACATCTTGCGTTCTCTGACGACCTGTCGTCCCTGTTCCCAGACACCCACTGCGTAGGATGTTCTCTCCCCGTCTCTCCCCGACCCTCCCGCGCTGCGCCGCCCGCTCGTGAGTTGGCTAATGACTCCCACCGCCGGCTCCACGCCGTGCACGGCCGTTGCCTCAGCTTCCGGGCCGTCCCGGGGCCGGTCTGGTCTGACCCCGACCTCTGCTGGGCTGCTGACGGGCGCCGTCCCACCGTCTGACCGGGGAGCCGGCCCGGTCCCGGCTCTGGCGACCCCACCGCAAAGGGTGTGGCGTCTCACAGACTTGGAAAGCGACACGGTCCACTCTCATGTGATGTCACCATAAATTGACGTAACGCCACAGTGAGCCGCTGTGACGCCATCGTGAACAGACGAGATGAACAGCCGAGACACTCTCAGCATGCCAGCTGCAGGATACTGCGTCGCTGGTCAGCCAGGAGGGCTGCAAGCGCCACATCAATGATGGCAGAACTGACAGAACTGAGTCCTCCTCCCCGATGTTCGCAGCCTACTGAACTGACTGGGGTGACGTTTGTTCTCTGTGCAGGCCGCGCAATGGGTTCGCGAAGGAGAACCTGGAGTGGCTGGAGGGCCTGTTCCGCGACCAGCTCGGCGACTCGGAGGAACTGCACCTGGAGGACTTCAAAAAGATCGTCCAGACTAAAAACGTGAGTAGTTTCCGCAGTGGCAAATGCAGGCTGGCAATATAATGAATAAGTCGATTATCTGATGGTGACAGCGTAAACAGTGAACTGTTTGCAGCATGAACTGCGATTGAACAAGAGGCTTGGATAGTTTTGGGTTAAAAGGCGCAAAAGAAAGTACGAAAGGCATAACCAGACCAGCACAAAACACGCAACAAAAATTGGAAAAATGTGGACGAAAATGGGTGTGATTTAGAGACTTTGAACAGTACCTATCCGCCTAAATTGTCGAAGAAAATGGGTATGATTTGACTTTAAACAGCACCCGCCTAACCTACTTAAACTCACTCTCACACAATGCTGACCGCACGCTAACCGATGCCACCGCAGCCGTTTTTCGCGGAGCGGGTGTTCCAGATATTCGACAAGGACAGCAGCGGCACGGTGTCGCTGCAGGAGTTCCTCGACGCCATGCACCAGTTCGCCGGACAGTCACACGACGACAAGATCCGCTTCCTCTTCAAGGTCTACGATCTCGACGGTAAGTGCTGTTTCCGGAGAGTGCTATTGAGCTTAGCCCTATTAGCCTAGCCCTAGTCCTAGCCCTACCTCGGTCGAAACGCTATCCGAATGCATCTGTTATTTTAATTTTTCTTTCATGACAATAAACATTAGGAAGAAAAGAAAAGACAGCCCAGCGGCCAAAAGATCTTCGTATTATACAAATCCTATTCGTAATTTGCACTTCCATTATACTTAGCCAATCAGCCATCACTTTCTCAATCAAAAGTCGCCTCTTGGCACCAACCCTTGCAATTCTAACACCCGCTCTCCGCTCTGGTCAGGTGACGGTCTGATCCAGCACCGCGAGCTGCAGCACGTGATGCACGCCTGTATGGAGGAGAACGGCATGAAGTTCAGCGAGGAGCAGATCGAGGACCTGACCGCCGCGCTCTCCGAGGACGCCGATGTGGAGGCCCAGGGCGCCATCACCTACGAGGCGCTGAAGGCGCAGCTGGCCAAGCACGAGGGACTGCTGGAGAACCTCTCCATCAGGTGGGAGTGCGGCACGGCGAGGGAGGTCGGGTTGGAGGGGAGGGGCTACTCAGGGAGGTAAGATGGGCCTGGGTGTGAAATCAACTCATTTACCATGGAAAATATTAATAATTAATATGCATCAATCCCCTCGCGTTGTCTCGTATTTCACTTCTAATGAGCTCCTAAAATAATTAGCCCTCGTTTGATCATAAATCATCCTGAGATGAGAGATTACCACGTAACTGACCGAAAAGAGATGACTGAGGTGACTGCGAAGAGATGATACTGAAAGATGAACATATTTCCTCTTTCAGTATCGACCGCTGGCTGGTGCCGCCGCAGCCCAGGAACCGGCTCTCGATCCTGCGCAAGCTGAGCTCGGTGAAGCCGTACCAGTTCTCTCTGCCCTACATCCGAAACAACTACGCCTACCTGGCCTTCCTCTTCGCCTTCATCGCCGTCAACGTCGGCCTCTTCGTCGGCCGCTGTGTCGAGTTCAGGGACTTCCCCGGGTTCTACATTTTGGCTAGGGCCTGCGGTGAGTCATAGGGAAGGACACGACACCGGACACAAAGCTATGATGTCGGACACTCAGGTGCTGTTACTTCTCATAAGTCTCCTCGTGTTTATAAATTATAAAACGATATATACCTAAGATGTCTCATTTTGATGAATCCCAACAAATCAAATCTACCCAGAGTCGTAATTACGCCCAGCGCTCACTTTTACCATCACTCCAACTGCAGGCCAGACTCTGAACTTCACGAGTGCGTTCATCATCGCCGTGATGCTGCGGAACGTCATCACGTTCGCTCGCTCGCACGGCCTCGGCTCGATCCTGCCGCTGGACGAGCACATCTACTTCCACAAGATGGCCGGCATGCTCACCTTCGTCTACAGCCTGACACACACGTTCGCCCACCTCTGCAACCTTGGTGAGTCTGAACGGCGCTTGCCATATGCCATAGCATGTGCTCGTTTAATTTATTGACTCGGCTGAAAACAGAAGTCATCGGCTACATGCGCAATGGGAATTTCTCAACTAAAGTCAACATCAGGTCGGGTAGCACTACCAGTGCTATACATTGTACCACAAAGCAACCTAAAACCTATGGAAGAGACCGTTAGAGTGTCTGGCTCACAAGCCTTCCACTTTCCACCCACAACGCCGACACCTCATTTTCCTCCTTCCGCAGCGATCAACGTGGTGCCGCCGGACGGGGCGCTGCACGCGCTCAACGAGGGCAACTTCACCTACGCCGAGTGGCTGCTGACGATGCGCCCGGGAAAATTCGGTCTGGTGGCGGGCATTGCCAACCCTAGCGGCGTGGCCCTCATGGTCATCCTCACCGTGATGGTCATCTGCTCACAGCCGTTCGTCAGGAAAAAGGGCAACTTTGAGGTGAGCGGGATTGAACATGGGCTATGGAGCGTAGTTTTAGGTAGCATCTAAAGTTGCGTGTAAAAAGTATTTTGTTTCCTACGTAATGTTTTTATACAAAGGCAGTTTTTTAGCAGCGGTGTAACCTGAAATGTCAATGTTTTTGTTCATAAGTTAATCGATTAAATTCGGTAAAATGTAGCTAAATTGGTTAAATTATCATGTGCGGTTTAACCTCTTAACTGTACAATTAAGCCCATTCTAACCCGAAGTGTGATACCGCACATGCCGCAGGTGTTTTACCGGACGCACCTGCTGTACGTGCCGTACATGATCCTGCTAATCCTGCATGGACCCAACTTCTGGAAGTGGGTGATCGTGCCGGGGGTCATCTACCTGCTGGAGCGGATGGTGCGCTTCCTGCGCTCCCGGACCGGTCAGGGCAGGACCTACATCAGCTCCGGCATCCTGCTGCCATCCAAAGTCACACACCTGGTGAGACTATACAGACCCCTGACTTTTACCGACAACTAGCCAGACTTGCCGTTGATTGGCCGTTTTAAATTTTCATCCAACAAGTTTAGACCTAACTGTCTGAAATATGAATGACAGCTCTCAGATTTACATTTGCTTTGTAAGCATGAATTCGCATAATTATATTGGTGCAACAAATGTGTGCACATTACGTAGGCCCTGAGAAGCTGTTAGTTCCCACGCGAAACACGCTCATGAATTGTCTGCCTGTTGTCGCTGCTCGTATATCAGACCACTTCCGTGTGCAATACACAACTCATCGCAACCTAATCCATAAATATCGGACCTGTTGAGTGTTGACCATTATTATCATCTAAAGCCAACAGAACGCTCATCACTAGTGCAGTTAACGCCGAACCGTCTGGCACAAAATGCTATCCGCAGAAGCTGTCCCAGTCAGACTGCCGGTCAGACTGCTGCCCCAGACTGCTGTCCCAGACTGCTGTCCCAGACTGAGCCCGCACCTACTGCCGTTCGCAGGTGATTCGGCGTCCCTCCAGTCTCGTCTACCACCCGGGCGATTATCTGTTCGTCAACATCCCGGTGATCGCCAAATACGAGTGGCATCCGTTCACCATCAGCAGCGCTCCCGAACAGGACGGTACGCTCACCAGAACACTTATGCGTGTTCGATGTGTTCTGAGAAAACTGCTGTTGTGATGTCATGATAACAAAGTGCTCGAATCGATCTATACATTGACTCATCTATAGACACCCTGACCTAACTAGACGTCCGCGGAACTTTTGATCGGAGATAGCTGATAGCGAGGAACATCTTCTCTCGAGAACTGTGATTGTGCATCTTCCAATAATTATCATTCTTCATTGTCGGAACAGGTTGTTTTGCGCCACTGACTCCTTTTTTGCGCCACTGTTTTGACCGCTCTGCTGACTCCTGTTTTCGTCGAACGTTTCTTTCTCTGCAGGCACGTTGCGACAAGGGACATGCCCTTACCCCACTGATGACATTTGTTCATTAATTTTTTCTTCTCAGACACCCTGTGGCTCCACATCCGTGCCGTGGGCGGGTGGACGAACCGACTCTACGACTACTTCGAGGAGGAACAGCTCAAAATCGAGTGCATGGAGGAGGTCAAAGGCGGACCGGAGAACTGCGCCTCCGAAAAGTGCCAGCGGATCCTCAAACCGGAGGAAACCAGCATACAGAAAATACAAAAGTGAGACAACCTTTCATCGAAATGTATCTACGCTGAAAAAGAAACAAAGTCGGAATATTGAGTATCCATGACAGATTTGATAATGATGTAAATAATAAACCAATTAGTACAAATCAAATATATTCAAAAACACACAAAGCTTTCGGCTTCGAACAGCCTTGGTCACTGTGTCATAGGTAAAGGTCTAATGACCTTTACCTATGACAGACATTTACCTATGCCTATGACCTTTACTTTAGACCTTTACCTATGACACAGTGACCAAGGCCGTTGAAGCCGGAAGCTTTGTGTGGTTTTGAATATATTTGAGTTGTATTAATTGGCTTATTATTTACATCATTATCCAATGTCGAAATAACTGATGATATCTCTGATTAGACGGATCGATCGAAAACTTAATCAACTACAATTACTTCTATGTCACCTTCTTGACTTGAAACTACAGCACATTTGTCTAAGCCAAAAATTACCGTAATTATTTTGCCCCCCCCCCCCGTTTTCTTCTATTTCAATTCCGTCACCATCCCCGTTTATCGCCAGATCGATGAAGAAGCTGGCGATTACCGGAGAGAAGGAGCGGGAGCGTCGGATCAGTTTCAGCACCAAGCCGCCGGAGATCCTGTCGGACGGAACGGAGAACGGCGCCTTCACACACGACCAGGAGCCCGTCAGCATGGAGCCCATCGACGAGGAGGAGCCCGGCCAGGGTACGGAACAAATGGGTGCCCGGTGGCCACGGGTCTGACAGGTGACAGCTTGCCAAATAGGACTTATCGCACAGCACCACAGAATCCCATATTTTTAAGAAGTCCATTCCCCCGCCCACACAACTTTTCTTGAAACGTGGCATTGTTGTATCGATATCGGGATATCCGATGATAATGGAGCTCCGTACAGAGTGTCATTTCTGTTTTTTTTTTTCAGATATTACCGATCAACATATGACGTCACTGGACGAGACCAACAACGGTCTGTTCGGAATCAAGAAAGTGCCGCTGCTCAAGGCCATCTCCCTGCCAGACATGCAGCATAGAATGAAGACGAGGGAAAAACTGCTGGCGTAAGATGAACTCTGCAGTTGATAATACACTTCATGGTAGCCATTCATACAGTCAAATACTGTCATTTTGAATCTATTCTTCGTCCTTTGACTCTTGGTGCAAATATTCACAAAATATCTCAACCGTAACGATATTTTCTCGACAAATATTATAAACAACAAAGTTTTCGTTCTCGTTCACAGACTCCGGAACCAGGTTCGCTCCAACTCGGAGCGCATGTTCGACGACAAAGCCATGCAGCGAGCGCGGGCCCAGCTAGCAGACCTACCCTATCTGGTATGTATGACGTCATATGTTCATAATGCAAATATGTCAGTAGATCACATCGCTGATTACATCTTTGGTGATAAGGTGCTTCTTAGAGAGTTCTTAGACATGAATATGTGCATGCATTACTGGGAATTGGGTAAGAAAAATCACAATTATCCTGTTGATTAGTATTTCAGCATCGTTTGAATCACTCATGACGCAAAATGTTGCCTTGCATGCATGCTCCATTTGCTAGACACCACAAAGCTGATGGGCTGCTTGAGGGCGACGTAAAGTCTGAAGTTTGAATGGTGTGGTGGATATTGCACCGTGGCACCACTGTAAAGGCATGAAGAGATATTAATGCACCTCGACACGCCATGCCTCCGCGGCAGCCTGCATGAGAATCGCTCCTTAGAAGCTACAGCTGCGATGGCATGCGCTCACTAACTACCACTTTGGGTCCTATGTGTAACGTGCAGGCATTTCTGTAACTTGGCATGCTTTCTTCCAGAAACGTGGTGAACCGGTACTTAAAAGCGTATCTACGGTAAGTTCCGGCCCCGGACAATGTAAAATTGGTGTCGGTAGATGATTAATACGAGTATATGAATGAATAGGATTATGTCTATCGGAGTGAGGAGTAAATGGAGAGGAGTACCCTCACTAAACCAAGTCAGCAAAAAGAACCGTGTATCATAATATTGCAAAAGCAATCCGTCAATCATGTCGGTTGATCATCAGGTTCAACCGAAATAAGTCTATTTTCATTGTGCGATATCTTCGTTTGAAATGTCGTGCGAAAATGAACTTCTCCGTGTGATAAAGTGAAGACGAGTGTACCTAATAGCGTCATTTCGATTTAACTTTGATGTCAACCAGCAGAGTAAAAGCCCCTGACCTCGAATTCAACTTGGTACTTAGCTTATTTCATCATTTGACCGCACTCCCTGTCTCCCCGTGCGGCACCAACCCGCAGAGTCCCCAGAACAAGTCTGTGGCGCGCAGTTTCCGCTACATGCGCCGCAAGCCGACCATCATCGCGTTCAAGACGCCCTCCCAGGACAGCCTGGAGCTGGCCAAACGGGAGCAGGAGACGCAGGAGGAGCAGGAGCAGCGCCGCGCCGAGGAGGGGCGCGCGCAGACCGTGGCGCTGCCCAACGGGGCAGAGCTGAGGTACCCCGTCGGAAAACCGCTCGAGGTGAGCTGGGTTACCGCTCGAGGTGAGCTAAGGTACCCCGTCGGAAAACCGCTCGAGGTGAGCTGGGTTACCGCTCGAGGTGAGCTAAGGTACCCCGTCGGAAAACCGCTCGAGGTGAGCTCTACAGGTACCGCTCGGGGTGAGCTCAGGCAACGGTCGAGGTGAGCTCGGGTACCGTCGCGAGTTGAGGTACTCTGTCGGTAAACTGCTCAGATTAGGTGCGGAGCAAATGTCTCTCTCATGGGAACAACGATAAACTGGTGCTAGAGAGCTGAGGCCAGTTTTACCAACAGATAGCCGCCTGCCGGAATTTTTGCCTGAAGACCGCTCCACATACGGAGCGTAAACGCGATGGGCACGTAAGCGGATAGGGCTTTACAGTTTACGCTCCGTATGTGAAGTTGTTCTTAAGCAAAAAATTCCGGCAGGCTGCTATTTTTCTCTTGGTAAAACTGGCCTCTGATGCGCTGAAGCTATGCCAATGAATGCTTCAGCTAGTTCAATAATTTGTCTTGCCATTCTGCACCCATTTCACCACCCCCGCCGTACACCAACTGATGAGCCTGTCTACTGCTTTCAGATCTACCTGGACGGTCCGTACGGCACTCCGTCCAGCCACATTTTCCGCGCGCAGCACGCTGTGCTGATCGGCACCGGGATCGGCGTCACACCGTTCGCCTCCATCCTGCAGTCCATCATGTACCGCTACTGGAAAAACTGCCACCGCTGTCCGCGCTGCCAGCACGAGTGGACCGCAGAGCTGCCCGCCTCCGTCATGAACCTCAAAAAGGTCGGTGGGCCTGGGAATGTGTCGTCCAGCCCGTAGCCGTATGACCCGCTTAGTGCTTCGCGCTTGCTCGTGAATCGAGAAAATATAGACTTACAAAAATATATAATATAAATAATCAGTTATTATTGAAAATGTTTAGTGTTCTGAAGAATAAACTCCCGAAAATCCTGGCTCCTACAGGAGCTGTCAGGAGCTGTGAGGACATTAAGTCCTAAAGTCAATATCACTATTGTTTGTGATCGAAAGTATGTTGAAGTGTGTGCTGACTGCTGATACCGGCGAGGAAACTCAAGCCGGACTTACCTGTAAGAAGAGCAGCTGAGTTATTCCAGCGCAGGCCGGAGGCGCCGATGTTAGCTCACTCGGTATAGAAATATTTGAAAACATGGTTGCCAATAACAGCACAGTACCCGAGCGTAGCACATTGACATCCCCTGGTAACAACTGTCAGGCGCTGTTCAACTGCTGATGCCTCACCGTTTTGACCCATGACTGTTCCCTCTTTCAATCCCTGCACTTCGTCCACTAATAATGCTCTCACGCAACCACGCGCCACACCACCGCGCTGACGCGCATCTGTTTACGACTGACACGCATCATGGCGCTCGGTAACAAAAGTCGGACGACGACCAGTCACGTGACCAGCGCCGCGGGGCGTTGCGCTCCTGGCAATCTGCCAAGGCCTCCGTCCAGACGCTGCAAGACGCGTCTCAGATTACCCATGGCGGAATTATCGTCACCGAAAAGGGGAAGAAAGATTCGTTAAGATACTGAACATTGGTTAGTGTCAGCAATGACATTTAATGTTCAGTAATACAATGCTCGATAACGCATTGTAAATGATATTGCGTTATTTTATCATATATAGGATTTATTTATAAAGTTACTGTTTTTAGGCATAATCCCGAAGAAGGATAGTCAAAACAAGCATGTGGATATTTATTCATAACTCAAGATTGTTTTCCCCAAAAACCTTATCAAAATACCCGAGCTATGACACAAATGACCCGAAATTAATCCTAGTCTCTCCCGCCGTTTGCCTGACTGAAGGCAGCAGCGACAAAAAGATACCTACACTACAAAATATATCGCTCAGTCGGTATAGACATGCAAATACATATGCCTTTAAATATGGTTTGGATAAATTAGTGCGGCCAGACTAATCCAGTAGCCGCCGTAAAATAGACGATCACTCAACACTTTTTATTTTCGTCCTGCCTCCAGGTGGACTTTTTCTGGATCAACCGCGACCAGCGTTCGTTCGAGTGGTTCGTGAACCTGCTCTCTCAGCTGGAGATTGAACAGGCCGAGCAGGGAGGCGTCATGGACCGCTTCCTCGACATGCACATGTACATCACGTCGGCGCTGCAGAAGACGGACATGAAGGCCGTGGGCCTGCAGCTGGCCCTCGACCTGCTTCACAAAAAGGTGGGGACCACGGGAGGGACGGGAAAATTCTTCATATGATAAATATCACAATGTCTGGCACGATACATTCTTCATATATTGAAAGTTTCAAAACAGCATAACAGTTTCGAAATTCAAATATCGCTTCCTTACGTCGATGGATGGATGGCTAAATGAAACTGACTCTTAAGCATTGTTGCTTGCTTTATTTTACTTTGAGAGCACCATATCCAAAGAACGAGATCCCGTTTTTAGAATAACTGACGCTCTGATCTACCCGTCCCTCAGGAGAAGCGCGACATGATCACCGGCCTGAAGACGCGGACGATCGCGGGCCGGCCCAACTGGAACAAGGTGTTCCGTCAGATCCAGGAGCAGAAGAAGGGCAAGGTGACGGTGTTCTTCTGCGGACCGCCGCAGCTCTCCCGCACGCTGCGCTACAAGTGCGACGAGTTCGGCTTCAAGTTCCGCAAGGAGAACTTCTGAGGGCATGGCTCAGACCGACTCGTCAAGTTCCTCAAGGAGAGCTGCTGTTGCAGGCTCCGCGCCGTCTTCCATGTGTTGAGCTGTTCGGACTCCAAGAGCTGCCCGCTTGGCGTCAGGTTTCTTGAGGACAGCTTTAGTGATTTTCCTTTCCCTAAGTTATTCACACTCCGATCAACGATGAGAAGATGAGAAAAATGCTTGATTTCCTTGCCACGTTTATTCGGCAATTAATTTCAATTACGTTTCTAGATCGTAATCCGCCCAAGCTTAAAGCTATCAATGTAGCATGACGCATTGTAGGATCATGTTTTGCGCGCCAATCATAAATCGAAGTCCACATGTTCATGGTTATATACAGGAAGTCAAACTCCGCAAGTTCGCCGTGCGTAACCAGGCTGAATAAGGCTCAAAATGTTGCAGATACGAGGGAGTGCATTTTCGTACACCCCCCACTACTCGATAAGCCCCATCCTGCCGGACATTGCTGCCATTGAACGAACATCTTCTATCAAACAAACAACAGACCCGTGAGGCTTCAATAGTTACCAAGCGTGTGCGTGGGAACTACAAGTTGAATGAGTTTTGTGTAGGAGCGATAAGAACGTGAGTGTATGACGCTGTAAGGAATGGCCCTATATTTATATGTTAGGAGTGGTGTTATGAATGAGAGCCTGTGTCCGATTACTGATCGACAAACACGAGCGCAATGCGCCTGGTGATTGCCATCGTTTAGACGGATGAATGACGAGCAGGCCGTATCAGCTGGATTGTGCGGTCTGAGAACGTATACCTTTTTGAGATATTATACCTCTTTGATATTTTCTCGTTGAAGGGTATGCTGTAATTACTAATATAGTATCGTCTTTGAATAATACAGTATTTATGAAAAGGCGAGTGTTTTTACTTTTTATGGTTGGGAATGCACTACGGCACTTATGAACGCTGATCGTTTAGCCTTTGACCAAGAGACGTAATACGTGTAAATTGTAATAAACGGATAATAAGAAACAATATAGATAAGTGCATATAATAAGTGACGCAGACGTTGTCACTGTTCAGAAACGGGCGAAAAGTCGGCTCACTTGTAAGCTATTGATAATCAAGTAATGTTCTTACACCTAACAGATCAGAAGTGCCCTTTGACCCGGCAATATATGAAATTAGTCGAGCGCCGCCGTAATGGTAAAATAGATATCAAGTCTATTTTTTTTCACCGACGACGGCCGTAAAGCAGACCAACCACCAATCTCCGATTGACCACCAGCTTACACCTTCATCTGAACCATAATGACGAAATAGGTGAGCACAAAGGCGAACAGGGAGAGAACCGTGCTCTTCTGGGCAACAAACAGTCCCCCGCCGTGAATCCCCAGTGGCTGGCGGGCCTGCTCGAGTAGCATCTGCAGCAGGAACTGGCCCTCGGTGGAGGGCGGCTCGCCGGGCCGCCAGGTGACGGCGGCCAGCGCGGCCAGCAGCTGCTGCCGCTCCGCCAGCAGCCGGCTGCCGGCGCAGCTGACCGCCAGCACGCGCAGCACGTACAGCCCCAGGCAGGCGCCCGAGACGAGCAGGCCGCGCGCGGAGCCCTCGCGGCTGTGGAGGGCCACCAGCGTGACGTAGCCGCCCAGCAGCAGAGACGTGATGACGCTGGCGTACAGACTCAGCACGGGAACGGAGCAGACGGAGGCGACGTCGGCGGCCAGCTGCCGCACGGAGCGGAGGACCGAGCCCAGGCGGTGGAGGTCGGGTCCCGCGGAGGACGGCGGACGCTCGGCGGCCGGTGAGGTCCGCCGCACGCGAACGGAGATACGGGAGTGGGTTGGCAGAGATGAGTGCTGCCGTCGGCCAACATCCTCGTAAGTGAAAGCTGGTGATCCTTTGTCAGGTTCTCGAGCGTCCAAATCAACCAGCTTTACATTATCCGTCTGCTTGTCTTCGATAGCTTTCTCTTCTGAGCTTTTATCCAGGGAGGTCCAAGAGAAGATCCCCCCGTCATCCCCCCTCTCGACCTGGCCGCGGAGACCGGTCAGCATCAGCGCCACCATCTCGGTCAGACAGATCACCAGCAGGTCGGCCACCACCTGCATCGTCACCTGCACCAGCGCCGTCACCACCTGCAGGCTGGTGATGACCCAGTAGCCGGTCGGCGTCTGCAGCGCGGCCGGCACCACCAGCGGCAGCAGGTAGCGCGGGTGGTGCAGACTCCCGCTGTCGAAAAACGACGCAGTGGAGACGACCGCCACGGTCACGGTCAGCCCCACGACGCCTCCGACCCGGCAGCGGAGCGCGGTGAGCGCGCCGGGCCGCCGGTGGCCCCCGGTGACCTCCTCCAGGGCGGCGGCGCGGCGCAGCAGCCCGTGCAGCCGCCGGCGGTGGCGCAGCAGCCAGAGCAGCATCAGCAGGCTGTGCAGCACGCCCGACAGCACGGCCAGGCTGTACATCAGGGCCGGCACGCTGTCCCGGGAGAGGGCGTGCGCCAGGTTACCGGTGACCCCCAGCAGCAGCAGCACGGTCAGCGGCAGCAGGCGCGCCGCCCGCCACACGGCCGAGGCACGCTCCTGCGGCTCGTGCAGCCCGCTGAGCGTCAGCAGGGAGCCGACCAGCAGCAGGCGGCTCAGCAGACGGCTGGGGGGCCACATCTATTCAACAGAGAGAGAATGTGCGAAGGAGGTGACACCGATCGGTTTGAACATGATTTAAAGGAAACAAAATACTGGTGAACATATTCGACACAGGCAGATAAGCCATCGATCATTTTCGTACTAATTCATTTTATACCTTACCTTCCAGAGATAATTAAGCGAAACTTGCTCCTTATTCTGTCGAAGCCAATTTCGGCGAATAAGTATTTACCACGACTGCACTAAAGCAAGCAAGGAGCTTCCTGCGCTGTCTACCCGTGCTATAAACTGTCTGGTCGGACCCGCGCCGCTAGTTTTATGGGTACCGGCGCAATTTGATGCGCTGCATTTTATGCCTTACTGTGTTGATTGATATCAGTATCTACCACGTAACATGTAACCACCAGCCTGCTTTCAGTCTTGTCGCTCGATAAGCAAGTAAGTACATCTACTTATTACTGTTTTCTTCTATAGAAGCTGCGGGCTTTATTTAGGGGGGTAAACTGAGTACCTACTGCATAGGAAACGATCAATCAGTCGCCATTGGCTGTCTGCTAGGTAAGCGGATGTGTATTTAGGGGCATGCAAAGAGTAATTGCAGTGGAAACGATGGTCGTTCGATCGTTGCTGATATAGAAAAGGTCGCCATGACATTCCACCACCTTGGTAATTCGAAATAACCCGCCGTTCAGCACTCTATAGAACAGTGACCAAAGACCACTCTTCACAGTTTTGATGATCTGTCCATGTCGTGCTGACCATCAACTCGCCGTATTTCTCACGCTCAATAAAGCCAACTCACAAAAACCTTAAAAGTCCCGCCTGTTTAGCGTTAAGGTATTATAGGACTGCGTTTATGACATTTCTCGGATACGAAAGTATCTTATGTCTAAAGCTGACGTCCTGGCTATTTTTGTCCACTATAGATAAAAGCAATGGCCAGGTAGAAATGCTTAGAACTCAATTTTCGTTTACCTTTCGTGTTAGTTGGATCTTGCCCATTGCAACCTTTTGTACCTATTCTAATTTTATAACTTATAGTACCTACCGTTGAGGCCTTTATTGTATCGTGCATAAAACCACAAAGCAGAATTACGTGTGATTTTCACTTGTGATGTAAAATACACACGCCAATACCGACTAAAAAATAAACTAGATAAAACAACTTCAAGCATTGATAGGCCAGTCTGTAACCTACCAGAGAATGACACGATATCGGTATATTTCTTACAAGTCATATATTCATACAAACCCGGACTTCCATTGTACAGCGAGCATGCATGGAACGCGTCAGTTCTTCTGCTGACGAAATTATGCGAATGCATGTTTGCACACTAGTTATAACTATGCATATGTGGCAAGTGGTGTACCTACGCACGCCCACTGAGCAAATCATGCACACAAAATGGCGTTGAATCAGATCCTTCAACAGCTTTGAACCTTGCAATCGTGTCAGATCTCGTTAAAACGGAAATGATGCCCGGATATCGTTACACCAGCAACATGGATTTTAAGTGTCATTGGTGAAAGGGAGCCGTATCACACTGAACAAAATGATGGTCCCCGCTCGATCCATGTTCTGTGTAGGTATAACACCTCGCCAGAACACCGTGCTCTGCTCGTCCTTGCACAATGAGTCTCGTAACCTCTCAGCACTGCGCAGGGCGCCGTCTAATTGCCAGTGAGTCGGGTGGTCTCGCTGTCATCTCCGATGTCTTCCACTGTGAACTCCCCCAGCTCGGCAGAGTCGGCGCGGGCCCGGCCGGCCGGCGGCGGTGAGGGCGCCGGCCGTTTGGGCACCGGCGCCTCGCGCGTCTGAGGCCGACAGTCGATGGTCGGGTCAGCGTCTAGGCCAGTGAAGAGGGTCTCCAGCTCGTCTGCATCACTCAGCCGGGACGCCTGGCGGGGTCGACAGTAGCGCCGCCCCGCGAGCGCCGACAGAACTGCAGCTACCAGCAGGACGCCGCAGGCGATCGCAGCGATGGCGTACATCGGTAGTCCGGCACTGCTGCGAGAGGAGACGGCCGCCGGCTGGCCGCCAAGCTGGGGCAGCGCGTTACCCCCCTCCCCGGAGGGGATGGGCGGCGGCAGCTCGTTGGGGATGTCGGTGGAGGAGGGAGGGAGGGCTGAGGTGATCGGTGGACGGGCGCTGGGGGTGGCAGGGGGCGCTGGGGTAGCGGAGGAGGGCACCGCCGGGACCGGGGTCGGGTGTGAGGGTGTTGACGTGGTGGTGGTTGTGGTTGTGGTGACTGGTTGTGGTGTGGTGGTCCGTGGTGGCTGAGTCGTTCTTGTGGTGGGCTGTGGTGTTGGAGTCACCACAGCTCTTGTGGTTGTTGTGGGGGTTGTGGTGGTCGTTGGCGCCACGGTTACCGGTCTCGTGGTCACCGCTGTCGTTGTTGTTGTGGTTGTTGTGGTGGTTGTGGTTGTCCTTGGCGTCGTTGTCGCTCTGGTAGTTGTCCTCGTTGTTGTTGGTCTGGGTGTTGTTGTGGTTGTGGTTGTTGTGGCTGGTCGTGTGGTTGCGGCCGTGGTCGTGGTTGTAGTGCTGGTTGTAGTGGTGGTTGGCCGTGTGGTTGTCGGGGCCGCAGTGGTCGTTGTTGTGGTAGTTGTGGTTGTGGTAGAAGTGCGCGGGACAGCGGCTGTGGGCGCCGGTCGGGCGCCGCTCTCCGTTGAATCAGGCTCGTCAGTTTCCTCCTCGTCTGTGTCACTCATTGTCGAATTATCTGAAACAAGACGGAGACAAAAACTCACTCACCTAGTAATGAGTACGACCATGTCATTCACAGATCCTTCTCGCTGAAGGGGCAGTGGGAAGGCATTGCCACATACACTTTCTTGAACTCATTTATACCTTTTCTTTTGAGAGCTAAAAAGAAAATGACGGGTAAAGATCAACGAAACCTTGTAAGTCCCAGCAGAAGTAAATTGATAATACGTCCAAATGGATAATTGTCAAAATAAAGCATAAGCAATCTTTCTAACTTAATTGTGAATGAGCACGACAAACCACGTCATGATGATGCTCCATTTATTGACGTGCATCTTATGTCTGGAGTCTGGATATCGTGAAATAGATATGAAGTTTATGCAGCACTGCAGATTTATGGACCAGTTCATCCAATTTATGTAGACATGGCCTGATATTGCATTTAACATCGGCCGCAAATCTGACAGATTTGCGGCCGTAATGTACATAAATTGCGCATCAATGCTGCTCATAAACCCGGTGCTGCCATAATTCACGAATAAGCTGTTTCGGTGAGTCGCACATTCTCCCGCCGTGCGTGTTTTGTTTTACCGTCTGCCACGCCGTCCTCCTCGAGGCAGACGCGGTAGTAGTCGTTACAGCAGCCGCCGTCCAGCTGACAGTCGTCAGTGCAGCTGCAAAACACCGCCGGGTCGCGGCGCTCCCCGCACCGGCCCTCGCACGAGTTGGCTGCGGAAAACACAGTCACAGTCACGGTGAAACAATCACAGCCACAATCACAGTCACATGGGGCTTGGCACATCACAATCACAGTAACACAGCCACAGTCACACAGTCACAGAGCTGGGTTCATTCTTTCCCGACGGATATCTGATCAGACACGAGAAAATAACAATTGGCGGAGATGCTTCCAAGCTCCGAGGATCAATAGTCAATACCAACTGAAGCATGTCCAATGCTAAGCTATTCATGCAATAGAGTAATTAGACACCCATCTCACCCAGCCGACCCCCCCCCCCCCCGTCCCCCGTGATCGTACCTTCGTCATCGGTGGCGTCTATCGGCGCCGACGGCAGCAGCGGCGGCCGCGCCGGAGGGGTGCAGGCGTCACCGTGACGCAGGGCCACGTCATCGATGGCAGCGTCACTCATGTAGTTCTCTCCTCGCACCCCTTCGACAACCACCTGTGGTGGCGGGCGGTGTCACTCATAGAGACGGATCATTCATAAAGATCGGTCTGTGCAGCATGCTCCCTTCAGAGGCCTCTTGCACCAAACTACCTAGCTAGGTAAAATCGAAAAACCGGTTTCAGAATAAGCTAATCTAACGGTGGTAAATTTGTTTGCAATAGCCCAATACATAATCCTACATGTGCTTGCTAAATTTTGCACGCAAATTGTTACATTTGAGACTTGGACTGGGTATACGATGCAAAATAATCCAAGCATTGGTGCAAGAGGATTTTGGTGCAAGAGGCCTCAGCAGTCATTGTTAGGGAGGACAGGAGACGTGACTATTGAGTATATTCATCCGTCATGGTGTCTCAAGTGAGTTTCTGCAGGCATGCGACATGTCAATGAGCACGAAAGGCAGGTGTGCAAGATCAAAGGAAGATATCAATTCTAGGGTGGCTAATGACTATGCATGTTTTGTCAGTTGATACGTTACGGGTTACATAAAGCACATAGGCGTTTGTCAAGCACTTACAAATCTCATCATTACATTCGGTGTGATATTTGAATAATCAAATTAATCAGGTCAGACGCAGGAGCCTCATAAGCTGCCCTTCAACTCACCTGAAAATGAGCCGTCTGCTCAGGTATGGGAATAATCTTGTTGATCCAGCGGTTTCCCATGCTGTGAGTCCTTTCCCAAGCCGGTCCATCGAGCTGATCAAATGACTCATCCACCGGCAAAATGTATACTCGAATGGCACCTGAAAACGGGCATACCTCGGGTGAGCGAATAGCGATGGTCAACACCATTCCTATTCATCATGCATTTACGTGAATGCTTACCAGGCTGTACTTTGTTTAATGATAATGCATTGAATCAAAATAATCAAAACTTAATGATTAATGAAACCATTCTCACCTAGTATACCGGAGTCCCACCCTTCCATCTGTAAGTGAGCTGCCCCACATATTCTCACCTAGTGAGCTGCCCCACATAATCTCACCTAGTGAGCTGCCCCACATATTCTCACCTAGTGAACTTCCCACACGTTCTCACCTAGTGAGCTGCCCCACATAATCTCACCTAGTGAGCTGCCCCACATATTTTCACCTAGTGAGCTGTCCCACACGTTCTCACCTATGTAGTGAGCTGCCCCACACGTTCTCACCTATGTAGTGAGCTGCCCCACATGTTCTCACCTAGTGAGCTGCCCCACATGTGGTACCAGAGTGAGAAGCACGCGTCCAGGCTCTGAGAGGCGGCGAACACGGGCGAAAAGAGCCGGGCAGTGTCGTTTTCCACCCGAGGGTCAGACGCCTCGATATACATGTAGTTGCCTGAGAAAACGGCACGGGTTCGTGAAATGGTAGGTGTTAAATTCAAAATACCGTCTTTGACCGCTGGTTACGCGCTTAATCCACCAAATAAACAAAGGCAACGCATAATATAATTGATATTGAGGAGAATGTACAGCTAATGACCATTAGCACCATTAGCACAATAAAATAAAGTGTGCTGAGCAAAGCTGAGAACGTCATTTTCTTGTCCCGTGTCTTATCCGCGAGTTCGCCAAAAATCCACACACATCAATCATTCCACATCGTCCGCTCGTCTGTCAAACTGTTCCAAACTTCGCCTGCAGTGACCAGACAGCCCCACACTCCTCTCTTCTGTCCTTCCCCTTTTCCCCCTCCTCTCCCCACACGCACCCCGCTGACCCTCGCCGAGCGTGTGGTCGTACGACGGTCCTGTGAACATGTCGGTGGACGGGGTGCGGCCCGAGTGTCGCGTCCACTGAAACTCTGCCGCCTCGCCGTGAGTCCAGCCGCACAGATCGTCCTCAAAGTCGCACTCCACTTGCGTCTGGACGCCGTTCGCCAGCGACTCGGCTGTGTAAGGGAGAGAGAGGATGGGGTGTTACAAATGCACAGGGTTGAGAGAAATAACTGTATGGACTACTAGATACACGCCATTCGTGTCCAAATATCCCAAAGGTATAGGTGGTCGTCGGTCGACTTATATCTGAGGTGTCACTCAATTCAGTGCATCTGAGTTTTATTCTTCATTGAGACAACTTAGAAAAGAAAAGACAACCTAGAAATGATTGCAAAGAATACGTAAAGAAATGTGACTTATTTTATACGACAAAATGAACGAAACAAAGTAATACACAAGAGATATATCGATACAATTCAGTCAAATCACGGTTCCTTCAAAACATAGCCGTCCATATTTTGTAAGGAAGGTCCCACTGGCGAACTCCCCCATCTCACCCAGTGACCTCGTGTCCCGTTCCCGTCTGTGTCCTTACGCTCGCAGGTGGGCACTGTGCCGTTCCACTGCAGGCCGTTACAGTACATGGACGCGTGCCCGCTCAGCTCGAACCCGGGGCTGCACGTGAAGGTGATGACCCCTCCATTCAGCAGCTCCTCCTGCTGACCGTGAGGAATCTCTGGAGGCGCCTCGCAGCCCGCCTCTGAAATAGAAAGACGTCACACGAGTGGTGGTAAGAGCCTGAATGTCACTGAATGATCTAAAAGTGGATGAGCGAAATATTGGTGTACCACCATATGATTTCTTAAGAGTGGAATGTAATACTCGACCCTTAGTAGGCATTGGAACTTCTTTTAGTTGAACATTCCCAGCGGTTAGGTTTGTGGTTCCCTGCACCTTGAAAGGTATGCATTTTTCCACACGGAACAAATTTATAGTTATCACTTATGCTGGGCCATGCGCCTGTCGTTCTTACAAAGAGAGCAGAGGACATTGTGATATTGTGTCGTCGGAAACGTGAAGCCTGTTTTGCCGGACACAGGCAGTCGAGCTACCCACGGATGTGGCTGCAGACCCTGGGATGGAGCCTATCGCCGACCTGTCCGCTCAGGAAGGACAGGACGACAGATAGACAGGGATGGAGTCGGGGAGGGGCGGGAGGGGGATCAGAGTCCAGATTTTCCTGGCTGAATCCAGAGAAAGCAGATACTCGACCGGTGCTATCTGCTTTTTGTTACCCGACCCGCACAGTGATGCTGACCACATGGGTCTTATCGGACGATGTTCCTTTTGAAAGTCCAATTCCTTGGATAGGTGCATAATAACATACCTACATGGCTAACACTATCAAAACATTTGCATTATACTTTTTTGTGTTTTGACTTATTATTCAAACAGTGGTTTCAATATGTAGAACATCGGTTCATTGAGTAGTTGAAATTGTGCACATGCATGCAATACAACCACGACAAACGGAGGAGCAATAAGTGCGCACTAATGTGAGTCGCCGGAGTACTTACTGACGCAGACGGAGTGTGGCTCGAGCCACTTGCGTCTGACGCAGGTGTTAAACCGGCCCGGGTACAGGGTGAAGCCGCGGTAGCAGCGGTAGCGCGCCACGCGGCCCCGAGACCTCATCCTCGCCACGCCGTTCTCCAGCTTGGGTCGCCGGCAGCGGCCGTTACGCCGCCAGGACCGGCCTCCTGGGGGGGAGGAGGGGTCATGGGACACCTGAAGGAGGGGCTGTCAGCCTCCACTCGCCAAGACAGTCACGGCTCTAAAAGGGGATACACAGTGAATGCAGGTTCTTTTATTTGCAGATTTAACTCGCAAAGGTACATGCATGCAGTGTTCGGCGGGCGGTACGCATCCGACTGGAGGTTAGGCTAGCCCGCGCTACACGCGCCGCGTAGGTAGGCAACCCGCACTGCTCGCGCCGCTGAGGTAGGCAACCCGCAATGCACGCCTCGCTCCGCGGGCGGCAGGGCTGCGGTTTGGCGCGGTGCTGCGGTCGGTCCCGCAGATTCGGAGGATAAATGGCGTTTGTTTAAAACGAATTAAAAACCAAACGGTAAACAATGCTTATAAAGTACAATTTTTTACAGTTAAATACAGATGACTTATCGAACAGCCAGGTCTTGTGCATCTACATATGGAGTAAAGGCACGCACAGGAAACGACCATCTTAATTAAATTTACTCTCGCTATGAGATGAAACGGTGGCTGGCAAGTTAACATTAACTTTTTGATTAATAAACACTGCAGTAACGGTGTTTACCATCAATTTAGAATACTAGTAACAAATAACGCGTCCATCGCCCATCTGTGTTTAACGATCACCCCAGCTTACCATCGGCGGCCGCGATGAGGCACACCAGACACACGAGCGCCAGCAGCAGCAGGCCGCACCTCATCTTGTCTCGTGGTCCGCGCGCGGCAGCAACTGCCGGAGGTCGCCCCGGCTCCGGACGCCGCCGATCCCGGCCGGACGTCCGGTCCGGCCCGGAGCCGGGGTCATCGTAGCCGGCACGCGAGCCGCGATTTCTGAGAGGGCGAATCAGCAGTGGTTTCTGACATCCCTCGCGCGCGCGCGGGTGGTGCGGGCGGACGTTTATCTGCGGAAATGGTGGCGATATTCACAAGACGTGAGCTGCAGAGAGCAGGGGCATCCGGTCACCGCTGACTTGACCACATGTGGAACAGAACGAGAGAGACAACGAGACTGGAACCGGAGCGGACTCGTGGCATGGTCACTTGGCGCGGTGGATAAGAAAGAAAGAGAAAGAAACAGCGAGAAAGAGAGAGAGAGAGAGAGAGAGAGAGAGAGAGAGAGAGAGAGAGAGAGAGAGAGAGAGAGAGAAAGAGAGAGAGAGAGAGAGAGAGAGAGAGAGAGAGAGAGAGAGAGAGAGAGAGAGAGAGAGAGAGAGAGAGAGAGAGAGAGAGAGAGAGAGAGAGAGAGAGAGAGAGAGAGAGGTGGATTGAATTTTCGATTGAAGCATAGTTTTATGCTCAGTTATTATTTCAGTTCATTAGACGAACTGGATATCCGACCATCCGACCACTAGACATTGCTTCCCCTGCGCGATTGTAAGCATAACGTGTCCTTCTTGCTTATGTCTACCGTATGTGCGTGGTCGGTGGTGATTTCCGCCAATCCCGTGTCAAAAGGAAACCACAACGACCACTGCGGTTTCCACCAACAGCCTCCGCAACCGCAGAAATTGTGCGAGACCCACCGGTCTCATTCTACAGAGTCTCTCTGGAACTTATCTTATTTGAAGACAGAGGAAACAAATCATCGAACATTTTTAAGCAATAAGAAGAGTATCGTCCGTTTAAAATATCATACTATCGAACCTAGGCCTAGCTTAAGTAGGGGATAGTGTCGGCAAACTAGCAATAAAGCTGGGACTGCTAATGGGCACCTCGCGAGACCTGTCAGGACATTGGTAATGCCTCATTGCGATAAAAGACTTGGACTGCTCGTCACCCACCCAGGCGACGGCAGCCGCTGTCACCAGCTGAGTGGGCCGAATCCATCACTGACACAGAGCCCCAGCTGGCGCCAGCAAACGAAGACAATGAGCCCATTAGGGCCCACGTGCCCAGCGTCGATGGCACTTACAAAACAGGGGACCCTTTCGGGGACTGGGGATCCCCATATGTCAGAACCAAGAGAGCAGACTGATCGATAGGGCTGCGAGTGTGACCATTCGAACTGTGCTGTGAATACTGGGCTGGCTTTAGTTTTGTGATTTCAAATGTTCATAACTTCATAACTTTAGCTGGTGGAAACATATGGAACAGCAAGAAATATGTGACGTATTTTCTATTCAACTTGGCGATTCCAGGCGATTCGGTGGAGGGCGCCAAACTCGAGTCGCTCTGGGTCCGGATCGGTGGTGGTCCGCGTCGGGTCGTCGTGTGCTCGCTATACCGGCCCCCGGTGCAAACGGTAGCTCGTGTCACCGCTGACCTGGACGAGCTGGAGCGTCAACTACAGCACGTGCTCGCCGGACACGACGGGCCGGTTGTTCTGGCCGGCGACGTCAACATCAACTTAGCCAGCGTCGACAGTATGGCGGCCAGACGGATGCGGGAGCTCCTCACCACCTACGAGCTGCGGCAGCACGTCCGGGGCCCCACCTTCCAGCCGTCGGGATCATCGATAGACGTTCTCTGCTCCACCACTGAATCCGCCCGTGCCGGCACACTGCCCTGTCGCTTCAGCCCGCACAGATGGCTGCGTGCCCTGGTCAGTGTGCCTGGGCACCGTCTCGCTCAGTGTAGCCGCACTGACAGGTGCTGGCGTAAGCTTGACGCCGTCGAAGTGAACCGGTGTATGGGTGGTGTGGACTGGGCGCCCGTGTTTGACAGCGCGGACCCCGAGGCGCAGTGGAGATACTTTGTGAGCAAGGCACTGCCAATCTTGGACCACCTAGCCCCGATCAGACGCATAAAAATGCGTAACCCCACCGCGCCACCAATCACCGAAACCACGAAGGAGCTAATTGTCCAGCGGCGGGCGTACCTGAGCGCGGGAGACCGGGACATGTACAAAGCTGCCAACCGTCAGGTTAGAGCCGCGATACGCCGGGACACCAAACAAGACCTACAGCGGCGAATCCAGGAGAGCGGCAGGGGTGAACTGTGGCGATGCATAAAACCAGTTATCTCTGGTAAACAGGCGGCCAGACCGATGCCCAGTGCGGACTGTGACGCAGTCAACAGGTACTTTGCCAGTGTCGGGACCGTGACAGCGCGGCAGGTGAACCAGTCGGGCCCCGATCTGCCGGTGCGTCTGCCTCGCGTCACGACCGGCGGATTTCAGGTGCACACAGTAACACCTGAAAGAGTATTTACCACCGTGGCCCAGATGAGCAACAGTTCGGCTTGCGGCGCTGACGGTCTGTGTCTCAGGTTCTTGAAACTGTGTCTTCCAGCCGTATATCATGTAATCACCCACATTGTTAACTCTAGCCTGGCGTCACACACGGTCCCTCAGCCCTGGAAACTTACTGTCATCCACCCTATTCAGAAAACCCCAAAATCTACTGAAATGACCAACTATAGGCCAATCTCGATACTCCCTACGATTGCAAAAATCACGGAACGCATCGTTTACGAGCAACTGTTTGAATATTTCACTTCGCATCATCTATTTACCCCGCATCAGCACGGGTTTAGAACCGGGTTCTCCACGGAGACCGCCCTGCTGACGATGACGGACCGTGTGTTCGAGGCGATGGACCGGCGGCCAGGTAGCGCTACTGTGCCTATTAGACCTATCGAAGTGCTTCGATGTCATCCCCCACGACAGGCTGCTGATCAAGCTAGAGCAGTATGGTGTCGACACGAGATGGTTCGCGAGCTACCTATCTGATCATTACCAGCAAGTGCTGATCCGCTCGCAGAACGGTCGCAGTGTGCTCTCGCGATCAATTCTGAATCCTATTGGTACCTATCAGGGATCGGCCCTCGGGCCCCTTCTTTTCAACATATATGCGACTGACATGTCTCTGTACCTTCCCGACTGCGCCAATCATGACAGGTGTCTGGTACAGTATGCGGACGACACACAGTTGGCGGTGATGGGAAGCCCTCGTGATGCAGCAGCGATAGTTCAGAGTGTAGAACAGGATTTAGCGGCTCTTTCAGTCTGGTTCCAGAAAAACGGTTTAAAAGTGAACGCTAACAAAACGCAACTAATAACATTGGGTACCAAGCAAAATCTCCGTCAGTTACCGCCAATAGAAGTTGAATTTATGGGTGCTAAGGTTACGGGATCCCTCACTGTTCGAAACTTGGGGGTCACGTTTGATCAGAGTCTGTCTTTCTCAGATCACGTGACCGATGTCGTACGGCGTGGCACTGGTATCCTGAGCGGTTTAAGCCACAGTAGACACTCGCTGCCCAGGGACACACTGACAATACTGGTGCAGGCTCTGGCGGTGTCTATTGTCCGGTATTGTATCAGTGTCTATGGCTGCTGCGGTGTGACCCAGCTGTCCAGAGTTCAGAAGCTACTGAACTTCGGTGCTCGGGTGGTGTCTGGCCGACGTAGGTATGACCATGTCAGCGATGTCATGAAGACCCTGAAGTGGCTCTCTGCTGAGAACTTGTGGCGGTTTCATTCGGTGACTCTGCTCAAGAGAATGCTAGCTACGGGACAGCCTGAGTCGCTGCGTGAAGGCATTGTTACCCGCCGCAGTGTTCATGGTGGGGAGACCCGCCAAGCTGACTTTTTCGAGACCCCAGCGATCCGCACAGAGTCAGGCCGCCGACGGTTTCTTTATTCAGCCGTGACAACATACAACTCACTGCCACCAGCCGTGCGAGGCCTGGGGCCGCGGCAGTTCAAAGCCCAGTACCGAGCACTGCTACTCCGAGAGCAGTAGGTATGGCGATGAGGACCCGTGAGTGTGTTTTGTATGCGTGTGCTAAGAGCGAATGTTTTATCCATCACATCTTCCAAATGACATGACGCCCGGAATAGCCGTTCTCGAATGGATGGGTTTGTCGCGACGTGAAATAAATAAATAATAAATAAATAAACAACACAACAAATGTTCCTCCGTACCTCAGTTCGCATTCAAGCTCAAACTTCGGGTGCTAGTCCGCCGGTGCATAAGTAATGTACAGTTGATCCCTTCGAAATGAGAACTGTCTTTGTCCATAGGCTCCTCGGACCGGGAGGCTCCCCCTGTGACAGCCAGACGCTTCGAAGCTGCCATCCCGCGGCCACCTCCGGTGAATCTCCCAGATACCATGAGCCTCTGCTTACGAATTCCATGGCAGAAAACTGCGGCTGAATGGGATACACTCACCGCAGATCACAGGCCAATAAACGTCAGTTTCACTCTCTGTTTGCCGGGTCAATTAGCCCTCCCAAACAGCGGCGCGTTTTTGGCCGGTGACGTGTCCGCGTGGGTGACGCCCCCCTCCCCCCCCCCCCCCGGGTGCGTCCCGTTCCGGTGAATCATGTCACTCGCCGCCGTCAGTGGGGGCGGACCCCCGCGGCGGGCCACGAGCCGGACCCGTGTCGAAGCCACCTCCGCTGTAAACCGGACTCTATTTCGAGAGGTGCCCCGGCCGCAGGGCGCAACGGTCGGGCGGCGGCTATTCTTGAGAGGGCCTCAGCTATGTGGAAGCCAAACAGGGCGACCTGAGACCGTTTCGAGCTGACTTCCGAGAAATAAACACATTCGGGGGGGGGGAGGCACGGCCGGACCGACGAAACGACGGAGAGGGGGTCACGGAGTTGAGACGGCCCCTGGCCCGAGGGCACGTGCCTGCGCCGTAGTCACCTCCCGAAAGATAAATACGTCATCATATGACGTCATTGTTTCGGGGTCCAATATAGCCACCAATGGAAAATAGAATGGATTGGTGCTGCTCCCAAAATAAATTCAAATAGGGCTGACTGATTGACCGTAAAGGGCTATAGCATGGACAGAGAGATTAATTGTTCACTTCTGAGCATCATTAATTGAATGTCGGCGGGTGCGTATTTACTCTCGATAAAAAATAGGTATACTTCAGTGTGATTTTAACAGTTATGTAATCCATATACCAATCCTGGAAATGAGGATAGCCAGACAGGCGTTTTTCATATGTCCGTTTTGTCGTTAGCTCTGGATATATGGTGTGTTGATTTGGATGAAGCTAGAGTCTATCATTTATGACGGCTCGTTAAAGGTGACTTTTTTTCTGTCTTTAATATTTTTGTCTATCTCTCTGCGTAATATAAGCATGACAAGTTTCGTATGCCAAATTTGTTGGCGCTCCGAAACGTTTCCGTTACCTTCTTGTTTCTATCAACGAATGCCTCAATGGAAATGATTGGGTAGGGAGGTACTTACATAAACATATATAACTCAGCCATTTTTTGTAACATTAAACCTTTCGTCTCTCACACAAGCCTGACTGGTAGAGGTCACATACGTATAACTGACTAACCAAGATTGACTTGCTATATACTCATAAAAATGAATGATTGACAGGCGGCCGGTTAGTCCTTTTTATGTGTTAGTGATTCAGCAGTGACTGAAAAGCATCGACTACCCACATCCTGAAATATTTCGCGGATCAGCGTCACAGCAGCGGTCAGCTACTGGTAACTTTGCCTCTTCTTAGCTAAATGTATGGGCCGCTGAATGGTAACTATGTCAGGCCATTGCATATAGACGCAGGTTTCAATATCGAGTCTGTCACGACCGGCTATATCTTACTGCTGCATCGGGCCGTTCTCTCGGGGACATTCGCCGGGCGGAACTGAGAGCTTCCGCTCAGTCTGATAAGCCTGGTGATATTCCAGCCCTGCCCGGGCTTCAAGTGTCCATAGCCAACACCTGCCGTGGGGCCCAGACGCCGACAGTGTCTCGATATTTGCAGTCGGCGCGGTGACGGACGGGCTGATATTGCACACAACGGTATCTGATGATTTTCAGATCGTTGGTAATGGGTTCAGGTCACGGGTGAGGCTGAGAAGCGACTGCACAGCTGCTTTACTGTTTATACCAGCTGAAATTGTGTTACTGCACATTCTAAAACATAAAATAAATGAGTATTGTATCTACGTATCTCCTTCGATCAGTGTAGATTCAGTCGTCGCAAAGCATCACATTGCACGCCACGACATTGCAAAATATAGGCAGAGGTAGAACATTCGCCCTAAAACCCCACGTTATCCATTCAAAGAATTTTTAAGCCGGCGCTCGGCAGTGAAAATTAAATAAGTTCCTTAATGCGATGTGTCAACAGCATCCTACAGCAAACATCAGCGGGGTCCACGCGGTCTTCCAGACGACGTCGATGGCTGATTTTTGCATCGGACGCTGCCCGAGCCGAGGTCAATCGAGACTGTGGACACTCGTGGTCAGACGGAGTGGCGGTCCGTCCGCTCCCCGCCGGAACCACTGGAAATGGTACGTCCCAGCGACATCGCCCGGTCAGGAGCGCCATGGCCGTGTCCAGGGCGCACACCGGGTGGGCTAGCTTCAATCTATGAAATCCAGAGATAGCATTTGTGAGGAGTGGGTAGCGACAGCATGTATCGGAAATGTTTTGAAATGGGCATATGCATTTTAATTCTCAACAGCACTAACTCATGCACACCATATAATTCTACGAGCACGTGAGTCTTATTTACGCCACTGCTCTTTCCCTAGCTCCCTCACCCTGCTGCAATTTCTGACGACATTCACAATCATTTATTCGTGACTCTCCACGTCGTCTGCGCCGGTGTGCTCCGGGCAGTCTGCTGGTGCGCTTCGGATAGTCTGTTGTTTTACTCCAAACAGTCTGTGTTGCTGTGCTCCAGGCAGCCTGCGCTGCTCCCTCCGGACGCTCTGTGCTGGTGTGCTCCGGACATTCTGCTGGTGTACTCCGGACAGTCTGCTGGTGTGCTCCAAATGCGATAAGCTGCCCCGTGTCGCGCCGCCACGCCGGTTCAAAACTATGAACTTCTTCCGCCCGTCTGATAGTCTCCACAGCAGCAGTCCAGACCCTGTGACGTCACGAATGGAGTCTGTGACGTCACCGGCAGAGTCTGTGCAGACTCAGCCTACCAGAGGGCTGTCAAGGACCTTCATCTCCTGGCTGGAGCGAGTCCAGGAGCTCATCAGGTACATTGACGAGAGAAGACGCGACTTTGACGGCATTCTGATGGATCGCCTTCGTCGACAGTACGAAAGCTACGCCCCACAAACTCCGAAAATAAAGAAACGCAAGAGGAAGCGAAAGGCTACAAAGGTAATGATTCTGTGCTACTGTCCAGATTTTGTACCGTATTATTGGTTGATTGTTATCAAGGTGACGCTTACAGCCTGCCATCTGAGTTGAGCCCTCTTATATGATTAATTTGTTAGCACACATTTTCGTACGTAGTTCTTTAATGTTAAATAACTTACGTAATTTCCTCCTATTTAATTTTATAAGTTTCCAGCAGATGAGTTGGTGGCGCAAGTCACGTCACTAGCTGGGATGACAAGTTGAAAAGGTTCTTTGGAAGTGGCGGCTGCGTCCGCTCCCGTCATCATGAAATGAGCACGCGTGGGGAGGGGGCTGACCAAAGTGGGTGAACCGGGGCGGGGCGGGGCGGGGCGGGGCGGTATCTCTGGCAGCTGCGTGGGCACCTGGAAAAGACCGGCGCACTGGAAGCTGCGCCCGACCGCTGCGTTCAGGAGCGGTCCGGGGGGGGGGGGGGCGACGGGGCCGGCGGGCCGCCGTCGGCCGTCAATTGAAGGTGATCGACTCAGGGGAGCGGACACACCCCGTCCGGGAGGAGAAGGAGGCATCACTGCGACAACAGTGAGAACGGGAGCCGCTCGACCACAGGGAAACGCGCTCAGCCGTGCGCCAACTGAACTCAGAACTCGACACAACATGCAGAGGTATGGTAAATAACGCAACGGATCCTATATATTTTATTAGGCTGTGATAGCATATCCCGCATTTGTCATTTATTGTTCGCTTTTGGGGAGTCATTCGACAAGTTCACTGATCCTTAGTTGTTTATCCTTAGTTTGTAACTTACTTGCTTTATTGTAGAGTTCAGACGACTGATCTTATGTTTTGTTCATTTAAAGTTTACATCAAATATACGGAACTGAAATAAATTTGAAACTTTGTTGAATAGTGAAGCTTAGTGTACTCGTCATTTGTACCGTTTGTTACTTGTCAGTTGCAACTCTTATATGACATCAATGATTGGGCAATTGCCATGTACCAACTAACGGTGCGATCTAGGCATAGGCATTCTCTAACAACCCGGCGACGTTAAATCCGCGCCGGGCCGGGAAGGGTATTTGAACGCCCCTCCCATTGCGATTTTCGCAGATATCTATAAAAAAACGGCGGCGCTCCGCCACGCCGTTTTTGGCACATCTGTTTATGCATCTTGTCCGCACACGTTGTAAATATTGCAGACCCAGGTCTCTCAAGGTCAGGTCACCGAGTCACGTCAAGTGACCTTACCTCAGGAAAAGCTAGAATCATCGTCATAGCTACACCGACTAAACGATCGCCTTGAAACTTTCAGCGCTTGATAAGAGTAATAGTAGTGCACAATAAATATCTCGGAATTTTTCATTTCGGTGACCTGCCAGGTCAATTTTGCGACCTCTCCATTATCAGTCCATGGGATAAAATTTAAAAGCGACTCTTTTGGACAAACGTAATTCCAAACACAAAAATATCGGTTTACAGGTAAACTTGACAAGCTGAGCCGAACAATGGCACCCGTGACCTCTTTATGTCCCTGAGGCCATATCACGGGTCATGAAAGGTCCCCAGCAGTTTTGACAATAAGTTCTGATAGAGGCATGCTAGAGCGGTGAAAACACCTCCTCAGATGTATTCAGCTCGACGAGACGGATCGACTGACACATAACATGACATTTTCTGGTCAGGTCATGACCTTGACCTGTGGTCATATTTCCAAAATGACCTTTAACCCTCGCACCGACGGGGGTACCTTTAACCCTCGCAACGACGGGGGGGGGGCGGATATCCGCCCCCCCCCCTGAGGTTTTTCGCGAATAGCGGGAAAACCGCGGCGCGTAGCGCCGCGAAATTTGGTACGAATATAACCTCATCAATTTTACACATGGTGTGCAAGTTTGAACCTCCTACCTTTTAAGGTCAGGTCACCAGGTCACTTTGAATGACCCAACCTCAAGTCACTTTTTTGCAACTTTGTCACCGTGCCAGAGCTACAGTAGTTGTCGGAGGCCTTTGAAAGTCGCAGGATATTATTAGGTCATTAGTAGCTACAATTTGTATATCTCGGAATTTTGATATCGGTGACCTAAGGGTCAGGTCAATTTCGCGACCTCCCCATTATAAGTCAATGGGGGAAAAATCAACTCCCTGTTTTACCACTAAAACGGGTCGGAATGGCCCCATATACCATACATGACTTCATATACGATCAACCTTCACTACCTTGAGGTCTGTTTTGCTGTTGGGCAGCTGTGAGGTCATGTGACGTCATCAAAGGTCACCAAAGGTTTTTGGCCAATAACTCCGTACAGGAACAAGATACAGACGCGTGGATGGTCTCATTGTGTTCAGCTCGTCAAGACGCATCGAATGATATACATGATGACCTCGAGGTCACGTGACCTGAGGTCAACCTTTGACCTTGACCTTTCGAGGTCAACATATATATCATTCGATGCGGATTGACGAGAGGATCACGATGATGCCCTTAGTTTGTTCCTATCTTGACTAATTCGAAAGTTATTCGAGAAAAACTCTCTCCATATCTAGCGCCGCCATTTTGACTTTTTCGACCCCTGTGACGTCATCTTTGACCTGACCTGAAAATGACCTTTGTAAAAATTGTAGATCTTGGCCGTGCGTATCCGATGCCGTTTATCGCTTGTCGCTATCTTGCTTCGTTCTCGAGATCTCAGGGGGGGCGGTCATCCGCCCCCCCCGTCGGTGCGAAGTTGGCGCAGACCCCCGGGGGGTTAAGGTTAGATGCGCGGGTTAAGGTTAGATTATAGTTCAAGCGACGCCTCTCGACGAGAGGAACACGATGCTGGCAAAATAAATGTCGTCACTTTATTGTGTGAACATTTATTGCGGAGAGACGTTTTTTATCAAACGGCTATTTTTAGACCTTTTGCTCTCTGGAGGCTAACCGTTGACCTGAGGTCAAATTAAGGCGAGGTTGGCGCAGAGCACCGGCCCGTTGCGGGTTAAAAGGCAGGGGTTAAAAAGCGAGGGACACACATAAAAAGAATCAAAATTACTTCAGAAAGTTGTAAAGGCACTGATCATAAACCAGTGAGATTTTGATATGAAACAGTTAATTTCACTACAGACATGGCTACGGAAATGACTGATTGAATTGTTTGCTTGTTTTGTTGGGTTACGGCTTGAAATCCTATTCAGAGAATTTCAAAGTCATTGCATGATAATTAACGTGATTCGACCACCGACTTGTGCCCCGAGGTGGCGGGACCATCCTGTTGCAGCGGGAGTGACCAGTTGGGACATCCAGCCTCTCGAGCGATCACCCCGGAAGGGCTTGTGAGGTCTGCAGACTGCAATACCCTACTCCCTGTGAGTGTTGTCTAGTTTGGGGCGTCCTTCAGCCAAGAGTGGGGGAAGATCATATGGAGACGATGATTGGTTGTTCTTCGGCGATGAAAAGAGCCGATGCGATTATTAGCTCGAAATGTTGCCACGCTGCTTGTAAAACAGCTCAGCTATCACTTGCTTTACCATTGCACTGAGCCCTTTGGCAAATATAAATTTTCTTATGACTTCAATACTGTAATAGCTGACATTCAGCTGAATTCGAAACACTCATCGCTATTTGCTTGCCATCGTTCTCAGCTCTGCCTTCACTCCCGTTCAGAGTAACCCGACTTCCCAAGCCGTCGAAATACCTAGCCTAAGCGGCTGGCTAAGGGTATCGATGGTTATTTAAATTGGAGAGCCCCAACTTTAAACCGCTGTGCTCGTTAGTCCAAAACGCAACGCAGCGGCCTCGAGACACGCTTTACTAGACGACCACTCTCGACTTTGATAAATTTAAAGATTAGCTTCCCAGCTGGGCAATGCGTTCCTGCGTTGGAAACGGCATCTCCACACATCTCACCAAGCTTTTGCAGTCAAGCTTTTAAGAACTCGCAACACTATGGGGCTCAAGTATGCCGTGAGAACCTAATCTCGCCCCTAAGTACATCCGCCTACGGCACCTGTCCCATTGCCACCGGTCTGTGGGAACTTCTTCAGCCTCCTCCGCGTCTCTCGGATTGGACCAGCAGCAATATCCTTTGTGATGTATAGGGACAATTAACCGTAATGGCCATTAATGCTGTCGTCAATACCAATATTGGACGAGCCTAGCCACAGTGACCGCTGACGAGCGTTATGAGGCCGCAGGGCACGGGCCAATAAACGACCAATGATTTCTATTATGATGTCTCATATGCTCCTGTAACCTCACAAAGCAACAGCACCAACTTTGATAAGTACAATGAAAATGGTTCGAGATTCCATTGCACGCGTGAAGCATTATAACGGGACGAAAGTTTGCTAGCTGAGTTGATTAACTTGCTTGGATGATGCAATAGTCATGCAATCGCTTTGACGCGATTTTCCGAATGATAAGAAAAAAAAAAACTAGTCGCCACTTTCTTCCCGTTACATGCCGTTACTGAATGAAAGGGTCAGTTCCAACTTAACTCATGACGTAGGGGATAGATAGACCCTCGAAACGGGAATAACGGGAATGTAGACGAGCGTTCCTTGCGCCCAGGGAGACGCCACTGCCAGAAAGAGAGATAAACGAACTTTTAAACCTATTCAGTTGTGTCCTGACCATGACTTGAAGTCAACATCCATGTTGACCTTTTGCAGACTAAAAGTAATAGGACAAAAATCGTTTTTCTTCTACCTCTTTTGCCGAACTTATACCGCCCCCAATGTATTTTAAATGGACGATGTTTTTTTCGACGTTTACCCAAGCAGATAGAAGGAGCGTAGATAAGTTCGTGACGAATGATGCGTCCGACCACTGGCCTGTGAGTGACGATTCCACAATGCTCGACGACACGGGCGGGCGGGTGATTCGACCCAACCCTCTATTTGCTGCCCTGCCGTCTGTCAGTGTCAGTGTCAGTGTCAATTTCAGTGTCAGTGTCAGTGTCAGTGTCAGTGTCAGTGTGTCAGTGTCAGTGTCGCTCTCTGTAATCTGACCGCTGTCCTTCCGCCCTCAGCGTGTCGCCGCTGCCGCTGCTGGCCCTCAGTCTGCTGGTGCTGTCTGCCGGTGCCAGCGCCGCCTCGCTGCGCCGGCCCCACACCGGCTTCCTGGGGATGCGCGGCAAGCGCTCGGCGCCGGCGCCGACCGAGCTGCAGCTGCCGTCCGTGACGCTGCGGCAGCCGCTGCCCGGCCAGCTGCCGTCGCCCCAGCAGCTGTTGCAGCTGTTCCGCGCAGCCGGCCCCTACAGCCGACAGCTGGCCGCACGGATCGCCGACAAACGGGCACCCAGCGGATTCGCCGGAATGCGGGGACGCAAGAGGGAGGAGCTGGGCGCACGAGGCAGTGAGGACCACCTGGAGAAACGCGTGCCCAGCGGCTTCGGAGGCATGAGGGGCAAGAAGGCCGACGTGGTGGAGGGAGGGGAGCACAAGAGGGCGCCGCAAAACTCCTTCCTCGGACTGAGGGGGAGGAGAGAGGAACAGGGACACCCCTAAACCGTCTCCATTTTTGTCTTCTCCTTTCACCTTTCATTTTCTCATGGATGTGATGAGCCTCATCGTCTTATTTATTACCTAATGAAATATTCTAACTATGTGGGTGCGCACATCGCTGTGGGGGAACACAGACTGTAGCTAATTTTTCAATGAAACTAGATGAGGTAGATTACGCATACCTATATAATATAGAACTGAAGACAGCGCAAATGTAACAGAAGTATCACGCTTTTGACTCGCTAATGATTTTCAACGGGGGGGGGGGGGGAGCATGCACCTTCACTCCCTATCCTTCAGTGCCTCTGCCTGTCTAGGGGCGCGTGAGCTGCCATTTCGCTGCGGGGCTGCCATTTCTTTCTCTCCACCAGTCCCCAGCGCCATCGATGTGTTTTTCTCTACGACCACGACCGGCCGGCTGCCGAGGGCCGCGCCGAGGGGCAGGGGTCAACATGGGCGACAGAGGTCGACAGGGGGTCAGCAGGGGGCCGACAGGGGTCGGCAGGGGCGAGTCGAGACGCCCGACACACGGCGAGAGCGAACGAGCGAACGACTGTCGCGGATTGAGAACCAGCCGCGCCGAGTGCTGCCAACTGCAGAGAAGGAGGAGGGACTGCAGTGAGACGTGGAGGGATTTCCCTTCCCGGTGAAGGAATAACTGCACTCAATGTCGCACTACGTTAGTAGTGACGTAAAACGAATAAATAAGAGGCTGGACGACGTGTTTATAAACTGAATGATCGTATCGTCGAGACCTGTCATTGGATAGGTACCACTGAGTACCTATGTTGCGCCACCTACTGTGGACGTCAAATCGCGTGGGACGCGACTTTCTCGCAATAACTTTTGAATGCGTTGCCTCTCAAGAACGAAACTTCGGCAATGGACGTTTTAGACCCCGGCCTAATTTTTATTACTAAGGTTTTTCAATGTCCGATCAATATTTAGGGCACTTCCCGTTCACTCGTAATGTTAAATTTTGCTCCTGAAACTCTCTCGGTGAGCTGAGGCTACTCCACAAGGGGCGGAGCCATAGTGTGACGTTGGAGCTAAGCTCCGCCTCGGCTGGCCGTTGCCTGAGGTGCTACCTGACCCGAGACCGGTCAGTCGCGGTCCGTAAGGGTTGGTACTAGAGCACTTCACGGATAGGCTTTTTGGGATCCGGCCCGGCCCATATCCGGCAAGTCATATCCAGATCCGCCCATTATCCGCCTTTCTTTGAATATCAGAATCCGGCCCACCCATGGCCCGTATTGCAGCCAAACTTCCAAAAAATATCCGTAATAATCCGTTTCACCAATAACTGGTTTCACCCAAAACTGGACTAACAAATTCAATCTAAGGGACCAGACAGCCATACATCTCATAGACCATCATGGTTCCAAAAAACATGCATACATTGCATACATTATCCACTTGAAGACAAGTCTTGTGACAAGTGAGTGTCATAAAATGGTGCCTATTACTTTAAGCAAACCTCTGCTGCCGCTTAACACATTAGGTTAATTTTTAACTTCAATGTTGAATGTTAAAATTTTGATCCGTTTTGATCCGGGTTCAACCTTCAATTCCCAAGTCCGGCCCGCCCATATCCGTTCTTTTTTAACAAATTTAGAATCCAATCCTATCCGGTCCGCGGATTTATCCGTGGATAACGGATTTATCCGGCCCATGAAGTGCTCTAGTTGGTACGCGGTGCTTCCTGCCAACATACCCAGCCGCATGGCGCACGTTATTTATGCTTGCCCTAAGGGCTGCAAGAATGTATTTGCAATGCGCCTCTTGTCGGTATTTAACCGTGAAAGAAGCCGCGATAAACTGCTTATCAGCGTACGCCAAATATGATTTAAGAATAACAGAAAATAATTAAATGATTATTTAATAAGTTTGTCAACGTAATTACGTAAATGAGATACATAATAATATAATATATTTACACAGTCAAGTTAATTTTTTTTAATTAAAATTTTAATTTTAGGTTCTTGTAGATATCAAACCGCCAGGAACGTTAGTACACTTCGTGTTATCCTGCCAAGCCCCAATATGCCCCAACAAGCCCCAATGTTTCCGTAATGCACCGGTACGCATAGCCGGAAGGGAGCCGGATCCGCCGGAGCCGTCATATTTTGCCCTGAGTGGGAGCCGGAGCCGGAGCCGTATTGCCATTTTACTCGGAGCCGGAGCCGGAGCTGGAGCTGACTCAAATGTTCAAGGCTCTGCATCCCTGCTGCTAAGTCAATAATTCGTAGGCATAGTTAATTTGGTAAAGGGCCATACTGAACAATCTCGTTTTTTTTCTCGGATTAAAAAACCTGGTAAAAGGCCATACTGAACAATCACGGTTTCGAGATGTCCGCCCATCTGAGACCCGACGCACACAGCATGCAGAACCGGTTCTGAGTGAGGATCGACCGACAGATGGCAGTCGTGTCTGAACGGTAGATGGCAGGGAATTCGTAGTTAGTAGGCGGGGCTTCGCGAGCAGCCTGACGATAGCCGCCATCCGGGCTGATATTTCACTTAGCATTACGAGTGAACGGGAAGTACCCTAAATATTTATTTGACATTAAAAAACCTTTATAATAAAAATTAGGCCGGGGTCTGAAATGTCCATTGCCGAAATTTCGTTCTTGAGAGGCAACGTATTCAAAAGTTATTGCGAAAAAGTCGCGTCCCACGCGGTTTGACGTCCACAGTAGGCGTAAACCTAACAACAGTGAATCACGAGCTACTGTAGGTTTTTGTTTGTTTTGTTGGGTTAGGCCCTTTCGGTCCAATTAGACCATTTCAGAGCCGGGAGGATGATAGGATATAGGGGGAGATATTGGTCTGGGCAGGCACCCTAGTGAGTCGCCGGGGCTGAGCCCGTCCAGAGGACAGGCCACCCAGCCCCAAGGCACTCACTGCACCCGCGGCTACGGGGTGCGCTCCCTCGGGAGCAGCGGTGCCGCTCCAAGGGAGCAGCCCGCATGAGATAAAGTTGCCTGTCCAGCCCGGAGGGGGTAGCAGCGTGGAGGAGAAGGATTTCAGTTTCCTGAGGATAGAAGCACGGAACGGTGTACTGTAGGTAAGTAACAGTAAAGAGATGAGGGATACAATAGGCATGACTTTGGGGAGGGCTGCGGCCTGCGCCAATTTAACGGTGCGTTACGTTACGGTACAAATTATGCTGACAGGCAGTGACAACCAGGGTGTCAGTTGACTTGAAACCACTCTGACCATCTTCCTACATCGCAATTTACAAGCCTAGTGCCCTCATCTTCACCGACATCCAAGTCCTTACTTAAAGGGACCCTCCCACCTTCAAAAAAGTTAATGAATTGGCATGAAAGTGATGTCGCTCGGTTCAGAAAGAGCAAAAATGAATATCTACCAAATTTCATCGAAAAATATTCACCGGTTTTCAAGATATTAGACTTTTACTTTTGTTTACTTTTTGGGATCTCCGCTGTTCCTAGCGACTTTATTTGAAAGTGCGGCATTTGTTGCGCGCAAAGCAGCATATACCACCGCGTGCTGCCAAACGTTTTAGTAAAAGATTTAAAAATCGTTAGATCTCCGCTGACGTCACAAATTCTAAGGGGGCATACCAATGCATTAGCCCCTTAGAATCCGAAAACTGCAAGTTTGAAATTCCATATCTCCGAATTAAAGCATTTTTCGATGTTGTGAATGCCCAAACCGGTATTTTCAGGCCATGGCCACCAATTTGGCTATCTCAACTCAAAACTAATGTTAAGGTGGGAGGGTCCCTTTAAAGGGACCCTCCCACCTTCAAAAAAGTTTATGAATTGGCATGAAAGTGATGTCGCTCGGTTCAGAAAGAGCGAAAACGAATATCTACCAAATTTCACCGAAAAATATTCACCGGTTTTCAAGATATTAGACTTTTACTTTTGTTTACTTTTTTGGGATCTCCTCTGTTTCTAGCGACTTTATTTTAGAAGTGCGGCGTTTGCGGCAGATGTTGCGCGCAAATAGCATATACCACCGCGTGCTACAAAACGTTTTAGTCAAACATTTAAAAATCGTTAGATATTTGCGCTGACGTCACACATTCAGAGGGGTATTCCTAAGCATTAGCCCCTCTGAATCAAAATGCTGCAATTTTGAAATTCAATATTTCCGATTTAAGGCATTTCTCGATGTTGTGAGTACCGAAACCGGTAATTGTGAGCCGGGGACCCCATTTTGGCTATCTCAACTCAAATCTAATGTTAAGGTGGGAGGGTCCCTTTAACTTGCCTTCTTTTTGCAGTTGCCAAGTGTGTGTCAAATCAATGTCCATCTTACATGTTTTTTTTTTCTTCAACAGGTCTGTCCTCTATAGCCGAAGTACGGCCCATTGTGACTGGTGCTGCCACCTGGCTAAATGCTTTCTGCTGAAACTAGAACTCGCTCAGTGCTGCTATCTGGTGGTTGCCCCTGTAGGCACGCTTCTAAACAGCAGCTATTTTTAGAATGAGACGACGGCTGCAGGATAATCTGGACTGCCTCACTCAACTTAAGCAATCAGTTTGCAATATTCGATACTTCTGGTAGCAGCTAGTTCTTTGCAACAGATAAGCTTAAAGCTGGTTAGGGCATTTCGAGGCTGCCAAGAGCCGAGCTTAGGTAGATGCAATAAATACACAGCTGATAAGTAGGTAAATAAACGTCCACAGTAAAAATATTTGCATCACACATTTCCACCGCGTTTTCATACGACAGACTCCTCAACACCTCTCACACATCACTGACACTCATAATGACGAGCTCATGCGTAACTTAATTAGTTGATATATGGTCAATGGCCGTCATTATACCTACTCATGACATCAGTTGGCGATAAAGTGTTCTAGCCGATCTCACTTGGTGCGAAATCTCGGCGTTTTTACATCATTTGTTTACATAACAAATCGCACAATCTCGCCCACACTGCCGAACGACGCAGCTAAAGTTTACAGGTTTCCCCGCCAGAGGCGCTACAGTCACATCAATAGCGCGCTGTATCTGCCTCCGGTGTAGCGCCCTTGGAGGGCCGGCAGCGGTCGCCGGCCGGTCGCCGGCGGGCAGCGGGCGAGCGCGTGCTGGGGCGGAGAGAGCGCGGGGAGGGTCTGAGAGAGGCCGGGAGGTGCGTGGCCAGTTGGGGTACGGCCGGTGTCGTGCTGGCAGGGGGTGTGCTGGTCGGGCGGAAGTCTGGGCTCAACTGGCTGTGCCGGGGGTGTGGAATGGTGGAGCGCTGCCCTGACGGTGTGCTGTGTGCCAAGCCGCGGCCGGCGGCCGGGACGTTGCAGAACCACGTGGTTGGGTTGGTGACTGTGCACGGTCGCGGAGCTGGTCCTGTGGCGAGTGACCTGAGCCCGCGCTGGGACGGGAGCCGCTGAGAACTTACCGGTAAAGGGCCGAGTCACCGAGGCTGGAGACCGGCGTACTCGCGGTCAGGTGAGTTATCGCCGTTATCGCAGCTCAGTTGCATGGGCTGCACGAGTTGCATCATACCACCCTGGGAGAAAGGCGGTTTTTTCTGTTTTTGTACTGCACGCATGCATTTATTTAATCGATTGGTACTGGTACAGCTAGTATTTTGATGTTATCGATTAAGCGCTCCATTATACACATTGTTAGTCGACACTGTCACGAATGTAATGCGACTATTCAGATTTCAGAATTCAGCTTGGCAACTTAAGTGACAAGAGCGCTCCTGGAAGATTCCACAGAGATCCAGTGGATGTGGAGGGACTTGGAGTTCCGAGTTGTCATTTTTATTAAAATAGTGAATTTTAATACTTGTGTAGCACTATAACCGTACACAGAATGAAGTACCTACGTTTAGAACGGTTATGTACCTACCCTTCACATTTAACTCTTGCGACAATAAAGTAATAAAGATGTACCACTGCTGGCATAGGTCAGGCCAATCGATCGCCTGACGCCAGCGATGGCCCCCATGCCAGCTGACATCGCCAGCATGCGTGCACCCGTTTCTAATAAATTCCACGGCAGTTCCTTACCGCGTATCGTTACATAACCTCAGCGTGTCATCAACCGGTTCCTGGCCACTCGTCGTACTGCTGTGACCGGGGCGCTGCTGCGAGTGACACGGGAGCCGCATCCTGCGCTGGCACGGCACCGCCTCGGTGCCGGCGCACACCGAGCTGACGGAGCCGGATACAGCCGGTTACAGAGCCCGACCCGCCCGTTACGCCCGGGGCAGGAGCATGCAGGCTGCGTGCCACTAATGACTAACGACACGCGGGCAGGCTGGCCCCAGAGTATAAAGACAACGACTGGCCCACCTGTGAATCGGTGCTCAGCAAGATATGTGTTATGTAATGTTAAATGTATCAAGACTCAAGTGATTTACCTCAAATATCGTTTTCTACGCTGAAAACCGTTTCTTCCGGTTCTTGCTGCGGCCAAGCTTTCGTCGTATGACGCATTCATGCCCGATCTACTCATAAGTGCTTATTTTTCTTAGCGAAGATCGAGGTCATTCGAATGTAAACATTTCACTGTATTATCTAGCCTCCCTCTAGATAAACAGTGTAAAGCACGTGCGGTCACCGATAGCGCCATGTGCGTCAACACGTGAATCCAAAGAACAGACCCTGGCTGCGAGTTGTGTGAACACCGCACCTTTTGCTAACCGTGTATTACCCACTTAGTCAAGTTAATTTTGCTACAGCCCCTGGCAAATCACCATTGAGCTAATATGCCTTCAAATGAAGACACATAATCGGATTGTTTCATGCTCTTAGATGAATGCCTTGTAAACTAGCCAAAACTTGCTATGCAAGTTAGCATAAAACACGTTCTGCAGCACTTTGTCCAGTCACCACTCACCTCTGGCAGTCTGTATAGCGGGACGCACTCTGGAATACTTGTGTATCGTCTCGATCGTTCTTTCAAACAGAACCTTCTTAGTTCTTCCTGCAACATGTACGAAGCCTGGCTGTACCGTAAGGTGCACCCTCTCATAATAAACAGACATGGCAGCCGGCAATGTTTGGCTTGTATCGATCATATGCCAGAAGTCCAGACGGCGACCGCATATAATCGATAATGCTGAAGACCTTCTCGAAGCCCGCCACCAAGGTTGTTCTGTTCCTGTTTCCCATGTAACCTTTCACCTGGGAAAATATTATTATACCTAAGCCTGAAAGTGAGATATAAACTCAATTATTGCAAGCAGGGATGCGGAGCCGGAGCCGGAGTCGGAGCCGGAGCCGCCGGAGCCGGCATATTTTGCCCGGAGCCGGAGCCGGAGCCGGAGCAGTGAAACAATATAGCCCGGAGCCGGAGCCGGAGCCGGAGCCGCCAAAAAAGGGGGCGACTCCGGCTCCTTTTTATTTTTTGAAGAGGAAAAAAATAATTGACCTATGTAGTTCGGTTTGACAGCATAAGGCAGTAAAACATATGGTAAGTACGTCATGGGCCATCAAGTGAATGAAAAAAGCCGAATATCCCCAGCATCCCACAGGACGCAATCAACTTCCTGTCTGCTCCTCCCTCCCCCCCCCCCACGTCTACTGCATCGCCAGAACATGAGGACCGGTCATCAGGTGACGGCCATTGTTTTGAAGCCAGTGCAGTGGACTGCGACTCCCAACACCGTCTCTTCCCACCCCACCCTACCCCCCCCACACCCCCACCCCCCAATGCAGCCGAGACGGGTGTCAGCTTACGATGGTTCAGTGAACTACGATTCGCGGCGACTGCGTTTCCAATGTCCTTTCCAATGCTTTCTAGTCTTTTGTTCTGCCAGTTCTCTCCGAGGTGCGTTTGCGCGGGGACGCGGTGAGCCGGTCATGGCAAAGAGTAACGCGGCCGTATAGTCATAACATTTCGCCACGTGCTTATATACCCTGTTCGCTGATTGCATGTGCTGTTGAGAAAAATAGCCTTAGATGTTAGTTGTTATGCAAATACAGAAGCTACGTGTACCAATCCAATTTTTCTTCCACACGTATTTAATTGATTGCATAGGAGATGTACTGAGTCGGAGCCGGAGCCGCCGGAGCCGGAGCCGCCGGAGCCGGACCATTTTACTCGGAGCCGGAGCCGGAGCCGGAGCCGCCATAACATTTCACCCGGAGCCGGAGCCGGAGCCGGAGCCGATTTTTTCTCCGGAGCCGGAGCCGGAGCCGGAGCCGTCTGAAATTTCCACGGCTCCGCATCCCTGATTGCAAGTCGTAGTTGTTTTAAAAAAGTTTCTTTTCAAATTTCAAGTTTGTGAATTTTTCTGTTTTTTTGCACCAAGTTAGTTTTCAATTTTATATCGATTCCATAGTTTCTTTCCAGGCATATTTTGAACGTTTTACTCATAAGCCATGAAGCAAAGAGCATCTGCCAAAATGAAGTTCAGGATATAACTACAAGCAATGGCATATATCCGTTAACAACATATGGACTGAAAACGAAACCAAAATGAACAAAATTGCGTTCTGAGGTCACGTGATCAGGCCAGATGTATTCACTACTCCATGTTGCACATCAAAAAAGGTCACGTATGCGTGAAATGGACGTTCACATATACCTACCACGCCAGGTAGACGGTAGCATATATCACAAAATAAACGGTCTGATATACCATTTCAAATAGACGGTCACGATTATACATCACGTCAAATAGAAGGTCACATATAACACGTTAGATAGATGGTCACATACATATAACAAGTTAAACAGACGGTCACACATAACGCGTTAGATAGACGGTCACACATAACAAGTAAAAAAGACGGTCACACATTTATAAGCCCGGTCACTAGAGATGTCAATCGGATACCAACTTTTTGGTATACCGATACCAAACCGATACCAACTTGGTATTTGGTATTTCAATCGTAACGTGTTTTGGTATTTTGTTGGTATCATAAACCGTCACTAATGTATAAGAGGCTAATAAATCGGTAAAAAGTAGGTATTTCCCTCAGTTCCCGAAGTTGGTTTGGTTTCGGTATTTTCCCGTGGTTTTGGTTGGTATTTGGTTTGGTATCGGTATTCCGATTTTCCGTAATTGACATCACTACCGGTCACTTATACCATGTCAAATGGATGGTCACATAACTATAACACGTTAAATAAATGGTCACATATAACTCCTTAAATAGACGGTCACACATTAGATAGACGGTCACATATAATACGTCAAATAAACGGTCACACATACCACCTCAAGTAGACAGTCACACATAACACGTTAAATAGACGGTCATATGCAACCCGTTACATAGACGGTCACTTGTAACCCGTTAAATAGACGGTCATGCATTTAGTAAACGGTACACGTCAAATAGTCGGTCACCTAAACCACGTCAAATAGACGGTCATATATAAAACGTCAAGCAGACGGTCACGCATTAAATGGACGGTCACATATACCGCGTCAAATAGACGGTCACAAATACCACGTCAAATAAAAGGTCAAATAGACAAGTAACACGTTAAAATAGACATGTAACGCGTTAAATAGACAGTAGCATGTAACCCGTTAAATAGACGGTCACACATTTAGTAAACGGTCACATCTAACACGTCAAATGGACGGTCACATAAACCACGTCAAATAGACGGCTACGCATTAGATAGACGGTCACATACACGGCATCAAATAGACGGTCACATATACCGCATCAAATAGACGGTCACATGAGTAACACGTCAAATAGACGGTTACATATATCACGTCAAATAAACGGTCACATATAACACGTTAGATAGACGGTCACATATAGCACGTCAAATAGACGGTCACACGTTAAATAGACGGTCACATATATCACGTCAAATAGACGGTCACACGTTAAATAGACGGTCACATATAGTACGTCAAATAGATGGCCACATATAGCACGTCAAATAGACGGTCACATATAGCACTTCAAATCGACGGTCACACGCTAAATAGACGGTCACATATAGCACGTCAAATAGACGGTCACACGTTAAATAGACGGTCACATATAACATGTTAACTAGACGGCCACATATAGCACTTCAAATAGACTGTCACACGTTAAATAGACGGTCACATATAACACTACAAATAGACGGTCACATAACTATGTATAGCACGTCAAATAGACGCTCACACATGCTGGTCACCCATCCAGGTGATCTCATAAGGTATAACGGCATCCCTTTCTGGCTATTAAAATATGTATGTTTTAACAGGACATTATGACGCCATTCGTGCAATTATTTTTTAAAATGATACGCGTTTTTAATTCAGCGAATTGTCGCATTTCTTTCAGGTTGGGTTTTAAACAGCGGCAGACGCCATGGGCAAAAGCGCCATCGGAGGCGTTGTGCCTCCACCGAGGGCCTCTATCCTGCAATCAGGTAACGCTGGCCCTCTCTTGAACGCTGATGCAATTGACCGTGACTGATGGTTTGATATCGTAAAATTTGCGGAACGTTAGGAGTTTTCTTGTGGATCGGGTTAACAGGAATTATTTTTAAGTAGGTATGTGTGAAAGTGGCTTTCTGTTTCTATTTTTTTTTTGTGCATTTTTTTTTTACGTGCAATTTGTTTGCATTTTTCTCACGAAGAATCCTGTATTGCCTCCTTCGGTTACCGACCAGCTCTCTCGCTCGCTCCGCCTCAGGTCCGGCTCCCACTGTCGCCTCTGATGTGGCCGGGGAGGGTTCCCTGCAGGCGTCCGATGACTCGGGCTCCCCTCCCACCGAGGAGCCGCCGCTCCGGCCGGAGCCGCTGGTCGGCTCCTCCTCGGAGAAGGACCCGCTGCTGGCGCTGCGCCCTCCCCCTCCCGTGGCGCCGGCGCCGGCGTCCTCCGAGCCGACTCTGGAGGACGAGTCGCTGCAGGGCGCGGCTCCGGACTCCGGCTGGCGGATAGAGTACCACCTGCTGCCGCACTCGGTGCCCGCCGACTCGCACTACTGGCCGGGCGAGGCGGACGACGCCGTGCTGCCCGTCGAGGCGCTGTTCGAGGCCGTCTCCGAGGCCTCCCAGCCGTCCCAGCAGGGCAGCAGCGAGAGCCTGCCGCCCCAGGTGAAGACGCTGCACCCGGTGCGCCGCTACCGACGTATGGTCTCCTACAGCCGGACCGGCCTGACGCCGCTGTACGGCGGACCGCCAGAGAGGAGCTCGTCGATACCGGTCCACCTGGACCAGATCAGGTCAGTGAGGGGTCAGGTCATGGGTCAGTGAGAGGTGTAGAGAGTCAGGTCAAGTAAGTGAGAGATGCAGGAGGTCAGGTCAGGTCAATGGATGGGTAGGGGTCAGGTCAGGTTAGGTCAGGTCAGGTCAGTGAGAGCGACAGGGGCTCAGGTCAGGTCAGGTCAAGTCTGATGGATAGAAGGTCAGGTTAGGTCTTCCTTCGGTGTATCTTTCGGCTCATCCCTCCTCCATCGGTCGCTAAGCGCTCCCGTCAGCACCAGCTCAGGAAGCTCAGTGTCCGTGTCTCGGGATGATGTTTTATCGTATCTGGAGGGCCGTGGCTGATCAGTAAACATACTTTTGTCAGTTATCTTTAACCAGTAAGCAGCCGTCGTCAGTTATCAGGTTACGACAGACCGTGGGCTGTCTGTGACTCAACGTATCAGGGCTGAGTAGTGAGTAAACATCGTTCCTCGGTCGTACCTCGATTCTGCCCAGTCGTAATGATAGGGCTGATGGTATGTGTCAAAGTCGATGAAGTTGCTAAGCGAAACAGGCAACGGTCGGATGGTGGATCATCTCACCAGGCATTTGTTGATAATAAAGACACATTTCTGTTAGCTGTTTTGAATTACTATCGTGCAGCATCGACTGGTTATGGATTTTCTGTGGGTTAAAAACCCTTTTCTTGCTATGCTAGCCCTCTGAGATGTCATTGATATCAGTTTTGTTCTGTTTTCAGTCAAGATCCGTCGGCGTCCTCTCGCTACACGGCCACCCAGAAAAAGCTGCTCTTTGGTATCGGCCTGGGGGAGCTCCTATCGGGCTGCAGCATAGCGATACTCATCCCCTTCTTCCCCACAGATGTAAGTCCGAGCCATAATCCGCACTTCTCTGGGGAGGCGGAGTTAGCGTCTTTTGTTTCCATTTTGCGGGGTAATATAGACATTAAATATACAATGCAGGATGCAGGTTGACTGCAAAAGCATAAAACATAGGATGGTTTTTATGTACATTACATGATCACTGGTCAAGATGCATAACATTGTTTAAATGTTACACTGATCAGCTTATGTTACACATTTATTCTTGGGCTCGCGTCCTGAAATGGGCGTTTCCGCGTAGTACAGGCTCAGTTCGTCCCGTTATCAGACCTGTCTGAGTCTCTGCGTCTTCCACAGTCCCAGGTCGCTCCTTCACGTCGGCTGACCCGTTCGTCCACGTCTTCCACAGTCCCAGGTCGCTCCCTCACGTCGGCTGACCCGTTCGTCTCCACGTGTTCCACAGTCCCAGGTCGCTCCCTCACGTCGGCTGACCCGTTCGTCCCCGTGTCCCGCAGGCCCAGGTCGGCTGACCCGTCCGTCCCCCCGTGTCCCGCAGGCCCAGGCGCGCGGTGTGTCCGACACCGTGATTGGCTTCGTGTTCAGCTGTTACGCTCTCACTCATCTGGTTATGACGCCTGTGGCCAGCAGACTTGTAAGTTACGATACCAGAGTTACGAACTAGCCAGATAGTACAACGATCCAACGTATAGGAGCGCAACTGACCCAAGAGCGCAAGGGCGCAGTGGGAATATCCGTTTGAGTAGCATTTAACTTCTTACTATCGGCGATATACATCAAATATAGGCAATTAATTCGATATACCTATGCCGACAGATACCAAGGTTCGGGATGTCTCAGGTGCTGTATCTTGGCCTGCTGCTAAGCGGCCTCTCCACAGTTGGTTTCGGGTAAGTTAACGAGCTTCAGTATTTCCTTTAGCAGTGCTACGAAAATATTATAAAAAGGACGTCTTATAATTATGGGAAAATGTATGATAATTACAGCATGCTTTTATCCATTTATCCGATCACCATGCTCTTTATTAACTATCTTTTACCATTCTGTTACCCTCAAATTCCCTATCTCAGTTCATCACCTCCAATGACGAACGGACACGTGACCGGCACTTTCGGTCGTTTCAGCGCGCTGGATTTTCTGTCCAACGACACCGTGTTCATAGCGCTGTGCTTTATCGTGCGCATCATCAGCGCCGTCGGCCAGGCCCTGTTCGTGACGTCATCGCTGACCGTGGTGGCCAGCCAGTTTCCCGGTGAGTGACGTCATCTCCAAGCTGCACAGATCACTGCCGCTACACGCGTGATTCCGCGTCTGCAGCACGTCAAATGTGAGAAATCGGTATACGCAATTAAATGGTGTATATTTTATCATGATCATAGCCCATTATACTGTCATCTAAATGTTTATTGTAATTGATTGAGGCGTTTCACTCGAATGCAAGTGTGGCTTTTCAAAAATTATTTCGGCTTAGTCGGCCCGGCTAGCGTTACATAATACCCGTTTTCACGAAGGGCTGTCTGGCGAATTCACCCAATTTGACCAAATCTGCACCAAATCTCTGAGAATAAACATCTTCATATCATGAATTTATGTCAGTGTTTTAATCGAAAGTAATGTCTGATAATGTGGAAATTCAGACATGTAAGCAATTAGTGCAACCCTAGCTGATAGCTACTAAGAAGCGCAATGAACCTAATTTGACCAAATCTACACCAAAGCTGCACCAAATGTGAAGCAACTGTGCACCAGACAGCTGTCGTGATAACGGCTCAAATATTTTTGGGTGCACTGACCTCACTTTTAATGTAGGTACCACCGGTTGTACTCTTTCACTGACCTGATCCGACCTGAGCTGGACTGCTGCTCATTAATCCCTTGACCTTACATGTTACCTCCCTGTTTTCACCCTTAGCTCCTCTAAACTTACCTGACCTTACCTGATCTGACCTTACCTGACCTGACCTAACCCTACCTGACCTGACGGGCCTCACCCGACCAGAAATAACCTCGCCCGACCTGGCTTCACCTGATCAGACCTGACCTCACCTGACCCGACATGACCTCACCTGACCTCACGTGACCTGCCTACCCTGAAGGCGTGACTACTTCCCCGTTGCCACTCTCTGACCTGACCTGACCTGACCTGACCTGACGTTCCCCAGAGGACATGAACACAGCCGTGGGGCTGGTGGAGACGTGTAACGCCGTCGGTGTCTCCCTGGGGCCGGCCCTCGGCGGCGTGCTGTACGAGGTGAGACGCGGTCACCGCGGCGAACTATAGGAACGGAGTGAGGGGTAAACACTTCAGGGTGCGTGTTTTTGTGTAACTTGAGATCGTTTTTTTGTGAACGCCTAGATAAACATAACTTGTCACGTATTTCTACAAAAAATAACGATTTTTAGCGCCATTTATATATTTTCCAAGTTTCGAATTTATTAGAAGGTGGACTATTGTTTATCAGTTTAAGTGGCTTTTTGCAAGTAATTGTAGAACTGAGGCTCCCGTTGTTTCTGGTTCCAGCTTGGAGGCTACGGCCTCCCGTTTTATGTACTGGGCGGGTTTTTGTTGCTGTGCGCCGCCCTCAACTTTTGGCTGACGCCGTGGGTAGAACGTAAGTAAACAGATGCAGTTAAATGTATGTTTTTCCATTTAATTGATCAAAGCCTGACACAACTCTGCGCTATTGTTTGCTCTACTGGAGAGGGCTCTCTTTTTGTGACTTGATAACATTTGGATTGTTTCATTTGTGTCATACAAGTCCCGCTGTCAGATAAAACCATTCAGAACCATCGGGTGGCCACCCGAAGAAATTATGGGTCACAAGCTGTGCTCCGTTACTATTGCATTTTAACTTCTATGCTTTTTCAAAGAAAGTGTTTTACAGTCATCTTCACTCGCCATGCTCCACTTCCCAACCGTGACGCACCAGTCCTTGACTTCCCTTCAATCACTTTCAGCCTCCTCCACCCCTTCCCTCTCCGTCCACCTTTGCTGCACCTGTCTGAGTGCCGGTCCCGTCCCTCAGGTGACTCCAGCTCTCAGTTGGACTTTTGTCGGATGGTGCGGGCAACCCTTCGCTCGCCAGAAATATGGCTCTGTATGTATGTGCTGATTACAATCTCAATAGATTGGTCGGCCATGGAGCCCGGCATCCAGCCGTACGCTACAAAAACGGTGAGTACGTGAGGAGAGAGAGAGAGAGAGAGAGAGAGAGAGAGAGAGAGAGAGAGAGAGAGAGAGAGAGAGAGAGAGAGAGAGAGAGAGAGAGAGAGAGAGAGAGAGAGAGAGAGAGCGAGAGAGAGAAAGAGAGAGAGAGAGGGAGAGGGGAGAGAGAGAGAGAGGGAGAGAGGAGAGGGTAGATTTGAGGATAGGGAGTAGAGGTACGGTAGGGCTTGGAGGAGAGGAAGGGGTGACTACTGACTGTTGGCCAACGAGTCGGATTGAACCGGCTCGAACCGGCTCAAATGTCTCGGGGTATCGGTTTCATTGACTGTTCTGATTGGTTTCCGGATATGACCTAAGTATGACGGCGGTAAGGTATTTGTTTGCGATAACAATACGGGCCTATCGCTAACGGGTTGAGTCGGCCACATATACGTATGCAATGTTGAGGCATGCTTTGAATGTAGCGTGAATATCACAGTTACATCCCAAAAACGATCATGCCGAATCTGACCTTTCTCTTATTTCAGTTGGGCATTACGGTACTACAAATGGGCCTGTATTTTCTGGTGGCCTCCGGCGCGTACGCGCTGGTCAGTCCCTTCTGGGGAAAGCTGGCTGACCTGACGGTCAACACGTACATTCAGGTCAGTTGTCGGATGGCGCCGCTCGGGTAAATCAGGAGTGTGCGACTCAGAGGGAGGTTGGTCTAGGTTTGAAGAAAGTAGTCGAGCATGTAAATAACTACATTCGGCATATAAGACAAGATCTTATATGTATATTGCGGATGAGAACTAAGACGATTGAGCCGTGACGTTTTAATAACATGCATGTGAACCGGCAGAACATCTTTACAGGGCCGCTCGTGAGCGTGACATTGACTGTTTTCCATTTTACAAACATTTATCGGTATATATTTTACACGGATTCTGTCCTGGACGGTTTTTCGAGCGTAGTGTTTGGTGGCTGTCGCTATTCACCCGGGAGGCCGAGTATAGTACGGACGGAAATGTTTATCTCGGTTCGAGGTGTTAACGATCCGTCTACCGCCACGGCAATGGGCGAAGTGTCTAAGATAAAATAAACTCTCGAGTCTGGATCATCCCAGCTTACACTCAGCATCCTCCTGTGTCGGGTAGATGACATCGTGGTATCTAGAGACCAGAGCTGACAAAGGTCACTTCGTGTGGTCTCGAGTGGTCCAGAGATGGGCTTTCATCGGCGCCGTTGCTGGGGGCGAGCCCATACCATCTCCGCCCGCTGCCAACGAGTTGCCAGCCGACTCTCTGGCATCCTTCACTGTCGGTTGGGATCGTGTTGCGTAGCGTGATGGAAATTTACTGGGCTCGCTGCACTGAGGTCGGTGTGGCCTGTGGACGGGTTTGTTGTTCCGTGCCTTCTGTTTGTTCGAGACGCTTTTACGGTGTGATCAATTCGGCCGGACAAAGGGCTGACAATACATTCCAGGGTCGGGTGATTTATTGCGACATTGATGAGTTTAGATGCTAATTAGCGATTGATGTTGAAATGTTATCCTCTCTCGAAGTTCTCAAACAGCATTGCTCACATGCGGGTCCCCCTCGGGGGATACGCTCGGACCGTTACATCGAATGAGAACTTCAGTGGTTACAATTGAGACCAGCTGGGAAGTATTTACGATGGCTCAGAGGTTTGTACCTTCGTAAACTGTTTCAAACTAATGAACTTATTCCATAACATTTGCCGCATTACGATCTCAGGTAGTCGTATAGCATGCACAATATTGAACTCTGGTTCTTAACCCTAGTAAAACGAGAAGAGCGGCGAGCACTCGGCACGAGTCCCTTGTTCTGACTAACTCGCCGCGGCGCCATGAGCCGTGGCTTTGTTTGCTGATTTACCAGTCCGAGGGGTCTGGTCACTCGTAACATAATACCACGGACGTGCTCTCTGTTTACTTTGTACCGTGGGCTGGCGTCATCGTTATGTTGTTTCGTGTGAATTGCCCCCCTGGGATTGTTAAACCGTGCCTGCACTCATGTTCGTGTCAAATTGCTTAATTCGCGCGACCTATTAGGTACAGCCCTCTGCAAACTGCGTGGTAGGTATTCTTTTTCCGACAAAACCGAGAATAACGCGAATACTATGCTATCGTTCACTCGAAAATTGTAACAGCAAGACGCGCGAGACACCGCACCTTAGATTGGCTTTATCATCGTATTCATTTTCCATCGAGTTTGGCAACAAAACCCAAAAGTTTATATTTGCCTCCAAAACAAACTTTTGCATTTTGTTGCCACACAAGCCGTATACTTTCTTTAGCGATGGACCCAATCGAAGGAGTGGGGCATGGCGCATCTAGTTGAAGTGAGTTCTGACCGACTGTTGACATAGCCTTTGAGTAATTACCGGTTTTGTCGAAATAAGAATACCTACCACGCAGTCTGCTGAGGGCTGTACATGTGCTTAAGCTCTCGCCTTGCTTCTGTTGCTCTGCCCCCCCCCCCACATGCCCCCTCTTCACACAATCCCTAGGTCTGGTGGTCAGACCTGCCCCCCCGTACCCCCAGACGTCTCTTCTGTGTCTGGTGGTCTAACCTGCCCCCCTTGTCCTCAGAGATCTCTGTGTCTGGTGGTCTAACCTGCCCCCCTTGCCTTCAGACATCTCTGTGTCTGGTGGTCTAACCTGCCCCCTTGCCCTCAGGCATCTCTGCGTCTGGAGTAGTCTAACCTACCCCCCTTGCCCTCAGACATCTCTATATCTGGCGGTCTAACCTACCCCCGCGTCCCTCAGACGTCCCTATGTCTGACGGCCTGACCTGTCCCCCCTCGTACCCCCAGACGTCTCTTCTGTGTCTGGCGGTCTAACCTGTCCCCCTTGCCCTCAGACATCTGGCGGCCTGACCTGCCCCCCCCCCGTACCCCTAGACGTCTCTGTGTCTGGCGAGTGGCGGTCTAACCTAACCTGCGCCCTTGCCCTCAGACATCTCTGTGTCTGGCCGGCTCGGCGGTCAGCCTGCTGCTGCTGGCGCCGTCGCCGCTGCTGGCGCCGCTGCTTCCTTCCTGGTGGCTACTCGGGCTCGGTATGACCCTCAATGAGGTGTTCACGGCCGGCGCCTTCATACCCCTCTTCGGTAACATGCTCACCTCGGCAGTGTGAGTAGCGGGCAGGCCCAGAGGGGGATGCAGGTGGACTGGTTTATTTAGATGGGACGTGGCGGGATATCACAGCGAAAGTCTCAAAACCTTGGTCATCTCTCGAATAGCAACTTCTAAAATGCTTACTTGTGCATTAATGTTGTTGCTGAGACAGGAGGATATGCCCTTACTTTTTAAGTAGCGTCAATGTTTTTCCCTATCCAATGACATTTTTAGTGTGAAACATGCTCACCTACAGTTTGTCATATTTGTTTATATTCGTCGAGTCACACCGGGTGTATAAGCGGTTGTAATACGTAATAGGTACGTAATCCGTAACCCGTCGATTATCTCCTCAGCTGGTGTGCTCACCCCACCCCTGTCTGGTCCACAGGGCGAGCGGGCTGCCGGACGACGTGGCCACCCAGTCTTTCATATCGGGCCTGTGGTGGGCCGTCTTCTCAGTAGGGTACGTCCCTGGCGCGGCGCCCGTATTCGTTAGAGACCCGGGGAGTTTTCAGCAGCGGGCTCCGGTGGCGGACACGGCGATTGGCGTGTGATCAACACGTGATACCTATGACGATCCATCCAAAATTCCGGAGCGCTCACAGCTGATGATGATTCAGTATCATACCAGACTATTATTCCTCACTACGTGCCGCATTTCTTTCCCCGTTCTGTTCAATTGTTCCTCCGTCATTCCTGTCAGCGGGGTCATTTCGGTAGTGACAGCCACCTACAGGTGGCTCTGGCCTCCACCAGCGGAACATAGACGCTGCTCTCGACGAAACCTATCTGTACACTATTCGAGGGAACCGATCTGCACACTATCTATACAGAGTACCTAACTGAGATACTAAACGAGACACGTCATTGCGGGCCAGACGCGGGTGCAGCCGGAGCTGCCTGGATGTGTCTCAGGATATTGTGTGTCAGACGGCACACCGTGCATGGCTGTACAATCAAATAGTTACTGTGCACGGAGAGCTGAGGAAAAGCCACAGTGTTTCAGAGTTCAGTTATGAAGTATGCATCCGTTCTCGACATTCTGCTACCGATTTGTCCCGTGAATGCCGCGTTCTTTTGACGACATTGGTGTATGTGTGGTTTGTTTCAGAAACGTCGCTGGCCCGGCGTTTTCGGGCGCTGTTACTGAAGCGTTTAGCTTCCCAATCACTATGACGTGTATATCCGTCAACACACTGTGCTGTGTAAGTTATTCCGCTCTTCTATTCGATACACGTTTTCCTTTCTAGAGGGGTATGCCGTATGAGTTCAGCGTTTCCCGGATCCAACACAATAATGCTGCTCAGTCCGTCGATCCCGTTTAGCCAGACGGATCAAATAAAGCCACTTATGATCATTGAACAACTCGTGCAGATGATTCTTAAATCTGTATTTGCTTAGATCTGAATGTTATATGAAGGAGCCAGTGGCGGCGGAAGGTAATTTTGGATGGGGGTGCAAAGTTTTCTCAAGGGGCCCCTCTGGAAGTTTTGGGCCCCCTTCATTTTTTTTTTTGAGTGATTATTATTGATTTATGAAACACGAAGATTTTGGAAAACTATCCCATACACAAAAGTTCTGTATAAGGTTTGAAATTGCAGTGTACCTACCTACATACCTATATCAAATAATGAAAGCATAAAGAAGCAAATGCAGCTAGTTTTTTTATCGGCTAATCTTTTAGTCTAGCCACAGTGGCGCGGGAACCGAGGGGGGGGGGGGCTAGCGGGGGCTGAGCACCCCAGCTTTTCGGCTGAGGTGCTCGTAAAGTATTTGAGCCCCCCCCCCCCCCAGCTGGAGGAATTGAAGTCGGAAATCTACCAACATAATTTCATAGATTCATATATAGGTGCGGGAACCGGGGGAGGGGCAGTGGGGGAAGCATGCCCCCGTAACTCGGCGGCCGTGGGGGCGGTGCCCCACAACTTTTCATGAGGCCAGGAACCGTTGGGCAGCTTGTCCTCCCCAAATTAGGGGTTGTGGGTCACAAAGGAAGAAAGCATGTAAAGTGAAAAATCCACCTCTTTCACTGGCTTGGCAACTCATTTGGCAGATTAAAACCTTTACTCCAGGTTGCCAAAACGGTAGTTTCTTCACTCAGCTGAGACGGAATGCCTCACTTTTTTGCATTTTTTTTCGTTTTTTTGTTGTTGAAAAGGCCAAAGTCTGAAAAATAAGTGGCCTAATCCTAAAACCGGTGATAAAACTAGATTTGGGGGTACCCTAGGTTGATCTCTATTATGATTCAGCCCCCCCCCCAGTCTGGAAGAAGTTCCCGCACCACTGTCTAGCCACCACCCGCACAGCGTCTCAAACCATTTTTCTAGATCCGCAGTGGACCATTGAGGGCCCTACGAGACCGTTCCAAGAAGACCGTGTTTAGAAGCCCCTTGGAAACCGACCACATAGAGACTCCTCCAGAGACCTACATGACTCCCCAGACTGAATGAGCCCTACGATCAGGGTCGGTCCCTTGAAAGTTGCTGAAAGGTTTCAGAAGGCAGTATAGGCTCGAAAAGTCGAAAGTCTTTTGAGGGCTCTCAGAAACCGGCATCGGACCCCAAAAAAGCCTGTATGGAGGCCCTCCAAAGCCGGGATGGAGGCCACAGGAGCCGATCTTTAGCCTAAAGAGCCGGTATGGAGGACTGAATAGAAGGAAGGGGTCCCAGTGGGACCTTCAGGGGCAAGCGTTTGAACTTTGAGCCCCAAAAGTATTGTGGGGTCTTAGAGGCAGGTAGACCCCTGGGGTATGCACGGGGTCCCAGGAGCTCGCGTGTGAGCCCAAATATTCGGCTGGCGGCTACTAGAACCAGCATGGGGATTCTTAGAAGCCGCTTAGACCCACATTTCATGGGTCAATGGTCATGAGTCCCAAGAGTCGATGTAGGGGCCATAAAAGCCGGTGTAGGACCCATGATCCCATAAGTTTGAGACTCTCAGAGGCCGGCGACGGGGCACCAAGAGCAGATAAAGTGCCTCAACAAGCCGACATGGGGCCTGAGAATCAGTGCGGAATTCCAGGAGCCTGCGTGAGCCCTCAGAGACCTTCGTATTTCGTAAGGTCCACAAAGGTCGTTGGGTCCTCTGAATCTGAACTCTGCGGGGCCCTCAGAGGCCAGCATGTCTCCTGGCACCTGCCTGCGTTGAGTTGAGAGTTGAGACTCTCTGAGGCTAGGGTTCTTCAGACGCCAGCGTTGGCCCTTGAAGCCTTCGTTAGGCCCTAGAAGCCGTCAAGAGGGCCCTCAGAGGTCAGCATAGCCCCTGGAGCCTGCCTGCGTCGAGGCCCTCAGAGGCCGTCGTGGGGCCCTCAGACGCCAGCGTGGGCCTTTGGAGCTTGCATTGGGTCTTAGAGACCATCGTGAGGGCCCAGAGAGGTCGTCGTCAGGGCCCTCAGCCCCTCAGGGACCGTCCTGGGGTCCTCAGAAGTTGTTGTGAGGGCCCTTAGAAGCCTTCGAGAGGATCATCAGAGGTCGTCATGAGGGTCCTTGGCCATAGTGAGGGTCTTCATGGGCCCTCAGATACCTTTGCAGGGCTCTCAGAGGCCTTGGTAAGACCGCTTGAGGCCATCGTTAGGGCCCTCAATAGACCGTTGCAGGGCCCGATGCCATCATAGCCCCTGCAGCCTGGTTGTGTTGGGGCCCTCAGAGGCCGTCGCTGGGCCATCTGAAGCCAAATGGGCCCACAGAGACCGTCGTAGAGGCCCTCAGAGGCCAGCGGGGCCTCTGGAGTCCTGTGGGGCCCTCAGCGGTCGTAATGAGGGCCCTTAGTAGTTAGTGGTCGTTATAGGGCCCAGGGGACAGAGGTCGTCGTGGGAGCCCTTAGAGATCATCGTAAGGGCTCTCAGAGGCCGTCATAGGGGCCCTCAGAGGCCAGCGTGGCCCCTGGAGTCTCCTTGAGGCCCTGGAGTCTCTGTCGGACCCTCAGCGGTCGTCATGAGGGCCCTTAGTGGCCGTTGTAGGGCCCCAGGGGACAGAGGTCGTCGTGGGAGCCCTCAGAGATCGTCATAAAAGGGCCCTCTGAGGCCGTCGTGGCGGCCCTCAGATGCCGCATGGAGCACCAAATGCGGCTCGGGACACTTCTAGCCGGTGTGGGGGCCCCAAAGACTAGCATGGGGCGCTCCTGACCATAATTGGACATCCCGGATGATTCCACATCAGTGTTCGTTTCCCGATCACTGGTTTTCAGGAGAAAATGTATTGGATGGTGCGATGGGCCCCTTGTACGGAATTTGGGGGTGCAAAAAGATATGTTTGCACCCCCATGTTTTTCGATGGGGGTGCAGCTGCACCCCCTGCACCCCCTATTCCGCCGCCACTGAGGAGAACCATGCCGCCATCTACCTGCTTTAGGTCAAGCTTTCGATAACACCGGTAAACGTCCTGGCATGGGTTCTTGGGAGCTTCGTGTCATTGGCAGCAAGTTATGCTTTGTGTAATTCCCGGACTCCCAAGTCACCCACCCGACTATCGGGCTCGATATCTTGAACGGCGCCGCCGTTCACAAGCGGCTTGTGCATCTAAGTTCCTACGTGTCGCATGGGCTGCTCGGAGAATATCAGGTCGGCCTTAGCTAGCCGAACGTCCCGGCTGAAGTAATGCCGAGTTTGTGCCAGCCCCCGGAGGCTGACCTGTCACCCTGTTCCTCCGGCAGGCGCTGCTGATGCTGCTGCAGGCGTGTCGGCTGAGGGACGCCTGCTGCGCCTCCTTCCGCCGGAAGCTGACCGGAAGTGGGGAGGATCCGGAGCGGCAGCCGCTGCTGGCCGGCCGCGAGCGGCGTGCCAGTGTGTAGTGTCTGTGTGCGGACACTGCTGGCTGTGCGTGTGTGTGGGAGGGTCCGGCCGGCCGGGTTCGGTAGCTCTTTAGTCACGGAGCTGCGCAGGAGTAGCTGAACACCGTTTGGTTCCGTCTTATTCTGCCGAACGTCTAGAACCAGCGGCTATCATTACTCATTGCAGCGACTTTATGTAACCACTTGTCTTCAGTGAAGCTGTTTAGGTACCTACTTTGCGATGCCCTTAGACCCTAGTATTGATATGTAAGTGCCTTGCCTGTGTTATCGCAATACATGACATCTATCGACGTTCGATGATGTGGCTGATATCATTTAGGAATCGCTTAGATACCTGATATTTGCGATACCTACTACCTATGCTGAAAGGCCGACGGTGATTGGTGAATGAGACCGGATCATCATGCATTAGCACATATACCTAGGTTGTAGGTACTTGTATCAGTTGTATCTAAGGATGAATTTCGGTTGCATTTCGGTGAATTTTGCATTTCGAATCCCACGGCCCGATAATTTAAACGAAATACCTAGTTATTTTAAAGGAAATAGTTCACTTTTAACATGGGGTTTTGAGCTGAAATAGCAGTTTCGTAGCTTGAGCTGAGACTAGCACAAATCAGGAGCTTTTACGGCTCAACGATCACCCTAGACGAAGATATTCCATTTCTCGTTCCGAAAAGAGTGCCTTGTAGAGGAATGCGTGCCTTGCACAGGAATGCAGCCACGTCATCTTCAGCCAATCAGCGTGCTGCTTACAGCCAATGCAGTATTCGTAGGTTTGAGCCACGCAATATGATTGGTCAATGCGTAATAAGCTTCCGCGTCAATCATTATTTTACATAGAATATAGTTCGTCCTATATTAAAATATAGAAAATAATTGTTTTTACAAAAAGGTTTTATTTTATTTCATGATTATTTTGAGCATAAAAAATCATAAATCAATAGCAAAATACTGATTTCAGGAAAGTGGACTGTTTCCTTTAACATGGGATTTTGAGCTGGAAATATAGCAGTTTCGTAACTTGAGCTGAGACTAGCACAAATCAGGAGCTTTTACGGCCCAACGATCACCCAAGACGGAGATATTCCGTTTCTCGTTCCGTAAAGAGTGCCTTGTAGAGGAATGCGCGCCTTGCTTAGGAATGCCGCCACGTCATCGTCGGCCAATCAGCATGCTGCTTACAGCCAATGCAGCATGCGTAGGTTTCTGGTTTGTCCTACGCAATATACTTGGTCAACACGTACTAAGCTTCCGCGTCAAACAATATTTTATATAGTGCACTACACTGTAAACATTATTCCATTATTCCATGCACTGCACTGCGTGGAAGTCAAAACGATTGAGAGTCTATGACGTCATCAAATATGAAATACGACCTAGCAGACATTTCTTCAAACCTTGACACATCCTTCACGTTTATTTCTGTTGCATGACGTGGAGGGCGCTTCGTCTCGTTTGTTGCTGTTGTTCGAATATATACCATATAATTAAGACTCAAATATGTGCGGGTCATTCTCATTTACCAGAAATGCTCTCATAGGGCTCAATATTATGTACATGGTAAGTTTTTTTTGCTCTTATGCCTATGACGCTTGACGTGGCTTTTCTCATTCTGGCTCCATTCCAGGAATAGGTATTTCACCTTCCCGAAATTGTTTTTTTTCAATGAATTTATGATTAATTGTGCTCAAAATGATCCGCAATGAAAATAAAACCTTTTTATCAAAAATATTTAAAATATTATTTTTATATTTGAACATATGAAGAACTATTCCATGTAGAATATTGTTTGGCACGGAAGCTTCTTATGTGTTGACCAAGCCAATCATATTGATATTGCGTAGTACAAACCCAGTGGCTGTAAGCTGCATGCTGGTTGGCCGACAATGATGTGGCTGCATTCCTCAGCAAGGCACTTTTCCCTCTGCAAGGCACTCATCGGAACGAGAAATGGAATATCTTCGTCTAGGGTGATTATTGGGCCGTAAAAGCTTCTGATTTATGCTAGTCTCAGCTCAAGCTACAAATCTGCTATTCCAGTTCAAATCCCCATGTTAAAAGTGATCTATTTCCTTTAACTTATTACCATTTCTCTCAAGTTTCTAGAAAACAAGTGCTTCATTGTAGGCATGTCTTTATTTGCAAATCATTTAATTATTGTTCGAATTCATGACACCTGTGGATAATTATATTGACCTTTTGGCTTTTCAAGCTATCTTAATTTTATTTTTATCTTCTTGTGCTGTGTTCATATCTGTTTCTTTGTGTAATAGCTCAATTGGTACCTTGGTAGTGTCGAAAAAGGACAAATAAATTACAGTTTTCATGAATGATCAAAGTCTTTATCTGACTGGCCTAAATAATATCCTGGCGGCCGCTGGGCCTCCACGCCACCGACGATATCGTCGCAACGCGAAGAGATAGAGAAGCGAAATTTTGCACACATCTTCCTGAATACCTAGCCGAGGTTGTGTTCAAATTTGGTGTCGATCCCATTTGAAATGACATCACAGTGATGTCAGAAGTCAAATTATAGATTTGCGGTTCTCAGTTTCCTCATGATATATCGAAGATATGAGACCGAATATAAAGGACCGATTATTGGCCAGGAACTAGTTGGAAGTGTAGGTACTTAGATGTTTTAGGATGGCAGCAGGTGCTGTCTAGTTCATTTACAGTTGAGTTTCAGGCTCAGCGACTGGCAACATCAGAAACGGTCCATATCGGAAAACGACAAAAGTTTATGACGTCACTGTGATGTCATCTTAAGTGCTACAACCACCAAACTTTCCTCAAACCTTGCCTTGGTATTTATTAGAAGCTATGCCAAGTTTCACGTTCGTAGCTCATCGAGTTTCGGAGATATTCCACAAAACGTAAAGGGGGCAACTTTTTGCCCCACAGCGGTTCGTGGGTTAACACTTAACGCTCTTGCCCCCAAAAATCATCACAGAATTAGCAGCCAATGAGCGTTGAGTATGGACTTACTCTGATTGGTCGTATCTCACAATGCTGACGGTGCTAGCTAGTGCAAATGTCACCACTTTTGGTAGGTAATGTTGAAGGGCCTGAGCGCACCCCCTGATTCATTCCAAACAATTGGCAGATCTTTCCCAACGTCTCCCGGAAGATTCTACGCCGTCCGGCCAATCACATTCACATTCATGGTCAGCGGGAGCTTGGCCGCAGTTCTCGAACGCCATTGGCCGGACAATGTAGAATCTTCGTCGTCCGGGAGACTGTTAACGCAGGGTTTGCCTTTTTGGCTTGTGATGTGTTGAATTACAATGGAACTAAATGGTAAATACATGGTGTGTCCTCTGACTCCTGAGGACTGAAACATGCAATTCTTTGATTTCCAAGAAAAATCAAAGAAGTCCATGCACAATAATAAATTCATTTAGAATTATATGAAAGAGGAAAGGCTAAAACATTTCTACGCTCAGTTGTAGTTTCTATGGCCTTAGCTCAGTCTGCAAATTGGAGACAATCAAACGGATCTAAAAGTGAGGGCTTTTGGAGCATTTTCCCTTCTGCAGCATCCAAAATTGGCTACATTTTGCAATAAGTCAGGTATATTGGTACCTAATTAACAAAAAATAACTTGTGATAAAATTCAAGCAATTAGCAGCAAATATAAGTTTTTGGAAACTCTTGAACCAATTATGGTTAGTATGCCCCCAACAGCATCCAATAAGTATCACTTTTCTGGATCTGCCAATTGAGATGAATTTCTGTGATATCAATAGGTACTATTACAGTGAACATTTATCTTCTGCCCAGGTGGTTGCTTTCCTGCTGATCGGCGTGGCGACTTACGGCAAGACGGCCAGCGTCATCACCAGCGTTAGCATCCTGGGCGGGATCGTGGCCTGCGGCGTGTTCCTGCTGTTCATCGCCATCCTGGGGCTGGTGGGCGCCGTCAAACACCACCAGGTGTCGCTCTTCTTCTACATGGTGGTGCTCTTTCTGCTGTTCATCATCCAGTTCAGCGTGGCCTGCGCGTGCCTGGCCGTCAAGGGCCCGCAGCGACGCCAGCTGGCCGAGTTTGGCTGGCGCCATGCCAGCAACGACACCAAGCGTGATGCCCAGAACCACTTTGGCTGCTGCGGCTTCGACACGACTCAGTTCAACGCGTCCAACCCGATGACCGACCACCCGGCCTGCCCGGCGGTGAGTAGCGATTCAAGTGGTTATATAGCTAATTTGAAGAGGATGTTACAGTTCAGGAGGGATGTTTACGATGTTTACCACTCATTTTTGTTTTCAGTCTTACGACGAGGATGCTGCTTTAGTTTATACGGCGAGAAGTGGGACGTAACGATTTTTTATTTTTGCTCGGCATTTGCTAACAAGATATCTTTTTACAGACTTGTGGTTCAGTGGTCTTTTCCATACCTGCGCTCAGTCACCGTTAACCGTGTTCTGCCCACGCCCGCAGGTGTGCTGTCCGGGGACGACGCCCGAGGAGTGCTGTCTGGTGGGGCCGGCCTGCATTGGTTGTACCAGCTGCGCCAACCTCATCACCGACTCGATGGAGTCGGGACTGAACGCGGGCGGCGGCATCGGGCTCTTCTTCAGCTTCACAGAGGTGAGACGGGACCTGTGGGTGCGCACTCCGAGCGCGGAGCTGGTCTCGTCTCCGTCATGGACTGGGAGTGCCCAGGCCGATGGTGCCAGGAGTATCCTCTACTGTGATCAGGAGTATGCTGCTCGCTTCTTGTGATGGATAACTCAGTCAGCCACGTGGATTTAGCAGCAACGAGGTGGATTTAAGGTTAAATATTTTATCGAAGTGGTCGTTTTGACATGTCCAATGCACCATCCAACAGAAAACAGGTCAACATTATTTTGAAGATCCCGTATAACACATTTTAGCTGGGCTGAAGTCTCGCGATGTCTTTTTTTGTCATTTTTTGGATGATTATTTTAAAGAATGTATTTGGCAATTCATGATTTAGAAATACAATCCTAATTGATCTGTATCTAGCATGGACAGATGTTATGCCATTGAAACTTGCTTGTGAACATTTGAGCAACCTAATCGTGAATACTGACAACCCCGGATCGCATTGTCGCGAATAAGAAGCAGTTGGTTTATATGCCGCTCAGCTCCCTAATTGCCACGTGTTTTATCTGCTGTGTTACAAACTGTCGTGCTGCCACTAACACTCGTGTGCTGTGGAGGTTTACTAACCCGTGTATGAAGTACCACCACCCCGACTAACACGTGTGAGACTGGAGAGCCAGCAACGGCCCCGGCTCTCCAGTCGTCCCACGGCCCACTAACACCGGGTGACGGCACGCGGTTACAGTTCCTCGGCGTCTGGGCCACCGTGCGCTACCGCCGGCAGAGAGACCCCCGCTACGTTAAGGGCTCGTTCCTTTAGAGGAGCGTGCGGGGCTCGCGGGCGACGCCAGGTCAGTGGCCAGGACGGCCAGTCCGCACCGTCGCCGCCTCTGCTGCAGACGCTAGCTGAGATCATTCGCCGCCAAGTACGATCGCTTTACTGCTTGCAGTGTTTTTACTTTCAGCTCGCCGCTGCGGATGAGCCGGGAGGTGCCCTCAGTTGCTGCAGCACGCTCTATGCTAGTTTGTGCGCATGTACCCGGTTGTCCTGGTTATTCGCCTTTTTTATTTTTTGCACGCGTATGATAAGGTGTTTCGGCAAGTGTTCCGGTATGTCTTGATCTCTAACTTTCGATGTTGGTTGACGACGCTTTTCATGATTTAGATGCGATATCGGTACTTTTTGTTTATTTTAGGCCTGTACACATTCAGCTGCTGTGCTGTTGTCAGCCGAAAATCACTCACACTATTGGCTGAAAAATTGATGACGTTATGTTGCACATGCAACATGACGTCACCTCTCTGCTGCCGGCAGCATGGGCTGACGGGCTGTGCTGCTACGAGAAAGCAAGTGCAGAGATGCCGAGCCGTCAGCAAAAGCCATAAATGACGCATTTAGACACTGGTAGTGGCGCATGAAAGCAAATCACGTGCCAGATTTTTATTGAGCACTGCAGATAAATGAAATTTGGGCACCATGTTGGCGCTATTCACATATACTTGGTTTCATAATTAATTGTCGATACAAGAAAAATACTTATTACTTTCGCACATTGTCAGTAAATATTTTGATAATATATCTAACTGCTTAAGTATTGTTTTAATAAAGAACATGAAGATGAGACGAAATATTTGTTTACAACGCCATATTTGTGAACAGTCAGCCAGTGCTGACATTTCTCATCAGCCAAATGTATACAGTTCCGTCAGCCAGAAGCGGTGGGCGGAGCCTATTTCAGCTGACAACAGCACAACAGCTGAATGTGTACAGGCCTTTTATTATATCGGTGATGTAAAAGTAGTCAATTAATTTGTACATATCTGTTGGATTAAATTTTGATCTCTTATAAACATATCGTTTTGTATCTTCGATTCATTACCTAAATTTTTTTGTTTTTCGGATTTTTTCTTTAAATCTACGTGAAAGCTTGCATTATCCATTGGTTTCGAGCTCATTGCCAAATAGCTTGATCGTATGGCTTTTCGTGTATCACGTGTCATTTCGTGTACTGGATGGATGGTATGTGCCGTCCTCTGCTGGGTAGCCGACAAGTCCGCTCACGTGTGCGTTATTTAGCTCGCCTGTTTGTCACTTCGTCTGCACTGTCCGTCGATGATTCCGTATGTTTCGTCCCGGGCTAACGTAACAGTGTTAATGTATCTACGTCGCTTCAATAGTGTCTTGTCCGGTACAGTCATCGTTTGGGTTGAGTCTCTCCCGTCGATTTTTTGTATCTTTTACATCTCTACCGTCATTGTTGTTCCTCTTCCTCTCCTTACCTCTCCACATTTCCTCTCCCGCTCCCTCCCCCCCCCCCCCTCTCTCTCTCTCTCTCTCTCTCTCCCTCCCTCTCCCTCTCCCTCTCCCTCTCCCTCTCCCTCTCCCTCTCCCTCTCCCTCTCCCTCTCCCTCTCCCTCTCCCTCTCCCTCTCCCTCTCCCTCTCCCTCTCCCTCTCTCTCTCTCTCTCTCTCTCTTTCTTTCTCTCTCTCTCTCTCTCTCTCTCTCTCTCTCTCTCTCTCTCTCTCTCTCTCTCTCTCTCTCTCTCTCTCTCTCTCTCTCTCTCTCTCTCTCTCTCTCTCTCTCTCTCTCTCTGCCCCTCTCCCTCTCCCCTCTGACTCTCCCTCGCTCCGTTCCAGATTGTCGGGTTCGCTCTGGCGCTGTGGTACCGTCGGCAGGCGGACCCGGACCGTGTCCAGGTTCTGGAGTAGGGGCCGCCACCGCACACTGCAGCCACCCCCCCCCCCCCCCCCCTGCCCGTCGGCAGCTGATCAGCCAGCGAAACCCTCCGCGGCCGCGGGCGATCAGGAGTGATTTGTAAATGTTTGGATTTGATGGGTGAAAACATCCCCGACTTGGCTCGAATCTGGGTCTGCAGCCATTAGGTGTTGGTGTCACTGGGTTAATTGTGCTCTGTCGGAAACAGGAGTGGCATTTTAAAATAAAGGTCTCAAACTGCTTGGCTGAAAAATATAAACGTTTCGACTTGTTTCTTGCCGCTACTATCCGTCACAATTAATTGCCGCCATCCTCGGATGCATCGTCCGCTTCCGTCGTGCTAACATTGCAGGGTTACACGCAGCAGCTGATTCGCCGTTTGGTTTACATAGCTCCCGGCTGTGTGCTGATTCGGTTGACGTCTGTACCCCGGTCTGACGCAGCCCCCGGACCGGGAGACGAGCTTTGTACCGGACCAGGGTCCGACCGCGGCCCCGGCAGCCCGTGCATCCTTGTGTGTGTGTGTGTGTGTGTTTGTGTGTGTTTGTGTGCGTGTGTGCCGGTGGAGGATTGGTGGTGATCTGGTGCTTTTTCTCTGGTGTTCTGGAGAAATTATTTCTCTGTACGAGGACGGCAGGCGAGGTTGCTTTGTTCTTTTGGGGATAACTAAACGATCCGACGAAGGCGACGCGATTCGACGGGACGCGGTTCGATCCTATGCGAGAAAGTGGTGTAGCTTGCTGTGTTGCCATGGTATAGGCGTGGTTTGTGGGTGAAATTTGGTGTTTGTTATCTAAATATGGAGAATATCTACAAAAAGTATTACCTACTTGTATATCAGCTGCTGTAAATCGTGTCATATGTCTATTCAGATATTATAAATGCATATTTGGTAAAACGCATAAGCGATTTTCCCAGTATAGACTATGTTCCAACATGTGATGATATATACTTAAATTTATGAAATATTTTGTGCTTAGCAAGGGTATGCGATATTATTTTGTGATACATCATTCCTAAGACGTTATCGTCTGCCTTGCTTACTGGTTTTGAGCGCTATCACCGGGGTTGCAGCTACTTGTACGAAATTATCGCGACTTTGATCCTATCTAGGGACGTATTTCCGGACTGAATGTTAACCGTACTGCGGCACATAATAAATACGATGCCTATTCGACATTTTTCTCTTATCACCCCGGTCTCTTATGCAGTGAGTCAAGGTATGTAAAAACCTAATGTGAGCAGAGGCTCTTGCAAACGTCACCGCACCGTCGTACGTTCTTTTTCTTGTAATAAATATGTCACATTTCACTTCAAGATCGGGGCAAAGTTCATTGCCACGGGCTCCTCAGCGGCACGTTAGCAGCCTTGGCTTGGTTGGCAGGTTAGCAGCATTGTATCAACAACACAGATCCGACCCTCGCCCAAAGTTATGTACCTATGTTTTGACCGAACCATTTCGAAGTGCTCTGCTTTTACGGTCCAGATGAACCGTCAATGCAGAGCATCTATAACGGGACGGTCCTACGTGGAGCCATTACTTAGAAAATTCGCCTTGATAGGCGATTGGCGGAAGGGCTGTGCCCCGTATCCTGCTTCGCCGTGATGCTTTGTAATCGGTCCGGCGTTATATAACGAGTTTTGTTGGTATCTGGTACGTTCGAGGGAAGCTCGAGCACTGTTGCATCATGCATGTTCGTAACGTTCTCAATTTCAGGAAATTCTTCGCTGAGAGCTAAAACGAGTTTTTCGTCAATAACTTCTGATCTAATTGAGCTAGCGGGTCGGGAGAGCCGCCTCTGGATTCAACGAGACCTGCCGAATCGAATGATATGCGACATGACGCCCTCCCAAGAGCTTCGTGACTTGTCGTCTTTGACCTGATCTTGACCTGAGCTCAACACCTTCAGTCATCCAAACAATAAGTACTTGCCTACCTATATCAGAAGCGCCTGACCATGACAAACATAATGCCGACCGTGCCAAAATCGCGGCTCTGCAACAGGAAAAAGCGTTAAAAACGGATCGAGGTCTGACCTGACCTCGAGAGGTCACTGGTCGACCTGAGATATTGAACTGTGGTGTCAATCACTGCGTTTCGTAACGGTGGAGATGATTTTTCCGCGACCGTCGCTGCAACTAGGGCGAAACGTCGAGGGGAGGGTCGCACCTGCCCCCCCCCCCCCCCATCTACCCTTGCCCAAATCTTCCCAGCCCCTCCCCCTTGAATGTAGTAAAGCGATAGATCCGGTGAAGGGGTCATTATCTTAGCCCGTTTGGATTGAATACGGAATATTGGCCAATCAAACGGGACATCGGTCAGCTGACGGCTTCTGACGGGCTCAGCTACGTGCTGGTATCGTGGGTCGGGCTCCCGTTACGTAACTCAGGGACAATTGGTGCGCACTGCGCACTGCGCACTCCTGCGTTTGCGCGAAGCCGACAGCGCCCGAACGCAATGACACTTGATATTATGCATAGCAAGGCGATGAGCCAGGTTAGTTACGTAACCAAATTGAACCTTCACATCGCATGGCTCGGCGTGGTTTCCCTGCAAAGGGAAGCTCTAAAGCTGTGATTTAGCACTACTTGATGCTCATGGGTGCAAAAACATCGCTGTCTTACTGACCTGTACGGCTGTTTTTATGGGCCCATGTCCGCGGCTGATTCGTGGTCTCCGAATTATACGGCGCCGTAAAGGGCCGCGGGCAGGGCGGGTCGGCTGCGCGCGCAGCAGATAAGATCTGGGAAGGTGAGTGAGAGCCGGGCGGCGGACCGGTGCGCGGGCGGCGCGCCGCCGGAGTCGTTAGTCAGTGGCGTCGGGGCGCGGCGCAGGGTCACGCCGAGTGCGTCTGCCAGGTGACTGAGGAGCGGTGTCAGTGAACGGCAGGGCGGCGGCTCGAAAACCGGTGTGACGGCCCGCCCGGCCGGCCCCGATACCGTGTGCGTGCTGGAGAGTGGAGACGGGGACCACCAGTGACGGCCGCCCGCCATGTCGGAGGAGGCTTCGTTCGAGGCACTGCTGGCTCGCGTGGCCGGTGACGAGGGCCCGTGGCAGCGGCGCACGCTGGCGCGGGTCTCTCTGGCCGCGCTGCTGATGGGCGCGCACAGCCTGGCGGCCGTGGTGCAGACGGCCACGCCGGCGCACCGGTGCGCCGAGCCGCCCTCCCTACTGCCGCTGCGCCTGCCGCCGGGCGCCTACATCCCCACCGAGGTGACGGCCGACGGCCGGCGCCGCCAGGACTCGTGCCACATGCTCAACGTCAGCGTCAGCACCCACGGCGAGCTGCTGAACGTCAGCGGCGCCGTGCCCTGCGAGCGGTTCAGCTTCGACCGCCAGCCGTACGGCCGTACCGTGGCCGTCGAGTGGGAGCTGGTGTGCCGGCGCGCGCCGCTGGTGGCCGCCGTGCAGTCCACGTTCATGCTGGCCGTGCTGGTGGGCTGCCTGCTGTCGGGGGCGCTCAGTGACGTGTTCGGACGGCGCGCGGTCGCCTGGTGGTGCAGCCTGATGACCCCGCTGGCCAGTCTGGCCGTGACCGGCGCCTCCTCTCTGACAGTGTTCCTGGTGCTGCGCGCCGTGCTTGGTCTCCTGCTACCCGGCACGTTCGTCTGTCTGCTGGTGCTGAGCACCGAGACGGTCGGCCCGGCGGCCCGCGGCGTGTACGGCATCCTCTACCAGCTGCCGTTCGACGCCGGCCTCATCCTGACCGCGCTGGCCGCCATGGGGACGGGCACGTGGCGCGAGCTGCAGCTGCTGCTGTCGGTGCCGGCGCTGCCGCTGCCGCTGCTGCTACGCTCGCTGCCCGAGTCGCCGCGCTGGCTGCTTGGCCGCGGCCGGCTGGCTGAGGCCGCAGACGTGCTGGAGACGATCGCCGAGGGGAACGGCCGTCCGGCGCCGGACCGGTCGCGCCTGCTGCGCCAGCTCGCCGCCTGCCAGCGGGCCGAGGGCGCGCTGCTCGGCGCTGGCCGCTCCCACAAGGCCCGGCGCAGCTGGTGCGCGGCGGCGTGCGGCGACTTTGTGCAGCTGTTCGCCACGCCGCGGATGCGCGCCATCAGCCTGGCGTGCTTCTGGTGCCTGCTGGTGGACGGCCTGATCGCGTACGGGATCTCCGAGGACGCGCCGCACCTGGGCGGCAGCGCGTACACGGCGCTGTTGCTCTCGGGCGGGGTCGGCCTGCTGGCCATCGTCGGTGCGCTGCTGCTGAGCGGCTGCCTGGGCCGCCGGCCCACCGTGATCGTGGCCGGCCTGGTGACGGCGCTGCCGTGCGCCGCGCTGCTGGCCGTGCCGCCGCGCTGGCGCTGGGCGCGCCTGGCGCTCGCCATGGTCGCCCGGCTCGCCGTCTCCGCCGGTCAGAAGGTGCAGAACCTGTACTCGACCGAGCTCTTCCCGACGGCGCTGCGCAGCACCGGCTTCGGCGTGGGCGCCACGTGCACGCGGCTGGGCGCCGTGCTGGCGCCGCTGGTGATCGCGGCGGCCGGCGGCGCCTACTGGGGCGCCCCGGCGGCCGTGTTCGCGGCCTGTGCCCTGCTGGCGGCGGCCGCGGCCTTCCGGCTGCCCGAGACACGCGGCAGACGGCTGCCCGAGTCGGTCGACGACGTCGAGTGCTGGGAGATGTGAGCAGGGCTCAGGAAAACACAAACGAGAAGATTCACTGCCATGCTGCATTCCTGCTTACGGTTTTGTGTAAAGGTGCTGCAGTCCGTGAGCCGGCTCGCGTCTAGGCGAGTCTAAATTCGAACGTTCAAAGGAAGACGACAACTGACCGTTGAGCGCGGAAAGCGTTCAATGTAAGTGAATATTGTAAATAAGCTGCAGTGTTGATAAGTGAAGACTGTGCCAAGGCAGCCCTGAGCTCCAGTACTCGCCCATCTTCAGCTAGTCCAGTGGTCGATAAAACTTCCAACGTGCCAACGCTCGTTGGAGCAAGATATTAGCAATACTTGGAAGAGCTGGAGACAGTCCGCCCGTCTACATGGATGCTTCCTTACGCCTAAAATACAGCATTGACTTATGACTTTCTAATCGTCCGGTGCTGTTATCGGCTGCTCGGTACCGCGTGTATGTTCCCTCATTCACTCCTGGTCACCCTTCGGTCACCCCTCGCTGGGTCGGGCCAGTCGGCTATTTTTATCCTCTTTCCGGCTAGGCCACCCGCTAAGCTCCCGCCCGCGCCGTGCCGCGCCGTCTGCGAGGGACCTGACCCTTCTGCCGGCAGAGGTTTCTCCAGGTGTCTCCAAGGAGCCATCGTAGCGCTAAGGGTGTGCTCCGCATACACATGCATTGATTTTCGCCCTTACTAGCAGGGCCGCTGGCACGCGTTGGCAGCGCCCCGCGGGCATTTTTTCGCTTAGGGTCATTTTGTGGTAAGGAGGATCAGAAAATCACCCTTCCAACTTTCTCCAGGCCTGGGTGTTTTATCGAGCGCGCCTGAAAACGCACAGTGGACCGGAATCACACTTCGATTGCGTTACTTCGTATAGGGTAATACGATCAAAAGTGCGCTCTTTTCTCAATCAATAAGGACAAGTGCGTTAAAACACACTTATAAAGTTTTAAGTTAAAAGCTTTAAAATGCTAAATTTCAACATTTCTACGCTGATGATAATCGTTAGTTGTTTCAGACTTTGGCATGAAAACGTAGGCATTCAGATCCAGCGTGTGACCGGTCACCTTATGCAGTAGTGTGATGGTGTGAGTTGGGGAGTCAAGGCCGTGTGGGGAGAAGGTGAGGAGATGCCGGTGTGCCGACGCGGCAATTGGCAGTGATTAGACAGTTGTGCATGCATTGTTCATCTAGCATATCATTTGCTTGGGCAAATTTATAGGCATGGCGCCTGTTTATCCGTCTAATTCAAAGGAAAGGTGTGAGTACCAATACTGGTTGTACTTTTCATAGTCATAGTCCAGGTCCTGAAATGACTGGCACCTGAAATTTTCAGGATATGTCGCAAGAGGCTCATTCCCAGACGTTATGCCAAATTTTGCGGCGCTACGCGACACCACCTTTTACGCTATTCGCGAAAAAAAAAACTTAGGGAGGCTGCATCCCCCCTCCCGCCAGGCGAGGGCTAAGTTGGAGACAGTGATGGGGCTAAGATGTTCGTTGGAGCAACTCCAAGCATTTTATCGACCTCTGAGCTAGTCTTTCAAGAGGTGGTGGTGGTGACGGCTGCTGTACTGATCTGATGTGTTCTAGCTCTCGTAGACTTCATAGTCTCCGACATGCAGTGTTGGACGGACTTGCTGCTGGTCCAAGGAACTTGCCGAGCTGAAATAATGGCCAGCAGTGAGCTGTTATCTGAGGCATTAGTCGAAAGGACCGGCTCAGGACCGGTATATAGGGCTGTCCGGGACAAGTGTCCTAATTAAAAGTCGGCTAGAGGACGGTGAACGCACGAGAATAGGACGACGATCATGTGTCACTGTCACTTGCCGGCCGAGATTAATTATCCTGATTGGTGGACTCGGACGGCCGACACCGTCTATACCTACTTATCCTTTCGCCCGATCTGTAAAACTGATCTGATCTCTATCGGCAGCTCCCGACCGGCCACGTCTCCTTTTACCAGAGCAGCTGAATGGACGGCTGATGCCGTCGCTATATAGGTATGGTCTGCTGTGCGCAGGGACACTTGTTGGCGACAGCGCGGCATTGTATGTATTTCTTGAGCGGAATGGTTGCCGCTGTCTGCTGTTGTCGTTGTGTGTATCGCCTTTGTTTTCCGAACTTCGGTATATTTGGCTATACAATATGATGATGATTCTTTGCAATGTTTGGCCATTTCATTGATATTGATGATGTGCTGTGACTCGCTTTTTGGATCTGCGATGAGGTGACACGCAACGCTATTGCTCCTGCTTTTTAGAAAGCGTGACTTATTGGTAGTGCCGGTGGGCTTCTGAATATGAAAATTGCCGTGCAATTGCCTACTACTGCCAGTCTGGTCAAAACGAAACAAACGTTGCAATGAACTCTCATGGCGCAGATGACAAATGTGTCCTTTCTCTGCTGTTCTATTTTCAGGGGCGCAGCCAAGGTGTGTGTGTGGGGGGGGGGGGCACACTGGGCTTAAGCCCGTCCCAAATCTAGCAGACGCCCTCTGTGAAGACGCCATGCAAAGCGCCAAAGGCGCTCTGGATGGCCCCTTCCACGATCATTTCCGGGCGCCGAAGGCGCCTTTCCAGTGTCCAACACTCCAGGCGCCCTCGACGGTAAGCCATTGCGGTACACCATGACCATGCGGCACTGGCGCTTAGGCTTGGAATTTTATATCTTTTTATGGGTAAAGATGCGAAATTTGCGCCCTCCTGACCCGAAATTGGCGCCCTTCTGAGCCAAAATTGACACCCTTACCAATTATAGCCCTCTCTGAATTTTTTCCTGGCTACGCCCATATCTACCTATTATTGCTATATACCTGCTTACTCTATCTCCGATCGTCAACCCATTTTAGGACTACCCTAGGTAGTACACACTGGACACCCACTATAACTAGTAACTAGTAACTACAAATGACAACATCTCGCATGACGGCGATGCTGTGAGACGTGCGACCTGCCTGCCGCCTTTGCACACCGCGCACAAACCTTATGGGTCTTTTCTCAATTTACCAAGTCGGAGTCCGCCATCGCAAGAATTTGTCAGGTCATAATTTCAGGTACTATATCTCGTATCTAATGCTAATGAGGCAGGTTTTGAAGTTTTGACGAAAGTAACTATTATGTTGTTTTTATCCACAAAAGTAAGCACGATATAACATTTGAATTAAGCAATATTGATTTAGCGGTCATATGTTTATAACATTTCTACGTCAATTACAGCGCAGCTTATTCGAAAACGCCGAATAATTTTCTGATCAAATATTACGGTATATGCTGCTCACGCCTAAAGCGACGGCTCAATTAACAAATTAGAATTGAGACTTTATCTAAATGAGCAGCTCCTACAGCTTAAGTGTTCAAGATTTAGTATTTTGAATACAATAATAAGGCTGAATTTTGTAAGCATTGCCCAGGAGTTTTTCCCCGGAGTTTTTTTCATTGCCCGCAGCTTGACGGATCTAGGCAAGATTTAGGAGAATTTCGCTCATTACAATTACCAATCATTTGAATTTTTAATCGGTGAGTACAGTATAACAAAAATTTTAACATCTCGAGGGTAGCTTATGCTTCAAAGTTGATGCATTATTAATGCTAGTTACTCATAGTACTTAGGTGGTACCAGGGGGGTACGCTCCGGCTGTTTAGCATTATGAAAAATGGTGACAGACGTTTGTGGAGGATTGTCGACGAACTCTTGTTCCGTGAGCAGTACTTACACGCTAGCGGAAAATTCACCAATCAGCGCTCGGCGGTACTCGACGCTGATTGGTCCGACGCTCGTGACGAAATTGCGGGGGACCGCAGTTATTCTCTATGGACCCGAATAGGCTTTTGGATTTCGGAGGGGTTTCTTTAAAATTATATGCTGTTTCGAGCTGTTTTCGAGTTGAAATATATTTCTTATGACTGTTACCTATATAATGGCACCATAAAATCAAGATTTTGATAAATATTACCGATGAAATATCGGCCGAAAAGACATGCTGTCATGGTACGGACTGCCCTGCGGCTGATGTGGGGTCCCTAATGCCAGCGTATGGTAATAATGGGGTGACGAAGGGTTATTGGAGACTCTTAGAGCCCCATCAGCATTCAGCATAGGGTCATCAGAGGCCGGGAACGTCCATCAGGGGTCTGAGTAGGCCTGTCATAGGGGCATACATGACACATCATGGCCCATGGGTCAATGTAGATCCATGGGGCCGTTGAAGGGCCATCATTGTTCAGCGTGGGCTCGCAATTACCTCTGATGGGCATATGCCGTGCCCCGATGGACTAACGCTGGCCCCTGATGAACCATCACCAGCCCCTGATAGGTCCACAAAGCCCACTGCTGGGTCTAAATTGGTCACTGATATGCCCAAATGGGCCACTGAGAAACCCGTACAACATCCCCTGACTGCACCTGCTGGACCAGTGCCGTCCTCTCATGGGCCCACCACAGCTCTTGAATGACCTTTTCAAGTCCCTTGAAGTGCCTTTATTGGCCTAAATGGCCCCTGATTGGCTTATGTGGTCCCTATTGGTCCTATATGGCCCCCATGAGCCCTCAACGTCCCTAGACGGCCTTACATTATATGTCACTGGGCCCTGTTGGGTCAGCACCGGCCCCTGATAGGCTTGCACTGGACCCACCGGGCCTATACCGACCCATGAAGGGCCTATGTCGAGCCCTCATGGGCCTCCGATGACCACACGCCGGCATGTGTGGCCCCATCAGCAGTGGTCCGTCTATCCCATGTACTTACGGTCTTTTTGGTCGATGTGACACCGGTAGTATATAGAAATGTTATGATTAAATGTCGTTATTACACAGTCAAAAGTCACAGAAAGAATATCCAAGCTCAAAAATGGCCTCAAACCCAACAAAAACTGGTATAAATCCCCTTCAAAAGCCGTAAGTCTATTAAACGCCATAGGGGAATAGCTGCAGTCCCCCGCAATTTCGTCACGAGCATCGGGCCAATCAGCGTTGAGTATTGCCGAACGCCGATTGGTCGATTTCCGCTAGCCTGTAAATGCTGCTTGCGGATATAGTTTTGAACAAAAGAGGGTCGCGGCTACTAATTATCGCTTGTCACCACTTTTTCGTCGGGAGCGTTCTACCTGGTTTATATAGCCTTGGGTGGTACCTACCTATCATCAATATCAAGCGACCTGTGATTCAAGTATTGATCCTGTGCCCATGTTTGTATAGGAACATTCTGCTTACATGGAGAAATTTTGGCTCAAGCTGGTTTATGCTGGAAGTGTGCCAAAATTTTTGTCGTAATCTGTATCAACACCGATGACTGAAGTGCGGCAACAATTTTTGGCGCATGTGCTAAATCAAGCTGAAGTTCTCTATGAAAATGTGCATTTAAATTTTTCCAGTTGGGATTGAATTGCCCTAACCACTACGTTTCCATGACACGCCTAAATTAATGTATCAAAATTCCCATAAATTTGAATGCTCATATCTATATTTGGGAGCACTGTTCCCATATGTGGGAACATACCTGTATTTGAGGATGCTTGACCCTGATTTGGCCTACACTTACAGAGTAGGTAAGTAATGCTAATACACCAGCCCCTTCCAGCATTCATGCTCAGCAAGCAGGTGGGTGGGTACACAGGTACCTACCTAACTTAAACTCATATTCTCCAGGTGCTCCAACAAACTGAGAGGTGATGTTCATTAAAAGGGTAACATGTAATTCATGGGTGGCATCATGGCCATGCTAAAGCTGAGAACAGGACCTTGCATAGAGTATAAATTAAATATATATGACTTTTGATTGTGTCTGAACTAGTTAACTTCTTCATTGAGGCTGCAGATGCATAAACCAATTAGGGTGGTACATTCTGGCATTGAGAGGCATATTGGATGTGCAGGTTCAGTATCCAAAAAGCTTTATATGCCCCAGGCCCAGCCTCCTAACCTCATTCCTCAGCATCAGGGTTGGCATTTTTGCCGGCAAAAACTAGTTTTTGCCATTTGCCGGTTTAAACCGGTTTTAACCGGCATAAAGTGGCAAAAACTGGCAAAAACTAAAACAGTCAAAACGCTATGCCTCTACATGCGTTTGAGCAGGACACGTTTTAAGTAGGATTCAGTCAATACAATATGCTTTCAAACAGAAGGGGTATCTTGACCATTTTAGTGTTAAATAGTTCCGTGAGTCCTCTATAATTAACCAATAAGGCGCCTTTTTGGTGAGACAAATGAGAAAGTGCGCCGGTGGGCGGCGAGTATTGAAGAAGTGGGAAAGGGCACCTGCCACTGACTTGTGCACCGGACCCTACGAACCGGTTCCTAACAGTGTCAGTGCCAAATTTGTGCTTAGTCGACGTAGCCGTTCTCCCAATCTGGAAGCGTCACCCCGCACGTGCGCACGTGCAAAATGGACCCCGACCGACTATGCACGACACCCTACTAATCAGTCCCTAACGGTGTCCCAATTTGAGCGCAATCGACCCAGCCATTCTCGAGGTCTGGTCGGAAACGACTCCTGCATATGCTCATGTGCAGAAGCACACCAACAGCGATGCATGAAAGTGCACTTCCTGGTGGACATCTATTGACTACCGACAGACATTTTAAGCAGCGGTAAACTAGCGAGACAATGCTTACTGGGTCCCAATGACAGACATGACTTTGTATATTTCAACCGATTGCTTTTTAGGCAAGCAACGCAGTTTTGGCCACTTGAGTTTTTGCCAGTTTCTGCCAGTTTTTGCCACCATGGTTTCTGCCAGCCGGTTTAAACCGGTTAAAACCACTGGCAAAAACCAGTTTTTGCCACCCTCTGCCAACCCTGCTCAGCATTATTGTTATGTGTACTTATTTGATATGGAGAAACGCCAGTATTTTTTACCAGATTGTTATTTATGATGCTGTTTTTTCATGCGCCCATTGTTTATTTTCTTATTTTTAAGTACCTTCTGCCAAGATGGACAATGGAAATACTGGCGGAGGAGATGGCAAGGGTTTTGTCAACAAGAATCTCATAATCAACTACCTGCCTCAGGCCCTCACTGATGGCGAATTCTCAAGCATGTTTGCATCTGTGGGGGCCATCAAGAAGTGTAGAATTATGAGGAACATGCAGGTAAAACCAAAGTTGTATTATAAATTCGATGTAGGCTAAGAAGTGTTGGTTTTTATCAGGAAGTGTCATATGTTGTTGACATAATCCATTGCTGTTTTGAGAAGTAATTGGTATGTTTGTTTTATGATGTAGCTTTTCTGGCTTATCAAAGCTCTACATTTTTACATCACCTGCAATTTTCATAAATTTGCTCTCCAACTCAATATTAATTTTGATCTGATCCAGCTCACTAGATACTGTATTTCAGTAATGAAAGGTGTGCTCCCAGCACCCAGCAGTGAGGAGCTGACATGAAAATTTGAAATACCAACCTCTAATGTTTTAATAATCCATTCTGAATTTCTATCCCATTGGTCTGTTTTTTTTTTTGCACAACAGCACTGAAGCAAAACTGAGATCACTGTCATTTGCCTTGACCTACAAAAATCCAGGATGAGAGTGGTCTCATATCTGTTTGACTTTGCAGAGCAAGTTATTGCTTTCAACAAGGAATGTAGCAACAGATACAACATTGCATGGATGCTATTCTTATTGATGAAATGAATGAAATTTTGCCTTGACCTACAAAAATCCAGGATGAGAGTGGTCTCATATCTGTTTGACTTTGCAGAGCAAGTTATTGCTTTCAACAAGGAATGTAGCAACAGATACAACATTGCATGGATGCTATTCTTATTGATGAAATGGGTCGATACATACATTCACATCTGGCTAACCATCATGCGATGTGCTTAAACTCTAACCAAAATTAGTTTGCTCTGGCTCCAAGAAAGACATCCATAATCACACTTCTAACCTACATAGGTATCTTGCACAATTTTGTAACTACAAATGAATTATTCGTAACAAGGTTTCTGCAATAGTGTCATTGGTAAATACCAAATGGCTCCATTTTCTGTATTTGGGTTGGCCTGTTCACAGGAAATTAGGACCATAAGTCGTCACTAATAATGCTCGTCGAAAATGTCGGTGGTCTGTCCCGGACGACCTCGGTTAATATGTTTTTCTGGCAGAAACACATCACCTCTCAAAGAACAAGATGCATTTGTATATCTGACGGCGAAGCATTTTGCGATACTACCGGCCAGATTTAGACCCATGTCATGTACATCTCTTTGAGCTTTAGTATTTCGCACTCGATACTACATTACCATTTTCTCTCTGACCAGTTAACATAAGACACTGCACGCACTACCCTGCTGCTTTGCCTTTCCAGACAAACTACAGCTACGGCTACGGCTTCGTCGAGTACGTCAATCCTGAGGACGCTGACCGTGCCATCGAGCAGCTCAATGGCCTGCAGGTCCAGAACAAGAAGATCAAGGTCTCATATGCGAGACCACCCGGCCAGGACATCAAGGATACCAACCTCTACATTCAGAACTTGCCCAGGTACGCTTGTTATGACTCGAATATGTTAGGTAGGTAACTAGCATACTGGAATGCGAGGGACTCGTGGTCATTTTCTCTCATTTGATATCTGCAAATCATATCTCACGAGCAGTCGGATTTCGCCCTTGCAATTAAAATGCCTGATGACGCATTCGCTAGGAATTTTATATAACCTCAGGCATACTTTTATTGATGTCTCTCATCCATTGTCATCGTTGGCCAGGAACATTGACGAGTCGTACCTGGACGGGCTGTTCTCGCCGTACGGTAAGATCGTCCAGCGCCGCCTGCTGCTCGACAAGTACACCCAGCTGCCGCGAGGCGTCGGATTCGTCCGCTATAGCCTGCGCTCCGAGGCACAGGCGGCCATCGCCGGGCTGAACGGCGTGGTCCCCGAGGGGGGCACGGAGGCGCTCAATGTGAAAGTAGCCGAGGACTTCAGCAAGAACAAGATGGGCGGTATGCAGCAGCCCGGAGCCCTCCCCGGTGCTGGTGAGTTGCTTGCGTTTGCTTGATGTTGTTTTCAGTTGTAAAGTCGACTTGTTATACAATAGGAAGCTAGTTGGCAGAACATATCGCTGTCAAATCTGGGATTTAGCAATACGGCACGCTTCAGTTGCAACTCCGCTGTTGACATATAATGTGCTTTCTGTGTCTTTGCCGTGTTGGCTGAATGTGTGGTTACTGGTTAGCTAGTGTCTTAGCCGTTTCTAGCCATTTAGGCGTTTTCAGAGAGTCGCATTTGATGCCATTATAATGCCTTTGTGGAGGAGTGAAGCCGATGTCTCCAGTGACCCGCCTGTCGGTGCCCTCCACAGGTGGGCGGGGCCATTTCGGCCGCGGAGGTGTCCGAGGCGGGGCCAGGGGCGGCCGAGGCGCCGGCCGCGGCGCCGGTCTCGGCGCCCCTCCCGCCCCTGTGGCCCCGTACCACATGATGGGTCAGGGGCCAGGCCGCGGCGGCGGCTTCCCCGGAGCCTACGAGGCGCCTCAGGCGGCCAAGCCGGGCTACACGGCTGACTTTTCGACCGGCTACGGGGGCTATTCGGCCGGGTACGGCGACTACTCGAGTCCGTACGGCAACTACTCGGGCGGGTACGGCGACTACGGCACTGCCGACTCGGTGCAGTACGCGGCCGGCTACGGCGACTACTCGGGGGCGTTCGGCGCGCCGCCGCCGGCAGTACCGGCTCCTGTCCCGGCTCCGGCGGCGGACCCGAGCGGCTGGGCCGCCGGCAGGGGGCAGCTCCGGAGGGTGAGTGGAATACCGTCCCGGTCCTAGTCCTTGGTATAGTGAACCAACACCTGCTTGTAACTGGGGCGTCCGGTTATTGGGGACCGTCAGTTAGCGTTTAATTTGTGTGGGGTTGAACAATTTCAACTGAACTTCAACTTCAGTTGAAAATATGCCTTTACTCTGAGTGAAGACCCTTCCTTCGAGTCAGTTGTGGAGGAAAGTTACGTAGCTCGTAAACTGCTGCATTAATAACAGCAGCTGCTCGATGGAGAGAGCAAATTATTTGATCCAGTATGCTAAGGAATAAAACAAAACGTTTACTTGTAGCATTGGGTTCGACCTGGGTGGATGATGTTCAGCAAGAATATCAAGTTCCTTGTGGTCCGTTGCCAAAAGAGGAAAGATTAGTTTATTCCTGTTCATGTTCTATATGACGTTTTTTCTGTTTTCCAGGGAGGTCGCGGCATGAACAAGACGATGCCGCCCAAATCCAACAACCGCTTCAACCCCATGGGTCCCAGTGTCTAGGTGCTCCACAGGTAGCTCAGTGGGCATTGGCCGGGTATTCGCCCCCGTTTTTCCTGTAGCGAGGCCGTGGTGTGGACACTTTGGAAGTTACATTGGCTTTGTGAGGCTGTCTTGCCGGTTCATTTGTAGGTGCGTGTTGGGCCGGGCCGAGCTGCCGGCTGACCCGTGCTGGTTTCGTTGTCGCTTTGTTTGTCTGAATCGCGGTGCAAAACGCTCGTTTTGTTGGCTTAATTTGTACCTAACGTGCGTTTGGTAACAAAGCACAAAGTACGGTTATGTTTATTAGCGGACGCATTCGTTTTGTGCATGATGCTTTCAACTGGAAAAGCTCAACGAAAGCGATGCTTTTGGCCAATGACTTACGCCTCTTCATTTGCATAACCGCTTCCCCTATAGCTGCTAGGAATTTCGGTCACTTGCTGAGTGTGTTACTGGTATTGTTTGCTGATCTAAAGCTAGGGCGTACTTACCAGTGTTGAACATTTCACTGTTTGATGTCAGGTAGAAAGACATGTTATGTTCCCACCAAACGGTAATCAATTTCATAAAAATCGAGCGAGACTGCCATTGTTTTGTAAACAATAAACGTCATTGCCATCTATACCAATTAAATTTTATTGTTTCGGCAAGTACGCGGGATCATCAAAACACCTCACGGGCTAGCTTTGCGTCCAAAAATAATTCATGTACAAGATACATCAACACATCGTTCGTGGTCGTGGCACTGGCAGCCCCAACAGACAGCGTACCAGGCCTGAATGATGGACTCGTTCGATTCCTGGCTCTGTACCGTTAACTAGGCATGATATTTTTATGTTTATTTGCGCTTGTATGCAGGCATCGGTAAACCCGTACCAAGAGTGCAGATTGTGCCATGCGCCCATAACGTCATTTGTTAATTCGTTCCACCGTTATCACACCGTCCATTTATATCGAACCCGGTGCGGGGGTATAGCGCTCTTACCGTGGCTCTGTGCCAAAGACCGTCTCTGGCGGCTGAGACAGAAGCCAGGACGCCCGAGCTCCGTCCGCACAGGACGACCAGCCGGGAACCTGATCGGGGCCGGAGATTTCCGGATATAACCGGCTCCGGTGGGCGTGGTGGGCGATGGTGATTTGTCCAACATACGACATTGCGTCAGATTTGTCGTGGGATGCGGCAGTGGAAACTGCTTAGTGGCCGCAGCTCACAGCACCTGTGTCCGATGACCCGGCATCGGGTAAGCCCCGAGAATGTAGCACCCGATACTCACTGGCGGCGCTGCCAGAAGACCCTGTTATAGGAGTTAGGACTAACCTTTTAAAGGAGTTTTCCCCTTCACCCCTCCGCTGCATCTCGACTCAAACCAATTATTTGACGCACGGGCTGCCAGTCGCTCTATTGCTAATGCGTTTCAAACAGTTGCGAAAAAGAGGATGGCGCCACAAATCCAGCATCAATAAATCAAATACTCGCTCAACGTTTGCAACAGTCGTATAGCTATGCGTTCAGCATGGCACAGACTGCGCGCACAACTGCGACTGTTCTGCGGCATCGGGGTCACGGCGTCACGCGTCACGTGATGCCCGTTTGGGGGCGGGGCGCGGCCGGCGATATAAGCTGGAGGTCGGCCGCCGGCGCGTCACTGCCGGCACACAGCTCGGGTCTGCTCAGCTCAGAGGTCTCAGAGGTCCGCTCGGAGGTCTGCTCGGAGCTCTCTGTGAACGGAGCTTTATACCAGCGGTGACAGCAGCCCAGCGACAGTCATGGAGACGGTACGTGGCGCTCCGGCAGCGATCGATTCCATTTTCATTTGTTTTATCTGTGAGGGAGATCAAAGGCCCCAACTTTGCAGTAATGTGTGAAGCTCTGCGCTCTGCGTTAGTCTGTCCCGTCAATACCTTGATTTGTAACGCTGAGACCGTGACCAGGTATGCCTAACTGCATCCCCTCCGTCCACCAGCGCGGCCCTGTGTGCATCATCGACCCGTCGGAGCTGTACCGACCGGAGGTGAAGGCCAAGAAGGCCAAGGGTCTGTTCCGGGAGTACAGCATCGACAAGACGGACCACATCCAGACCAGGGTGCGCGATACCTACCTCAAGATGCACACCTACCAGACCGTCGACTACGTCAAGCAAAAGGTTCGTCGTGTCGACGTTGTTCTGAAAACATCGTCACCGCCATCGAAATGTTCGTAATGTTTATCATTGCTAATGCTAGATAAGTTTATTCATACATCTGACGCTTATTTACGACGCAACTTATATAGAATGTCATCGCACCAATCAACTGAAGTTAATTAACTCATTGGTTATCAAGCCGTAGATCAGGAGTTCACCGACCGTTCAAATCATCAACCTCGCGTCATACGGACTTGATGTGCAACAGTTCCTGACCTCGCACCCATATGCACGCAGATCGCCTACTGGACGCGGTTCGACAAGTTCGAGGCGGACATTATGCCGGCGCTGGAGAAGCTGAACGACCTGGTGGACGAGTCGGATCCGGACGTGGACGTGCCCAACATCGTGCACGCCTTTCAGACGGCCGAGCGGATCCGCGCCGACTACCCGGACCTCGACTGGTTCCACCTGACCGGGCTCATCCACGACCTCGGAAAGGTGGGGGCGCCGGGAGGCAACTGACGAGTCCTTTGTGCGGAGATTGAATTGAGGCGAGGGCCCGACGCTGCGGTAGGCAGGATGGACGTTATGGGGCTTACTTGGGTGTAGTTGTATGGTTATGCCGATATTACAGTGTTGAAAAACGTCTGTCAAAGTTGAGAAACAGCCGTCTCTGAGTTGTTTCATAAAACATGATTATAAGTGTGCTTGTTCATCTCTAGAAGCCCAGCTTACTCCTCACTCCCCACGATCATCTACTTCTTCGTTGACGATCTGCCTCCCACCTTCCCATCCCATAGCCACATTTGTCGGTCCACCGTAACACGATGTGAGCGGGCGGGCAGGTGGCGCCTGGCCCGGTGTCCGTCACCTGACGCCCGCCGCCGCCCGACCAGGTGCTCGCGTTCTACGGTGAGCCGCAGTACTCGACGGTTGGCGACACGTTCGTGGTGGGCTGCCGGGTGGGCAGCTCGGTGGTCTACCGCGACTCCACCTTCCACGACAACCCGGACGTCAGCGACCCCAGATACAGGTGGGCGAAGAGCTTAGCGAATAACTGCGCAAGGCATAGAGAAATGAACAGGTTTGTCTGTCTATCGTCGTTTTCCGCGTTATAATTAGTGCTTATCCTGACATCGTCTTTAGAGACGGCTATCATTGCACTACCTCGTTACGTGATGTTGCGTCTTTCCTGTGTTTTAGCACGGAGAATGGCATCTATGAGCCCGGCTGTGGGCTGGACAAGGTGCTCATGTCGTGGGGCCACGACGAGTATCTGTACCGCGTGCTGAAGCATAACAAATGCACACTGCCGGACGAGGGACTGGCCATGATCAGGTGAGCATTACTGAGTTCTATACCGTCACAAAATAGTGAGATAATCATTGAGGTGATGCCTCTCGGAGGACAAGTGTGCAGATGAACCGAACCCAGGTGCGTTGTTAGCACGAAATTATATAGCAAATGGACTTAACGTTCCGATTTCTGCAAGAATAAATAATTGTTTGTTTATTTTGCGGTATAAAGTTTCCCGTACGCCTCCTTACACGCTGCCGCCCTCCGTCTACAGGTTCCACAGTTTCTATCCGTGGCACACGGGTGGCGATTACATGCACCTGTGCAACGACAAGGACCTGAAGATGCTGCCCTGGATCCGGACCTTCAACAAGTACGACCTCTATACCAAGTCGGACCACTTGCCCGACATCCCCGCCCTGATGCCCTACTACCAGAGCCTCATCGATAAGTACTGCCCGGGAAAGCTGCAGTGGTAGCTGGACGCTCATCCCTTCCAGTGAGCTGGCATGCCGGAACGCTGTGCAAAGTCGGGACCAAGTGCTGGCGTCTAACGCACACTTCTACGAACGTTTGACGTTCGCTCTAAGGCCTATATTAGGTGTCATTCTGTCACTTTTTACGGCATGTAGTTGGGTTTTCACTCTGTGTTTTTGGTGGCTGCCGTGTTTATCGTTCACGTTTACAGTTGCGTGTTCTAGCCTAATGTGCGCTACTGACCAATGGCGGAATGGCGCGCTTTTATGTAAACTTTTAACGGCATTATGCATTTGTACGTTTTAGGTTTTGATAAAAGTGCGCACTGTGTGTAGCGTGTCTTGTACGGCATACGTGGTTCAGGGATGCTCAGGAATTTCATGGGTCTGCATTTCGCATTCAAACGAGGGCATGTCATGATGTAGATGTTCGCTCAATTTCGCAATGCTTATCGGCATGTTATTAGTTAGTTATTACGTCTTTTTCATCGATCATGAGTAGCAAACGTATGATAATGCATATATGACTGATACATCTTCTTTTGATGACGTAAGATAACGTCGGCGACGTCGCAGTCAAGATTCTTGTCGCAGTACAGCACAGCCTGGGCCAGCATTCAAACTGAGCAATGAGCATAATCAATTAAAATCAAAATAAAGCTAGCAGCTTCCATTTCGCTGTGGTAATGACCCTTGGTCAGCAGCAAATGCTAGCTGAAGGAATCTATCATGTTTATTTGAACATCATACCAGTCTCGTACCTACATTGTCATTGTGTTACTAGAAACACCCCAAATTTTTAATAACAAATTAAACTTTTATTTAAAGTAATAAATTAAGACCAAAAGTTCAGAAATGTAGTGCAATATTTTCAGCGACAATTGCTAGCTGAACAAACGACACGTCAATGGAGCTATAGGCTGTAACTTCGCGGAAAAACGACTCGAGCATGCTGCTCTCTGCGACCAAAATCCTGTGGATGTCGTTTGCTTCAGACGTTAGGTGAATGACCTAAAGGCCCGGGGTTAGTAAAAACCTGAAAACATCCGAAACTGTTCGTAGGATAAAAAGATTCATGAAATTGCCCGTACAAATACTTGACCGTGAATGACCTTCGGGAAGTTTGACCTTGAAGGTATCCTTACATTGCTACTGATGTTCCTGCTATTTCGATCATTACTTATTTTTTCTCTTGCAATGCAAGTTAAACGCAAAAAAAAAAAACGTCCAGATAAAAAGCGGCAATTTCAGCCGAAGACAATCTTTACACCAATGCAATGTCATCGCATGGTGACGTAACCTGACTTGATATACGGCCTATAGGACCAATGGTATTTTATCAATGTGGTGAAAAGACAATGTTTTTGGGAATTTTTGTGTGCTCTGTTCATAGGTTTTGGATATACCTATTGGCGAAACCAAAACCTATGAGAAGGCTGTATCAACCCGTGCCATGCCCCGTGCCCGCAAGAGTGTTTACAGGCGAACATAACCAAAATACTGTCCCACAATATCAAATTCATAATAGCCTCTAGATTGTGCTTATTATAAACGGTACCCAATATTTCATCGAAAGCACATGTTTTTCTACTAACAATAAAATATTTGCTTGCGGGTTAGCCGTTTATTCAACAAACAACCGAAGCACCTGTTTACTTTAATGAAAAACAATATCAAATTCTTATCTGTATTCAATGTAAACGCGTTTCGATTATTTCTTTATCAATATGTTACGGGTCATATGCTAACTTGGGCAGTATGCAAACTACCCGGGCAGTATGCATACTACCCAACAGCCCGGGCAGTATGTATACCGCCCGGGTAGTATGCATACTACCCGACCCCTTGGGCAGTATGCATACCGCCCAAAAGCTTGGGCAGTTTGCATACTGCCCGCTTTCCGACTTAAAGTTGTGTAATCCATTGTCCACATTAAGAATATGAATGGCTCTCTAGATAAAAATAGATCGACCGAGAAGAATTTTTGTCGTCAAACGTGATTGATCGATCGTAGGATGGAATGAGGATTGGAATAAAGTGTTGAAATTACTTTTTCCCATATCCATTGTTGAATAACCAGTGGCCAACAAGTCATTGTCATTGTGAAGCGTGAACTGAGTAAAATGAAAAGACGACGACAAAATTTGACGTCATCAATTTTGAACAGTTCTTTTTTCGCTATAACTTTGCCAAAAAAGAGCAATCAATCTCAAATTTGGTATGTGGATAGAAGGCGGCAAGGACTATCACATTTTTTCCGTTTTTTTTTTAGAAATTCAAAAAACTTTTTGGATTTTTTGCCTATTATATTCAAAAAATTACTTTTTTGTTTTTGGGGGGTTCAATATCTAAACATTTTAAAAAATCCGAAATAGCAGTTTTCTAGCCCTCTAATTCGACACTTTCTATACCTATTCTTAAACATTTTCTGTATCTATAAAGCTGTAGGCCTGACAGCTCTTCCCGCGAAACCTTTCTTGGGTCGAAAATGGCAGAAATGACGTCACTCTGACGTCATTAGCGGCCAACCTATCATAGCCTTTGGAAATTTTTTGGTCACAATGTGTAATAGCTACGATCCCGGGAGGGTACTGAAAGTTTCGTGGCAATCGGCGCAGCGGAATTCTGGAGATATATCGAAAAAACTAAGGGGGACAAAAATGCCCCCCCCCCACCCGGAAGGTAAAAATGTTTGTCATTCACATATATACGCGAGTTATTGCATTAACAAGCCTCACGAAGTGTAGTCAACATACTGCCCGAGTAAACATCTTGCCCGTGAGAAGAAAGGTGGGTGGTATGCATACTACCCGGGAGGTATGCATACTGCCCGGGTGGTATGCATACTGCCCAAGGGGTCGGGTAGTATGCATACTACCCGGGCGGTATGCGTACTGCCCGGGCTGTTGGGTAGTATGCATACTGCCCGGGCAGTTTGCATACTGCCCAAGTTAGCATATGACCCGTAACAAATACATTGATACAATACAGATAATGAAAACACACGATTCAATGTGGGTGAACGCGAGCGATGAGATTGATATTTCAAACATTATGACCTATTCACGTGGCAAAACTTTCTGTTCCCTCCATAAAATTCTACCCAAAATTGGTGCCAATGAGTAATCTCCTCTTTTTGAGTTGATGTTTGGCAAACATTCAATCACCGCAGCTTCGATCAGTTTCGATCAGCACCGCAGCACCGCAGCTTCGATCAGTTGATATTGTTTTTCATTAAAGTAAACATTTGTCAAAATGAACAATATACAACCGAAACACCGTTAGCCTAGCAGTGCTAGAGCACCGAAGCCCTCAGCGTTCAGGGCGTATCTCTGAGCAGGGCGCCTGTGTGCCTCCGTAAAAACCCTGTGTACCCTGTCGTGCCGACCTTTGGTCGGGCCGCAGACCGGAGCCTCTCCTCCGTTACGGATTCCAGACCCAGTCGACCCAGCTGCGGGCGGGCGGCGGCTGGAGTTGCCAGCACGGTGGGGGCGTCTGGACTCTGGGGTCTTCAGAGTTCGGCAGGGGGGAGGGGAGGAGGCCTGGTCAAAGGTTCCTTGACAATAAGCTCTGTCGTTAGATAGCTCCCGATTTGATATTTGGAATATGGTAGACGTCCCAATTGAGCTCCGACCTATCCTATGTTTTGTATTCCATAGATACGGCTGCAGATTGCTTGCCGTCTAAATATTAGCTTCTTATGTGCATGTAAACCGACAGAACTGTTTACACTAAACAAGCACTTCTTGTGCTGTTTCTTTGCACCACATATGGGATGCCGCCTCACCAGTCGCTCGCTATAGAATGACCAATGGGTTTACACGGTTTGAAATTACAAACATTGCATCCATAAATGCGCCCGTAACTCACACGGGTAGAGCTGCTCCTGACGTCAATGCTGCGACTCTCCCAAACGTATGTGTATAGTTGTGTACCTGCAGGACACTTTGGTGGCATGCACCACTGCTTACCGGGGATCTATAGGTACGTCACGTTCTGAATGAAAGTACATACCTAAAGACAGAAGCTCAAAGTGAAGTTCAGTGGGCACTGGGCAGAATAAGTCAGTGGTCAGGTCTGATAGGTATAATAAGTCGGTTAATAGGATCAAGAAGCGATAACATCTGATACCTAACCATGGTCCATGTTTTGTACCTACTTGCAATAAACAATAGTTACGTGCAGTTGACAAGAGACTGATGTTCCATTCCTCTGGAGCTTTCTGATGAGTGGAGCGCCAAGTTTTGCCGCTCATCACGCAATTGCCTAAGCGTTTCTATGGTAAAGCATTGGGTCGCAGCATTATCACTCAGACCGTGTGATGCGGCACAGCCTACCACCCCAGGCAACTGAATACAGTAGATCATCGTTCTGTAGTCAACTAAGTCGACTACAGAATGACTTTTCACAGGCAATTATTTGCCTGGAGTGGTAGGCTGTGCCGCATCACACAGGCTGAGTTCACAAATTATAGCTTTGTCCCAATGCTCACAATCGACACGCTTAATTGCGTGATAAACGGCACAACTTAGCGCTCCGGTCAACTGATAGCTTCTGAGGAGTGGAACGTCATTCTGTAGTCAACTGTACCTATCTTCTCTGCAGCGCATGTAATAGCCTGACACGCATCAAAATCGGACCTCCTTGATTCACCGCTGGTCTCCCCCGACAGAAATAAACAATGGAAACCGTACACCCGCCGCTGGTGGGCGTGTCAAATAAAACATACGTCCGGCTGTATGTACATACATACAGCATCTCTGCTCCACGGGTGTGTCTCGTAACAGGAACTGGATCGGCCAGTCACTAACCATTTTATATTCTCAGTTCTCACTCTCCTAAGTCGATAACATCATGGAATAGGTAAATTGGTTTATGTATGCGTGGCCGTGCAATATTTGTTAATCAAATGCATCAACCACCTGGTGATTGCAGACAGAAATACCTGATACGTTATACCTCAGCAGTCACCACATCACTATAAAATGATTACAAGCATCTTAAAGTGGAATGCCTAAAAAGGAATGATTATCGGAATTTTGAAGCGAATGCGTTTCCTTCCTTTACACTCTATGCAAATAACGAAGGCACTAAATTTGCATGCGTTGTTTTTTATATTAATCGACATAATTAGGAAAAGGTTCCATTAAAGTTATATGCCAACATGATCGTACCGCACAATATTCAGTTCTCCTCCCGTCTATCACAGGTTGGCGGGTGTGTGTCAGAGGGGTGTGACCGGCGGGTGTGTCTCAGATAGCCACGTAACCTTCGGCCGAACGGTCGCAAGGTTATAGGCACTTGCGTAATGGAATGGCGTAATCCAGTCCAAATATACGGCTGCTCCGTCGCGGATGCGTAGACTGAAGAAAAAATTAATTAAACTGGTCTCGCTAAATATAAACTGATACGTATTTTAATCTGGTCATCGTTTGTTCGAGAATGTGATAGAGGGAAATATTCGCGGCACTCGCTAATCGCTATCGTGTGGATAACTCAGAGAAAACGTCTCTTATAATAGGGACATTTATAT